AAAATGAAAAACTGGTTAAAATAGTTTTTCGTGCAAATAGGATCTCTTATGGGGGTTTTAACCGGTTTTTCAAATTTTTCGTGCAATCTGCATACAGTGGAGCTCTGTGTTCAGTTAAAAATCAGTTTTCTCTGCTCCGAGCTCATACGTGATCCCCCGGCGAATTTTCGAATTGCACTTTTGAGCAGAGTTACTTTTCGGTGGAATCTTATATTATGTACATAATTTTAAAATTAGGTTTATTCAAGTCAAAAATAGGGCATTTCAATGATTAAAGGCGCATGCTCGTAAATTTACGCAATTGCATCGGGTCGAAAATAGACAATAAAAATTTGAATAATTAAAGTCAAATTCAGTTCGAATTGTTGGCACGAATTGGACAAACTATCGCCTGCCTCTCTGATGGGCGTTCTCAACCAAATTGTTGCGAGACCAAATTGCGTTCTTCAAAATTTGACGTGTCCGCAGAATTTGTCGGCATTCGACAGTACTCATTGCAGAAAATTCATCGAAACTGGTATTTGAAAGATAGTTTGCGTTTCAGTAATGAGTTTGGAATTTCTTTTCTCAATTTCTAGGAACCATTCTAATCATTTCAATTCCCTTCAGTTTTCTTCTTTGAACAACAAAAAACGTGTTGGCGATTTTTAAAAATTGCTTATTAATGATCGAATGTTGAATACATCATCAGGGGATTAAAATTTCTCGAAGAATTTCGATGTTTGATTGTTTCGAATCCCATCACATGGTTTTTTTTCGAAACTTTGGTCTATGATTTTATAACAATTTGCATACCCACCGCCTTTTTTTATTTTCATTTTAGCCCAACTCCTATTCCATTTCCATCGCAATTCATCCGATGAAGCGCATCCACTTTTTTTTCATGCATCTCATGAATTATTCAAATTTCTAATACAAATATGAGCCATGAAAATATTGATTTCTGAATGTGTGTTTCTTGTTTATAATAAAAATCTTACACACGGAGATGTACGAAAATGGAATGAACGAATCGAAACCGAAAAATATTTTGTTTTGCGCTCACAAAGGAAGAAATGCAGCTGAAAATAAGAATGTTGGAGTAGTCTCCAAGTAGTCCCCCAATTAGAATCCGGAAATCAAATTTATTTCAATTTTTTTTGTATTTTCACGTAGGCGGCCGCCGCAAAAATTCGAACTTTGTTTCATTGAAATCTATGCAGAGCTCCTCATAATTATACGGTCATCTCAATTTTTTTTCATATTGTTAAAGTTTAAATGCATTTTTAAAATTTTTCAAACCTTTAAAAATGTTTTTTTTTTCGTTTAGATAGATTTGAGCCAAAGAAAAAATTTCTTTTAGATAGACAAATTTCGGGAAATATCGGTTGCTGCCTTTTTTACCCGTAAAAACTATTTCAAAACTATGAGTTTTTTTTTCTCAAAATAGTGCAATAATTAAAATGACTGTATAATTAATAATATGCTCGTATTTCTACGCAGTTTTCTCTATTTGTCTCGAGACACTTGGCGCAGTGCTGTTTGTCCAAATATCAATCACTCGATTGAAACCCGAAAACGGAATTCGCGGCAGTCGTCCAAAACATCAGACATCTACCGTAGTGTGCAAAAAATTGATATTCTTGTAAAACCTGCAAATTAAATTAGCTCGGAGCATTAGAAATCGTTTTAGAATTATCTTTGAATAAATCAATTTATTCAATTTTACGAGAATTTCACATATACATATAAACCACCAAATATTGTTCTTTGAATGAAATTTTTCGTTTGTTAGTCGGTCGATGGATATTTGAATTTTTTTAGCGGGAAAATTTAGCGAAAGAAGAAATGAGAAACGATTTTTGAACTAGATAACAAAACAAAAGTGTTTCAAATTGTTTAGTTGAGAAAATTCAACGTGAAGAACACATAAATTTCGTTTTTTAATAAAAAATCATCTTAAATGTATCGGAAATGACAATTTCCGGGAGGATGAAACAGCAATCATAAGTTTTCTTCTCAAATTTTCATTTATTTCTTTTTCCAACAATCCATTTATCCGATTTTTGATATTAACTCCCCCACCTCCCATAATAAAACAAATGGCTTATAACCGAAATGATATGCATAATCCAGCAACAAAAAAAAAACAACGCAATATATTAGATTAGACGGCTAGAAAGAATGCAAAAACGGAAGAATAGAATGAGACGAGGGTCCGATATCAAATTTCACAAGCTTCATATAATGGGTTGGATGAAATATTCAGCAATTTCCTATTTTGGAAAATGCACAATCGAGAGAATTCGACAAATCATCGCGTAAGAAATTCATTAAACTTAATTTTTAATATTTCTCAAAAGAAAATTAGTTTTGAGAAGTTGAAATCCAAAAAAAAAACATCTCAAATTTTTTCAAAAGAATTACCAAAATGAGAAATTGTTCCGAAATTTTTGAAACTATTAAGAAAATAACAATTTTTTATAAAACATGAATTGAAAAATGAGAAAAATTGAAAATCTAAAATCCTTCCTTTCATTTAATATAGTTTATTAGGACTGGCGCTTATTTCAAAAAGCTAAAATAAAAAAAAAGCTTAAAAAAAATTAATTGTTTATTTGGCTACAAGTGTAGGTTGCTCTTTGAAATATTTTATGAAAAAAAAAATAATATCAAGTACATTTGATGAAATATCACGGATTTCCGTTTAGAAATTGAGACCAACATTCGAGCATCATTTGAATTTCTTTCCATATTTTTCGGAAAACAACATCCAAATTTTATTCAGCTCCCCAATTATTTTATCGGAATTCTCGAGAAATGGCATTGTTCTGTTACAGCCGAATTTCGTTATTGGAAATTAAGAAATTTCGCTATTATTTTCGTGTTTTCTATTCGATCACACATTCATTGAATTTCGGAAAAAAAAAACTCGAAATTCTCCCAATTGCTGGCATACTTTTGCAAATTGATTTCCTATTCAAACTACCCATTTTTAATGTTCAATTCTTATTATTCCTTATGAAATATTGCAGGCTTTCTAGAACTTCAAGTTGCACATAATGAACATAAAAAAGAACATTCGAATGAAATTTTAAAAATAGTAACCGTGCAAAAAATGCGATATGAATTAGACAGCCGACATATAGATGATATGAATTAAAGAAACACACTGTCGATATCTCGGAAAATCTAGAAGAAATATAATTTTCAATTAAAATATTATTAATATAATTTGAATTTATTACTTAATTATGTTCTATATTGGAGTTGCACTAGAAAGAGTTGAAATTAAAATTTAAAAATGACTTATATTAAACCAAGAACGCCAATAAAAATGAATTTCTAAAAATGAAAATGAAAAAAATTATTGGCTATGTGCCAATGCGTCTCGAGGCAGCGAAACGTACGCGAAACTGCGTACATTGCATTATAGAGTTCGCGCATTAAATATTCAGTCAACGAAAAATTTAAATCTACACTAATTTCGCGAATTTGAAGGCCCAGCCTCCATTCAGTCGTTTGACGCCAACAGTATAATAATTTACAAATTCATAAAACATGGAAGAGATATTAACAAAAATTTTAGATAGTGTACGGAATATTCTAGATATTAATTCCAAACTTCAATAATCAATTATTATTCATATTGTCGAACATTGTTTATTAATTAATTCGAGAGAGAGAGAATAAAGAGAGAAAGTGTAAGCTAAGAAAAAGTGGGCGGAGTCGAGTGGGGCTTCTCGTATGGGGGTGTGCCTCGTGCACCATTTTTTCTCGCATTTTTCGCGATATTCGATTTCCCATTTCAACGGCTCACAACCAACGTATTCTATTACTATTTGAAACAATAAATCAGAATGCGCGCTTGGCACAAATTCCGAACAGGTTGGTCGCATTTCGATATTCCGCTATTCGCATTGTACACTACTAGAAATGCAACAATTGATAAAGTATCAAACTCTTGCAATCACATTTCATCAATTGTTCGAATCATTTCCCATTTCTTTTCGCGATTTTCAATTCTCAAAAAGTTTGGAAAAATGTTTAGTCAAACTAATTCTCTCAAAGATGTCTTAAATTTTCTTGAAACGAGCAAACCGAATTTCCTTCGCCACACTTTTTGGTTCATAATTTTGTTTAACTTCCATCACATTTTGTTGTCATCGGAATATGAATGCGGGGATCGAAACAACTTAGTATTAAGGCGATTCTCATAATCCGAAAACCTTGTGTCGTCACTTTGATATTTAGAAAAAAGATAATTTCTCATTAACTCATTTCTATCAACGCAATGCGATGTTCGCTATAATAGTCGATTCTAAATTCCGCACAGTGACGGGCTGGAAAAACAAAAAATATTAATTAAAAAACAAAAAAAGAAAGAAAAAGGAGTCGGCTCTCATCAGATTAATTCGAATATTTCTCGGGTAATGAAACATATGTATATCACGTTTTTTTTTGACATAAACAAAATAAAATATTTAGCCTTTTGAAAAATGTTTCCCTTTTATGTAGTTTATTCGATGCGCTAGAAATATGAATAAATTGGCTTGCACTTTGAGCTAATTCTCGTTAGCAGATTTTTATCTTTTTTAAGCATCTTTCATTCTCTTTATTTCCTTATTTAGTACTCCAGTATACAAATTATCTGAATTTCAATTCAAAAATAGGTTTTTTGTACAAATTTTGTTCAAATTTGAAGCAAGATAAGAGAGATTTTTTCAATTTTTCGAATCCTGCAAGTATTTCGAAGTGCGCTTGATATTGTCTAGAAAATTCGAGAAAGTGTTATCAATACAGGTTATCCGTATATAATATGTTATTAAACTGTTTAAAGTTGTTACTCTTTTTTTATTTCAATGTGAAACATTGTTTCAGAAGAAGAAAAAAAATGATCAAATTATCGTTTTAGACTCCTATCAAATTGCACGTCGAATCCGCTTTTGTATGTCTGATTTTTGAACAAAACTCAATTGACTAATTGTTGCGCTCGCATTCATTTGTGTTTTTTTTCAGTTATGACCAATACCGACGAATGGCGAGAAGATCCGCTGAGCGTCGAAGATTTGTTCGCTGGTGGCACACTTCTGCTCATCGCCGTCTTCTCGATATCCATTTATTCAATCATATTGAGGATCATGCACAAGCAGGATAAAGTTGGTTTGAATAGATGGGCCTAATAGAGACAATTCATTTTTCAGGATATAGTCGGATATCGATTCTTAATATCTGCTGGATTCACAGACCTTCTGCTTCTTTTCAATTATGGAATTTGGCCAGGGTTCACAATTCTGCTGAAATCGGAAATTATCCCAAAATCATGGAGAACGTGGCAACAGGTAATTCTTATCTTAAAATACTGATTCAACTAGTAGAAGATTTTTCTTCAATAGTCTAGTTTTGGTTTCAGTTATATTTGGATTGGGCGTGGTTTTCGATGGTAGCTCATTATTCGCTGGTTAGCTGGTCCCGATGGATGGCGATTCGGCGTCCTCTCGACTTCCGCAACCAACAGCGTCATACTTCGTACTTACTCTGCTCCGTCTGCTATTTGTCATCGCTTGTATTGGTGAGATTTTAATTACTTCAACTAATTAGATCACGTAAATTTTTGAATAAGAACTATTACGAATTGAGAAATATACTATGTCGGTTAGCTAGTAAACAAGTTTTTTCTTGTTTTGAAGACCGTTTTAGATCATTTCATAGTTTATTAGTATAATTAAAATAAAATAGTCGGATGAAATATTTTTTTTTTGTAAATAAACAATCTAATAATTTTTGATTGTTTTGAAATTAGCTGTCTTTCTAAAAACGAAATGTTTTTTGGTTTCGATTTCTTCGAATATTGGGCATTGAAACAAAAGAAGTGTGGGAAACGAATGACTCGCTAAGCATCAATTTATATCTACAATTTATAATCTCTTTTTTAGGTATTATCAACACATTTTCAACCTTGGTATGTCACCTTCTATTATGAGCCTTCTTCGTATGGAATGCTCGCTGAAAACTTTGCGTTGTACCTGTCCGGCGGTCAATCAGCTCTTTTCCTGGCAATTCACATCATCGCAATCCTTCCACCAATCGTCTTTTATTCGTATGTAACCTTTTAAAGCAAAAAATTGAAAAATTAATATAGATGGTCAATTGCTTTGTTATATCGCCGAAGGAAATCGAAACATCTTGTCCATCAACCGTTTCAGAGCAACGTTGAGAGCAGGTATCCTCTTTCGGGAATTTAATTTTTTTGGTTCAAAAAATGTTTTAGATTACTCATGCCATGTCTCTTCAATGTCGTCACATTTATCATTGGCCAAGTGTTGATTACTGTAGGAACTGGCGAAGGAAAATGGGCGGGATACACCGTAATGCTCCTTTTCGCGACAAATTCGGCACTCAATCCCATCCTTCTTCTGATTTGCTCGAAGACATTGAGGTAATCCGACAAATTGATTCGATTAAACAGTTTACACAATCTATTTATTTCAGAAAACAAGTTCTCGAATTCCTTGGAATTGCAAAACATGCCGCATTGGACAAATTCGAAGCATCTCTTTATAGGTTTGCGATTCTGAAATTCATTTTGATTTCTAATTACTATGATTTTAGAAATATTAACACGGACACAATCAATCTGAAAATCATGGAATACGGTAGCTTAAAATTGCTGGAGACTCCATTTGCAAACCGTGAATCCACAATTGGAACACCCGTATAATCTGATGAATCGATGTTCAATTTAAAGTTAATTACCTCATCTCATCATTGTGTTGCACTTAATTGCGGGTAATTAATTCAAAGAATACTTCGGCTCTCTTATTTCACTATTCAAACAAATTCGAATACGTGTTCTTGTCGATTTTGATGATCTCTTATTGTCATTCTACTGGTCATTTTCATAAATCCTATCTTTCGAGTTTTCGATTTTCATGATTTAAAAAAAATGGCTCTGCGAAAAATTAAACAAATCGGTCGAAAAGATCAATTCAAAAAAAAAATAAACATCGAACTATCAATTTCACATATGTACATAGATGTTTCGAATGGATGAAATCATGATAAAAAAATAGAGCAAAGACATTTCTCAAGTGATGAAAAAATAGTAAAAGCCATAGAAATTTTGAATAATCTATAAATTGAAATGATTTATTTATAAAAAGATCCCACTCGAAATGTTTGATTTTCTTCCAGAAAGAATTCATATGCGTACATACATTTATCTATTTTATAGGTATTCGATTGTTACAAACAAATATAACTGAATATACACGAACACACAATTGAAATCCGCCACTTGTAAACAAAAAGTTCAGAGAATGGTAATAAGTATGAGTCACCTAGATAGGCCGATTATAATAATGGTATAATAAGGTCGACGATGACTGACGGCGGCAAAATAGTTATTGTTGAATAGTGTTCTGCTGTTTGTTCCGAATGCCTGTTTTCGCCGACCAACCTAATCTGCGGCGAGCAATTTCAAAAAAAAAAGCAAGCCAAAAAAGGCCCGATTGACTTGATCAAACATGTCAGTTATGCGTGTGTCAACAAGCCGCCGCGTTTTTTAATCGTGATGAGTCTCGCTAGAGCAACCAGAAGCTCAGCATCCTCTTCTTCGTCTTTGCTTTTCCGCCGTCGTCGCGCTCCTGTTTTGTGATGTTTTGTCTTCGATAAGCCGATTCCACAGAACAATTCGTGTTTGACACTTTGGCCCCGACGCTTTTCCTTCAGAACCTCGTTTTTGAACACCTTTCCAATCATCTCCAAATTATTTGAATGTCTTCTCTTTCATGTGAACAGTTATTTTACATTTATTGTTTTTTTTTTTGAACAATGATCGGCCAAATGTTTCTAAATTATCAGTGAATTAAAAACTCCAAAAAAGTCATTGAAACAAAAGTGTGACACTCTTAAAAATATTTATTTAAAAAAAACGAAAACTAATTTTTTTCGGTCAATGACAAATGGTTGTTACGAGTATAGAAATATCTATTTTTCATCGACTTTTTAACATTTTTTCTATTGTTTCCCAGTTGCTGTGATTAAAAGTCCTGTGAAAACTTGACAAATTAAAGCATTCATTTCTATTTGCCGGATCTTCAACCTTGAGAAATGGTGTTGACTTTGAGGTTCCTTTAAAGAAAAGAAATTGAATTGTCGTTTTCTTCTATTTTTTTTTCTTTCGTCGGTCAACCCATTCCTATTGTTCTTCGTTTTTGCACCATTTCGTGCTCATGGCGTTCGAATCGTTCAAACGTTGCCACGCCGGCCGTCGGATGTTTGTTGTTGTTGCTCCGACACCTCTCAGAGTTTCGAGTGCTCGCCCTCACTCAAGATCGTCGGCCGAGACTCAATTCCAAATATGAATCAATTTCTTTTATCGTCATTTCTCATCACTTATCGCACATTTCGATTGAATTTCAGCCAGATCAGCAATGGTCGAAGCGGGTTCAAACCTCGGCCTTGGTAGTATTCATGTGAAAACCGTCATCGAACCAACGCCTCCGCCACCGCCGCCGCCTCCCAAAATACTCGGACCATTTGCAACAATGATCAAGTTTGATTTTCTCCAAAATTAAATAAAAAATGAATTTGCAGATTTTCTGGTTTCGATGGTTCGAAGCTGCGAAAAGAAAGTATTGCGTCGACGAGAGGAATCATTTCTGCCATTATATTTATCGTTTTTGCTAGTTGTTTAATGGTCGAAACCATCATTTTAATGGGAATCGAATCAAAGGTAAAACTGTGTATTGATCCTCTCAAAATGTTCGTTGGAATTGAAAAACAGCATGAATAGGGGTGTGTGTGTGTGCGTGTTGAGTTAAAGTCAACAATGCCTAATTGAGATATCAAATGACATTATTAAAGATGAATTACAAATATTTGTTAATTGCAGCCTTTTACCCTCGGCTGGGCCGAATCCAACATTTATAGCTTCATGTCAGCTCAATCGTTCATCAGCGCTATCTGCTTATTTTCATGGACCCGCGAGAAATTTTTGTCGCAATTCGAAGATACACTAGCACGAATTCGAGGCCTTCGGGTAAAAACCCAATCATTTTCTGCGAAAAAAAAACGTAATTTTTTGCAGCTTTCAACAAGCCAAACAATCGACGATTATACGAAATTTCATCGAAAAGCAGCACTGCTAATTATTCCGATATTCGGTGTAATCCTCACGAATTCATTCTACACCTCCATTTCGAATAAGCATTTTAGAGATGACAACACGTAATTCTTTTGTTATTTTTTTCGGATTATTTTTCATTATTATCATCAAACAATGTTAAGGACGTTTTTCTCAACATCTTCCATATTTCTGGTTGCTCCAATCATTGATTTGATCGGATGCGTTGCGACTTCTCTGGCAATTATCACTTATGTGACAGTGAATGTGGCATTGAACCGCGAAATCAAGCATTTCAACAAGGAATTAACAAATTCGGCACGATTTCAACAGCTTACGGTAGCCATCAATTATTAAGTGCGTTCATGTTTGTTGTTGAAGCTTCCACAAGTGTTGAACACCTACAGTAAGCGGCATTCGGATATTCTGCAGTTGATCCGATTTTCGAATAAACACACGAGTTAGTTGATTTCATTGAAATCCAATAACTTTTCCTATTTTTTTCAGGCAAATATGCTACAATTGTTCCATTTTTCACTCTTGTCACCGTTATCAATTCATTTTATATAATTGGCTCATTCAAGCCAATTCTCGATTCGTTCGAATATATTCTATTCATTGGTTGGGTTTTCGTGTCGATGGGAATCACCATTTCTTCATTTTTACCTCTTGTCAAAATTCAAGAAAACGTAAAGGATTTGAAACCGAATAAACACATCGCACATAATTTTCAGATAGTGGATACTTCTGAAATTCTGATGCACGACGATGTCCTTCAAACCTGCGGAGACGATCAGGTTTGATATTAAATATTATCGAAGTCATTTCTCATTTCAGATGCATCATACCTATCGTGTTACCCTCGACCGATGCATCCACAGCAATACGAAAATCGCATTTCTGAGTGCATTCAACATTGATTCGGTGGTCTTCAACAGAATTATGTTTCTCGTTCCCAACATTGCTGAATTGTTGATAATTCTCAATCAACCTCATTGATTTCATTGTTTGCTTTGTTTGTATATCCGAATCGCCTCAAGTCATGAGGTTGTTGTCTGTTTTTTGTATTATTATTTATTGTTTGAAGAATAGAAAAAAAACTCAAGTATTCTGTATTTAATTAATGCGAATCACTACCATAAAAGATTGAAATTTATGCAAATTTATTGATTGTGAGTAAATATGAGCTGGTTGGTTAATAATTGATTACTGTTCACTAGCATCCGACTCATATCCGCTGTCATTTTCATTTTCGTTCCTTCTCATTTCCACAACCGCTTTTCGTTGCCGAATTTTCAGTCGGTCGTGTCTCGAGAAATACGGCTTCTCATTGCCTCCATGAATCGTCAAAAATATCTAATAGATTTTTATTTAATTTTGAGAAAATCAAACAAAAACTGCAACAACAACCTTTCCTTTATAGATTTTGTTCATAATACTCGTCAACATTAGACAACTAATCTCAAATTGCTGCAAATTGTCAATTAGAATCGGAATTCGACATAATCGCAAACTCCGTGGAGATGAGAATGTCGAAAAACTTCAGGAAACACGCATTTGGTGACAGTGAACACAAAATCTTCGATGCTTTCGAATGGAGCGATCGCAATAATCGAACCTTGAAAAGAACGAGTTGAGGTTGTTTTTGAAACTCAAATTCCAACCCGATTTTCCTCGAAAATGCATGTGAGTGTCCAATACGCAGATCGTGTTCAATTGGCGATCATAAAGGAAGCACATTGCTCTTTCATATGCTAGCACTCCGATCGGAATTCTTTGTAAATTCTCCAAATACGGGCTAAAACAAAGGGCTGAAATCATTTCAGTTTTTTTTTCGATTACCTGTTCACAACCATGCCGAATGCACTTATCAAATTGTTCATGAATCTTCCCGAATAGCACCTGTAATCGATTTCATGCATTTCTGGTCGGTGTACACGAATAGCCTAGAATCTTCGACATTTCCATTATCAACTCTTTATCAAACCTCTGGAACTGTGAACGTATCGCGAATTGGTTTTTTCATAATTGAGCTAAAACTGACAACAATTGTTAGATAAATAGAAACGAGGAGAAACCAAAACATGCTCTCCGCGTTCTCGCGAATCGTTTTAGCATTCACCAGATCGTGCTTGTCGATTGGACCACCGTGTCTAAAGATTTTCAAATAACACTGATTATCTGTGTCAGTCCAAAAAAGATTTGACCAAAAGCTTGGCGAAACAGATGCCGATTTATTACCAGGTAACATCGAAAAGAGAACTGTATCTTCTGAGACACAAGGAGCTCACTCTCCGCGTCGGAATCGTAGGAAATTTTCTCTACCCCAAAGTCCCTTGAACATTAACATTTCCAGTGTTTCCTATATCCCATTCTGTTTCAATAATTTATAAAAATAATAACACACACTTTAAATAGAGAGTGACGTGGCCCGCTAAAATGTCCCTAGCTATTATTTCATATCAATGTTTTATAAAGTGTATACTTTGGTTGAAAAACCCAGATACGTAAGGTAACTTGGTGATTCGACTAGAGCGTCGAATTTTAATTTTTGCGAAGCTTCTTCGGGGTGTCCGTCGAAGCGCTGATTTCGTACCCGTTTCTTCGAAGTGCCATGGCGTGTCCATGAGTTGCATTTCCGTCGATTACAGCGTTAATGAGTGTATCGAGAATGTATGCAGGAAGATCATGAGATAAATTGGCATCAGTTACGGGCATCGGAAGCTCATATCTTTAAAAAATTCCCATAATGATTATTATTGTTAAAAACCTCAAAAAGTCATAAGCGATTTGTACAGTGATCAAAGTGCAAGCAGAAGATGGTTTCGTTCGACCGCCGTATTTCGATTGAGACAAGTGCAACGGCAGAATCCAAACATGCACATTGTTTTCAAAAACGTTCGAACGATAGATCGTCATTGCTTCCTTTTCATAATTCACATTACGAGCAGAAGACGATGCATCTTCTTCGGCGTTCGCGGCAAACGCATTTGAGTTTTCTTCATAGTTCAGTCTAAAATCGGTCAGTTAATTTTTTAAAAAAATTGTTTAAAAAAATTGTTGCCTCAGTCGATGTTTTCGTGCAGCCGGCCGGATTACACACATATCAGTTGAAGGTTAGTAGGATCGGTTAGTAGAATAATATCGAGTAGAAATGGCTATTTTCGAATATCTTCAATTTATATCAACTTGCATGAATTTTTCACGCAAAATATGCAATGAATTTAGCAAAAACCAAAATTCACCTAATGAATCGTTTTCGTTTTTTTTTTCCTTTCTGTTACGAATTTGTTCCTGGAGGGTATTTGTGCCAGGAGTAGCCCGTACGTCTTGCCCGATGTATAGCGGGAATATGCGAAATGAGAAACGCGAATAGAATGTAACAGTTTATTATGAATGTATAAGAGGAGGAGTGTGGGTATCCAACTCCGAATCCGACTGCCGAAACGGTCGGCCTCGAAGCCAGAGAGCATGCCAACTGGTCTATTAGAAACCAACCCCACTTTTTAACCCCCAATTTTTAGGTTTCACCCCCCCCCCCCTACTTCTTCACTGCACTTCAAAATTTGCAGTTTCTAACAGTAATGTTTAGCAGTAAAGTTTTTTTTAAAATTTTTTTTAATTTGCAATAATTCAAGTTATCAAGAGGAGATTCGCAGAACTGATGTCTAAATTACATTTTTTAGAAACTATGTAGTGTTCTTATGAAAGGCTGAAAATTTGGCAAATTAGTAGTGGCTCGTGAAAAGTGGCTCGTATTTACTATATTCTTTGTCTCGCGAATTTTGGATCTTTGGCTGCCATTACCAAGAAAAAAGAAAATTGCCAATAATTTTTTGCTCCCCGTTTCTTACTCGCCCCTTGATTTTTAGGGTGGCACCCCGGAGTGGAACTCGCCGTGATCGAACTCGGCTGTAATAAAACTTGTGATATATATGTATATATGGTTAGATATTTTTAGTAGGTTCCGTTAGTTTTATGAAAACAACATAAACACAGTTTTTATTCGATAACATATTTATTAAAAACACTTTTAAATATTAATAAATTATTTTTCGATAGATCATTTTTACCGTAAAATCTGCATCAAAATAGTACTTCTAACAAAACAGCTTTCAAAAAAACTTCTCAAAGGTAACCGTGTCTTTTCTATATAACGTCTTTCCTTAATTTTAATGAGAAATAGCAAAATCAGAAATATTGGGCAATGTTATTTTGAAGTTTGTAAAAAAAAGCTTCGAAAAATCGAAAATGATACGTTTTAGAATATATATTCGTTTTATTTGCAAAAAGATTTACAGTTCAACATAATCTTTAAATTTCAAAAGAAAAATTCCGTCCGTAAAATTATTTTTTGAAAGAGTATGCTCATAGATTAAACTGAAATTTACCTTTGGAAACGTCAAATATTGTGAAACAAGTCAATACTTATCGAGTAGTCCTCGAATCGCTCAATCTGTTAAATTTAATATATTAGTTGTTCTCATTAAACTAACTGAAACTACTAAAAACATCTAACCATATAGATATTTGATCCACTACGAATATTCGTTCGATGTTACAGTGGACTCCTTGGATGGATCGGCCCAGCTGGAATCCTAAGAATCTGTACACATCTTGTGCAATAAGTTCGTCATGGAAGTCTTGCGGACTCTGCCTGAACCTGATTATTCCGATTATTGAGTACCTTGATACAATTCTAAGCTTACTCCACGAATTTTATTGTTTTGTAAGATATTCGAAATAAGTTGGTGAAATTCCAGGAAAAAAAAAAACATAATTTCGTAATTTTTACGCTTACAGAAATAAAAAATGACTTAGCAATAATCTTACCCCCCCCCCCATTCAAAAAATACAATTTTTCAACTTTTCCCCCATTAAGACAAAAAGAAGACGTTCCTCCATCCAGCGATTTCAAACAAATTATTGACAATTGTCATTTTTCTTGGTAATTGCAGCCAAGCCAAAAATCACGAGCCAAAATTCGCGAGCCAAAGAATATAGTAAGTACGAGCCACTTTTTGCGAGCCACTACTAATTGGCCGAAAATTTTAACAAGTAATGAACTATTCTCGGAAAATCCGGTTCAGAAAAATTTCATCTTTCGAAAACGTGAATCTATTCCAACAATTGTCGATATTTTTCAAGTGTCCAATTGTGCATTTTGATATCAAGCTTCTTTGCAAGTCTTGCGCAAATCAAATACCTAAAAACAATAGTGGCAACCAAATAGGCTTAGATTTTTTGTACAATTTAACACGTTTAAGGAATATAAATTTATTTTAGAAAAACAATATTAAATTAGAAAGGGAGGGGAACAATTAAATGGGCCAAATTTACCAAAAAGTTACAAATAAACCAGCGAATCGAAGAACATATATTGAAAAGCCCCTGAAAGACACAGAAATCATGGAATATTGTTGAAAAAAAAATTTGAAATATACGAATAATAAGACAATCCTAAAAATTGGGAAAATATTAGTCATTTATTAATTTTAAGTCCTAAATAGCCACTAGTTTGCAAAAATATACACTTAAAATACAACTATAAATAACTTAAATCCAATTTTAAAAGGATATATCGCAAATTTCCCGTTAGGTTCGACATTACCCGTTAGGCAATTGTGATAATTTCGTAATAAATGTATTATAATTTTTGTTAATCGAAGAAGTGAGTGTTTGAAAATAATGATAAACTTAAAACCGTGGCTAGAAAAGTAGAGATGAAAAAGTCTGGGTGGGTTGTAATAGGCCCACAAAAATGGATTTTTTTTCAAAATTGTCAAATTCTGTTTAATAAATAGCTTTTTTAATAAGTGAATACTCAAAATATCAAAACCTTCGAACAAACGGCACATCACTTAAATTACACCAAAAATTTGACTTGAGAATCGATTTAAAGTTTTTAAAACGAATTCTGTTATTATTTTTTAACGGATGTGTCAAAATGAAGGAATCGAACACTTTGAGAGGTTTTGTACGAAAAACCTTTATGGCCAATATTCTATGTGGCAGGATTGTACGGAAGTCCGATTCCGGAAGAAAATTGCGATTCGTAGATGATGAATTGACAAACTTTTAATGCCGACAAAAATTATCACATTTTTCCTTTTTTTTTTAATTTTTTTCTAAATTGCCCTATTTTAAAAAACATTTTTTTCACATATTTCATTTCTTGTAAACTTTTCAAAATTACATAATTGCGAATCAAACAGTAATTAGTTAGCTACTATTCAAATTGCTAATCGTTCACGTGATATTCGTATTGATGTAGTTTGCTCATATCTGACCTTGCGGCAATTCTTTTGTGAATAATCGCATAACAACCAGCGAGATAGTGTTGGAAATTGAGAGGGTCGACTTAGAAGATATTCAAAATATCGTGTGCAAAACACCCGAAAACAATGACAGATTTGCGACGCGAAACGCCCACCGAATGGGCGGTCGATGCTCTCGACTCCGCCCACATCGACTATAAAAGCAGGGGATGCGGCTCAGATGGCGGACAATGGCGAGTTGTCTATCATCGAAACCTTCTGATCATGATTTGCTGATCTCGTTAGGGATTCTCGCCTCCGATTCGGTCAGACGGATCCAGCCCTTAAGTGGGTGGTTTGCAGTGTTGGGTTCAGGTGATGCTAATCCTCTCGTTTGAAGCCTATCTTGTGAAGAGGGCTAGATGATAGATGGCGGACCGTTGTCCCCGTCCCCAGTGGTACCACTATCCCCTCTCCATCCCACCCCCAACCCCACCCCCCCCAGATCCTTCGCGATCGGGCAATGACCCACTCAGGATTTCCCCACCTGCAGCTGGTGAGCCTCCTCTTCACGTGCCGAGCCTCTGACGCAGATCGAGGAGGATTCCCCCTCCTCAACTAGGCGGCTTCTCTACGATCCAGCAAGTCGTGAGAAGTATTCCGAGACACATCCAATGCTTTCGAATTCCAACGGCTCTCTTAAGGGCTTTTAATTGTTTTATCTATTTTTCTCAAATAAAATTTTTCAACGTGTGTAAAATTGATTGAAATATTTCAAATTGCAAGAGCCTAAAAATGTTTTTTAATCCAAAAAAGGATAAAACATGGAAATTTGCAATAATGCTTCTTTAGAGTGTTAAAAAATTTCTTAAGCATTCGAGTATGACAAAAAATACGCCAAAATTAAATAATATTAATGTTGGAATGAAAACTTAGCGTCGGCATAATTTAAAAAATGTCTTAAGCAATAATTTCTTCATACAAAAATTTCATACGATTAAAAATGCATTTTTTTCGAAAAAGTAATAACATTTCCCCCAATTCCCTCCATTTCGTTTCTTCCCATCCATATTGGCCAAAAAACAGAATTGAACACTAAAAGAAAACTGAAGGAATCTCAAGTAAAAATTTTCAGAAAATCATTAGTCAAAAATTGTTAATCAAAAAAAATTAGTCAAAAATCACTAGTAAAATATCATGAGTCAAAGAATAAAAAATCATGATACAATTTTCATGAGTCAAAAAGCATGAGTCAATGAACATTGACCAAAATTGGGGGTTAACAAGTGGGGGGGAGGGGTGGTATCATAAATAAAAGGAGGGGTTAAAAAGTCGGGGTGGTTTTTAATAGAGGTTTTTAATAGAACTGCCTTGTTAGTAGTCGATTTGTCGCCGAAAACTCCATTTGTCGCACAAACCTGTAGTTGGCGGTGTAAAAATGAAAAAGAGATGCTTAGCTAGGTGACATTAAGGGTATTCTGAAAATTTTTGATTTGTCTATATAAATTGAGCAAATAATTAAAATTATTCTCTCTCCCACGAAATGTAGATTTACGGAAGGATAAATTTAAGAGTTGATTAAGTAGAAAATTAAAACAGGCTAAAGCAGACACTAGTATTTTCCTTGAGATTCTTGTTTCATCCCCGCTAGAAAAAAATATTTAAATTATTCCATATTTAATCCTGCAATAGAAAACCTAGTGATTTGAAAGCTGCTAAATTCTTTTGCCATTCGTTAAAAGAGGATTCATTTTAGTGTAATAAAAATAGGCGCAATAGTCACGTTTGGCAAAAAATGTTGACAAATTTTATGAGATTTTGAAAAACTGCAAACTTCGACAATTTTACTAGCCCTGAATAGATCCATTAAACTTTGCGATTTCAATTAAGCCTTTCAATATTCAAATTATGCGTTTGAAAACATATTTAATATGCATGTAATTGTTATGATTTAATCCACTATATCCGGTTTTCTGTCAGCAGCATTCGAGAGTATTTTGATACATTTCATTCAAATGCCAAACTTCGTACTCGTTTTCGTTATTCTTTTTTGTATTCCAATATGTTTTACTCAAGTCGTTCTTGATTTAAATGGAACATCAGCTGGAATCCAAACATTTTTGAATCAATTGTTCGAAGCCAGTCGATCGCAAAATATAAATCAACACTTTCAAGGTAAGTAGTTTATTAGAAATTAGAAATTGTATATTTAATTGAAGTAGAAAGGGTTGACGGAAATTTGGAAATGATTTCCAACGATTACAAGGAACATCATTAATAATTTGTACAATAAATTTTACTTTTTAAGCAACCACTCTTTGCTTTTCTCGTTTTGCATTTGGTTGATGATGTTCTGAAAACAATTATTGGAATTATTCATAAAACATAAGTATAATAAACCAACCCTCCATATAGCAATATCATCGTTAGATGGTGTTGAAGATTTCGTGGCCACGCTGGTTAATGTCGATTCGAATAATTTTGCAATATTATCAATAAATGCAGACTGATCAAACTTTTCGAAATCGTCCATCTCAGGCTCAGTAGAACAGGAAGTGGTTTCCATTTTCTAAAAGAAAAGTTCATTGTCGTAAATTCTCTTTAAAATTTGAAACATTACCTCATCTTCGCTATTTTCTGTTTTCTGAATCCATTGATCATTATTTGAACTTATGACTTTTTGGATAACATCATTGAACGCATATTGAGATTCACTGCTCAATGGTTCGTCTTGAAAACATTTTGGAACAGGAGCTGGAGGAAGTTCAGCGCATTTTGCAGATTCCGACACTTTCAAAAGCCAATCACACATTGGACGATGAAGATTCTTCAAATAGAATCAGTTTTTCTGAGAAATCAATTATGAAATACCTTAATAAAACGCTGACTAAATTGTTCTCTTGTTGATTTTTCATCGATATGAGAAATCGTCGAAGTTCGAGTCTTCGTATCATTGATAACCTCAAATGAGGCAGTCTCATCAGTCGATTCCGTCTTTAAAAATATTAAACAATGCTCAATTTTGACATCTGATTGACTGTCAAATTATATTTTTTCGGAATGATAAAAAAAATCAGAAGACGTTAAAAAATGTAGTAATTTTGATGAAAAAAAACAACATACTTCTAATGCCATTTGATTCAAGTCCACGTTCAGATCACTTCGATTTCCTTCCAACTTATCGAGCCAACCCTTGACAATTCCCGCTTCATGTGGTGTAGTCGGAGAATTCGCCAATCCTTGGCAAGATTTCTTTGCCAGCCAACAGTCCATGTCATCCTCATAATCCTCGAAAGCTCGAGGAAGTGTAATCCCCAGACTTGGTTTCGATCTTCTCTCACACTGACTTCCAACGCGAATATTTCCTAATTTTGCAATGTTGTCCGATGACGACACAATATCAGCTTGAAATTCAATTCGAACATCGTCTTCATCACACTTTAAAAGAAGTGATTCGATGGATGTCGGCAATCCTTTGAACTCATTGCTTGCAAGTGCGTGTTGACAGGCACCTTCAAGATATTCGATAGATTGAAATCTATGGATTAACCATACCAATCATATTTTCGATGGCCCGTTGTTTTCGCGAAATTTTCTTCTCCTTCTCATCGTGAATTTTGGTTAAATCATCGATGAGATCTTCCTCGCGTGCACGAATCATCGAAATCTCCATTGTCATTACTTGATTGATTTCACGAAGGGTCTAAATACTATTTATTATGCAATATTCACACGAAAAATTTAATTTGCATGAAAAATGTTGTTAGTAATCTACTTACCGTTTCATAGTTTTGTTTCAAGAATGATTTGAGCTCAGCAAGCTTTGCTGCACAATTTTCGAGCTCACTCAAACGATGTCGGACATTAATCTGTTCCATTTCTGCAATCAAAATACAATTTAAACACACGAATTCAACGACACTAGACACAAGTGAATAAAATTGTTACACTCGGCGAAGACAACCGACAATGTAATACCAACTACTAACTTCTTTTTATCACCACAGAACTTCCAGTCATCATATTACGCAAAATCGCCTGATAACGAAATGTACGGACAGAAAAAACGCGTAAATTTTTCGTTGATACGATAGATGTTGTAATGGTACTATACTAATTGAAAAAATCACCATTTGACAACGATTAGAATAATAATTCTCTCGCACAAAATTATTTGAAATTGAATAATTTCAATATTATCGAAACAACCACTCTCTATGTTATCAGCGGAAAATGAACCGATCGATTAATCTGTAAAATACTAATCACGCAATGTAAACATTTAAACTCAAAAAAAAATCAAAGACAAGAAAATCTCATCAAAAAGTTCAGCTGTGATAAATGCAGTTAGTCGGCGATGTTAAGGAACCTTTTGCAGTGGTCTCACCACATACGAATGACTATTAACTGTCGAAGTAAATCGGATGTGATGAGCCCCATTCTTGGGTTTTTTGAATTTAGCCCATTTTCTGTAGCCGCACGACATCGCAATTTTTTTCACCGGAACGTTATCTTTCTTGATGATTTTTCTAAACGTTTTTCAAATTAAAAATTATCGTTTTGAACTCTAATTGTCCATTATTCACCGCTTTCGTTTTTTTACGATGATAGTAGGAATATGATTAATATTTTTTAACTGTGAAGCATTAATAAAAATACAAAACGGAAAAAATATATAGTGAGCTTGGACAGACACCTGGTTAGATCACACAATTATTAAACTACATGTTAAATATGTATTAATACTTTATTTAAATATCTATTATTATCACAATGAGAAGCAGAAATTTGCTCGTTGGGTGATGGGTACGTGGTATTATTCAGATTTTGAAAAAAAAAACAATTAAAAACTTAAAAAAGAAACCAAAATACTAAAAGTAATTTTTAAAAGTTTTGTAGAGCTTTTTTCTAAAATCTGCGTAGCGCCATAAAGTGCATAGCACCACAGCTTTGGTATAATTTCAAATAAAATAAAATGCGGTTTTCGAAATTGCACAGTACGCATTTAAATTCGTGGGAGAATGAGTCTGAAAAAAAAAAACAATGTTTTAATAGAATTCAGATGAGAACATACCCCGCAACCAAAGTGACTAAAGGATTCGGATAGCTCGTTGATGGATGATCTCCAGAGCATCCTCCCATATCGATATGTGTATATTTCAACGGTTTTGCGCTATTCGTACCATGTTCATCGATTCTGCTAGCCTAAAATTAAACCAAAAGTGAATATTCTGTTAGTATATAGAAAAGATTTCGCATTCATAATATCTAAAGTAAAGTTTAGAGAAAATTATATTTAAATTTTACCATCTGCAAAAACGCGGCCGGTGACTGATGCCCACGCATTGTAGCAACCGAGGGTTTCGTATTTCCTTGTCTTAAATCGGCCTGCTCACTTTCAGCCAAATGGAATGCAAAGTCTTCCGGATGAAGTCGGCTGATCTCTATCGGTTGTCCGAATTCGTCTCCGACATCCTGAACCTTTCTTGCCCATCCACTATTCTTCGCTGGTCCATTATCCATAATAGCGGCGTAGTATCCATAAGAAAGTATTTCGTGACCAGTAAGCGTTGCCAAAGTAAAAATGTGCGGATTTTTTTCATTAAGCGCTTGTTCTTTAGCCAAAGTCAGAGGATCGAGCATAGTGAGACGACCTTCAGCGTCCGTGTTGTAAATATGGATTCTCTTGCCACTTCTTGATTTAATAACCTCATCGCACGTGTATGCCCGAGCTCCAATGCTGTTGCGAACCATGCACATATATCCAATTGCCTTGATGTTTTTCGGTTTGAGAACATCAATTGCCTTGAAGAAACCGGCAAGAACTGCTGAGCCGAATTTGTCGCGACACATTCCGAACATGTGTCCACCGGTTTTCAAGTCGCAGCCGCCTTAATTATTTTGAAACATTGAATTAAATAGACAAATGCATGCTCACCAGTGTCAATTGTGACACCTTTTCCAACAACGAAGAATGTATCTTGAATTTCTCCTTCGCCAACATACTCCAATTTAATCAAACGAGCCTTCATACAAACATTAAGAAATTCGGATCTGATTTTAAAGTACCTGATGTTCTTTAACCGTATTTGCACAACGGTTAACAGCAGCCATCAATGGGAACTCCTTCTCGATCACATTCTGGTCGTCAACAACGCTCACATTAACGTTCCCATTGGCAAATGCACCCTATAACTAACTAATCAAAACGTTCTTGGACAAATAAAAACCTGAATATATTCGGCAACTCTTGGTGGGGCCATTCTCTCCGGCCCCTGTTCTCCGACGTCGCGGCACACGGTGAAAGCGGCATCATACGCAGTGGCAAGACGGTCTAATTGATTGCTCGATTCGCTGTTCCCCACCTGAAATATGAAATTCAATTTGAAAAAAAAAGGAAGAGATATTTACCGCAAGAAGTCCGAGAGAGCTCAATTTCTGTGTGTTGTCCTCTTCGCGCACATTCAATGGGGTATAGACGGGAGTAAGGGCTCCAAGAGCAGCAACGAGCTCAGCATTGGGGAAACGCGAATTTGGCAAAGTGATGAGTAAAGGCGAACGAATTCCAGCTGAGAGAGCACTGAATAATATGAAATATTTGCTTTAAAATAATATTAGAAAAAAAAATGAAAAATGTCAATAGTCCCTCACTAATCCTTCAACTCTACTACTGTACTTTGAATCGTTGCATCACAATTATTAATTAATTTGTTAGGAGATTATTGTTTTCAACTTCCTCCTAACGAGAATTCCACAAATTTGTCGCATTCAACTATTCCCGGAATTCACTGATAACCCTACTCGCCTACGCATAAAAAAACAATGATCACGCCGTTTTTTCGTTGATGACGCGTTTATTTCATATTTAGATAATAAAAGTCACATTTCTCGCTGATAATCGTGATGGTGTTACAGCCCGACAAGACCCCGTATTCATTGCAACACAATGGAGGCAATGTCGAGCTCTTATCAGCTTGATGAAATTGGCATATGATTTATTGATCAACTTCTGACATATTTTTATCGAAAAGCGTGAGCGCTATATTCTTGAAACTAAAACTTACAGTTCGATGCCTTTCCTCGCGGCTAATTGGTAACGGCGAATATCGTCGAAATCACGGTTTACGTTTCCTGAACACAAAAATTTGATAAAGATGAATAACTACAAATAACGCTTACCTGTTCCTGAGAGGATAATGCGTCCGGAAGGAACTATACTGGGATCGACTTGAACAAGAGAAGTCGAATGAAATGCGCCATGGTGGAACTGCAATGTTTCATTCAAAAAATATTACATTCGCCAAAAAAACGAGCATCCTGTGCCGATTTACGGTGAGTTAGCTTCGAGGACTGTACCCGAATTCGAACTGTTTAAATTAGAATTTGAATCGCCTCTAAAAAGTGTGATGGTCCACAATAATGCAAGGTGCTCGTTTTTTGCGACGGTAATAATATAATAACGTTTATTTTTCTAAATTTCTAACAGCTTGTAAAAATAAAATAAAAACGTTTAAGGAATAGACAGCTTTCGGAGACGGCAAGATTTGAGAAATTTCCAGGCAGTGCAAAAACGAGAAAAATAAATGCTCAATTAAACGCGTTTTATATGTAATTTCGAATTTCGAAAATTCGGAACAATACTGCCAAATAATCAACATTTTGCTAATTAAGATTTCTTAAATAAAAGACGTTGTTTGACTAGTTAGGAAAAGTTTTCACTTTGAAAATAAAATACCTTTGCGAAATTGTCAACTACTGGTCCAATTGCGGAGACTTGTGGAATTGATCCAAACTGTTTTGCCCCATCCTGACTGCTGACAAGAATCACGGCGTCGAACGCTGTGTCCGCGATCGATACTGCACGAATGATCTTAGTTGAAAGAAGCGATTGGAGAGACATTTTAGCCTACGGGTTGTATTGCCCAAGAACTGAAATTGAATATATGAGATGGGTAATCGAATTGGTTATGAAGCGATATGGAAAGATACGACACAATAAAAAGAAAAACAGCGAGACGCTCGAGAATGCCCTTAAGAAAATCTTATCAATTTCGTGTCATTCTATTTATATAGATGTTTATTATCAATGTTTGATCTAATTTGTGGATTCAAACAAGATTCTCAGCTGTCATTGATAAAATATTACGATTTATGATGATCACTTTTCGGAGATAATTATGAAAATAAGTTGTAAAACTGTGAAATGAATACAGCTTTGTGTTTGCGTCATTCACAATTCGACTACAACACATAAATGATAAAAATGAAGTATTGGTGACGGAGTCTTCAAGTTTCGGATTATTCCTGAAACGTTTCCTCGAAAATCATTTGCTTATCAGTTTGCTTTGTGCATTTTGTGATTTACGATAGTGCACTATAAGAGACGGGAGAAATAAGAGTGATCTCATTATTTAAAGATGTATGTGTTATACATAGTATAAAATAATGGGAAGATAAGAACATAATGATTTATAACAAATATTTATAATATATCTTTGATAAGCCAAAATTTATACTTCAAAGATATTTTCCCAGTTGAGAAAAAGTCGCGTTTCATGTTTCCTGAACAAAAACTAATAACATAATCTGGCAATTCAAAACAAATCGGAACCCAATTTCCAACAATTATCAAATGAATACGATAAATTTATAATTTAAACCGAAGAATTTACTTTGGGATTAGCCTGAACCAGAAAAATTTATCGTCGAATACGATTGATTTTTATTTTACAGATTATTTTCATTCATTTCGAATAAAATAATTATGAAATTCAGACGATTGTTGAACTAAACCCATAGTGCATCGAGACAGTCATGAAAAACGATAAGTCCTTTGTGAAAAAAACCCCAGTTTCTGATAGAAATAATGGCAATGATAAGATGAAAAAAAAATCGAACCACGAGTTGTACAAAATTCAATACATATGGTTATAGAGAAATTATTGCATTTAAAATTGATTTTGGTTAGAAAAACACGAATGTTATATTTACAGGCGAACAGGAATAAAAACACAATAAATAAATAAATATGAATAAATTAACGTTTATCAAACAATGTTGTCAAACGAGAGACGCCGAACATAAAACAAATGTGTCAGCTCAAAAAAGACGTCAGTTTCCGCAACGTGGCGCAATTTTAAAGAATTTTTCAATATCCAGTTTCCACGTCAATATTTCGATTATATTGCTGCGTTGAAATTTTAATGACGTACATAAAAGTAAATTTTTAAAGGCATGGCCTCACTTCTTTCTTCATTTCTTCAAAGAGATCCGAAATCGCAATTTCCCTATGACATACCAACCGAGCAACAGCACTACTTTGACCGTGTATCGATAGGAAATACATTTAAAAAGGTAATAATCTCAGCTAAATTATAATCAATCGGTTAAACGTAAATTAACCTGCTTCGATTAAGAAAGCGTTTAAATTCGATTTGAAAACTTGGTGTCGATTCCAAAAATCGATTTTCTCATTTTGAATTTTTAAATCGTCATGTCCGTTCATTCATAACAGATTAATTTATATTTCATTTCGATTGAAATTTAATTAATTTTTGGATCCGATGGATTTTCATTCACTAAAAAAGTTATCAATAGAATATATTTATGGTGTATTTCTAGTCAGATCCAGATGAGCACGCAACTATTTTCTGGGATAACCGAAGTTCGACATTAAAACAGCAAGCACAGAAATTAAAGACAATGAGACATCCAAATATTATCACTTATCTTGATAGTATTGAATTGGACGGAACGTTTTATCTTGTTACGGAAAAATGTCAACCTCTTCAATTGTATTTGGAAAACTCGTCGATGAGTGACCAACAGAAAGAGTTTGTCGTCTCATGGGGAATCTTTCAACTAATGGTAACACTGATGAATGTTCTAAATGAAAAAAATACAAGTTTAGAACGCGTTGAAATTCATGCATGAAGCGAAATTAAGTCACGAAAACATTCGAAAAGGTGTTTATGTGACTGCTGGTGGCGATTTTAAAGTCGGAGGGCTTCACCTTGTTACCGGATTCACGTAAAAACCATTGTATCATTTTTCGGTCACTTCAATTATTTTAGAAATGCTCAAAAAGATTTGAACCAATTAGCAATTTTAATATGGGAAGTTTTCAACGGTTTCTCAGACTCGGTTTCAAAACCACAACCTCCCGGAAAAATTCCCCAACGCTTGCATGAATTATACAAGAAAATAGCAACAAATACTGCAGCACGAGTTTCAGTTTCGGACTTGATTACTGGTAAGATCGTCAATTAATTTCTTTAAATATTTGGATAATTTCAGAAAATCGCATGACTGGCGGATATTTAAAGAATAAATTTGTGGATACTCTACTTTTTCTAGAGGAATTTCAATTGAAAGAGTCATCTGAGAAGCAATCATTTTTCATGCATTTAAGGTTATCTGGGAATGATATCATTTATAAATAACATGATAGTTTCAGAGAAAATCTGGACATCTTTCCTGATGATGTCGCCAAATACAAGATTCTTCCAAAATTAATTTTGGTATTTCTAATTAAAATATAGAACAATACATATCGGTAGTTGATTTTAGAGTTATGAGTATGGAGATGCTGGTCCTAATATATTAATACCATTATTCAAATTGGGAAGACTTTTGGATGAAGCTGAGTATCAAAGGACAATTGTTCCCTGCCTGTGCAAGGTATTCTTTTTATTTTACCAATATTTCTATACTTTTTCTTCTATCAAATTTACCATAGAAAATTTATTTTTAAACTATCTCATATAAAATTTTTCTTTTGTTAAAATTGCAGTTTTCTTTTGTAAACATTCTTTTTCATAATAGAAATTTTACCCTTTTATTAAATTTCGTATTGAGGAATTAATTTTAGTTATTTGGAAGTCCTGATCGAACAACACGTGTCAAACTTTTGGAAAGAATAGATGAATTCGCACCACATCTCACATCTCAAGTTCTCAACGAGAAAATATTCGGAAACCTTACGTCGGGATTCTTAGACACCTCGCCGGCTGTTAGAGAAAGCACAGTTAAAGCGATGGTCTCATTGGCGGATAAATTGAATTACAACAATTTGAACGTTGAATTGATGAAATATTTGGCAAGACTTCAAGGAGGCGATGAACACGGAGGAATACGTACGAATACAACAATTTGCCTGGGAAAGATTGGGCATCTTTTGGCTCCAGCTAAACGACAGGCGATACTAATAAGTGCATTTACAAGAGCGTTGAAGGATCCATTCCCTCCTTCCCGAATGGCTGCAGTCCTTGCCCTATCTGCCACCCAACAATTCTATCCGCTAGTTGAAATCGCGAATCGTCTTGTTCCTGCTCTAATTCCGCTTACTTGTGATCCTGAAAAACAGGTTCGAGATCAAGCATTCAAAGCCATTCGAGGGTTTTTGGAGAAGCTCGAAAAGGCTAGCGAAAACCCAGCTTTGATTCCAGAGTTGGAAGCATCTGTTAAAGCGGGAGCAAGTTCAATCTTGAATTCTGACAAGGTTTGAAAAGAATAATCAGTTTTACCCTCTTTTATTCTGTTTGTAGGTACCTCAATGGGCAAGCTGGGCATTAAAATCACTGTCCGGCAAATTCTACAAAGGAGTCCCACCTCCAGACACATCAGCCAATGCGGCCCAAGGCTCTAATACGAGTGCGTCGAGGCCTACAACACCGAATACCGCGGCACAGAAAGGTATTAAATGTATTAAAGTTAAAGAAAATTTACTTTCTTTTCTGTTTTGGATTATTATTGTTATTTTTGTCATTGTTTACAAACGTTCAGAAAAATCTACACTAGTGCAAAAGACTGAAGGCAAGCCAGCTAGCAATGATGGTTGGGGAGATCTAAGTGATGGTGGTGAAATGTTTGATGGTATCGTATTATTTTGTGGTTTCCATTAATTAATTCTGTTTGTAGTTAAAAGTACTAGTGAACCAACAGTCGACGATTGGTCAGATTTATCAAACAACCGAACTTCTTCAAATGCAAATGATGATGATTGGGGAGTTGGATGGGATACTCCGGTATAAAATTCTATATAACACGAATTTTTAAATGTGATTTTAAGATTGCCACTGCGAAATCGTCACCTGTTCCTCCAGCAAAGAAAACGAGCAACACTCTTGGCGTCAAGAAACCAGCAATTGGTCGCTTGAATTTGCCAGGATCTGGATCTTCATTAGCACAATCAAAGACTAATAAAGGTAACATTTCTGTTTTCCATATCATACATCTGCATGATTTTCCTTCTTTTAAGCTATTGATAATAATATTGACGCTCTTCTTGGTATTTCTGCTCCGCCTGGGGGTTCTTCTTCTTCAAATAAACCGAAGACTCTGAATGCGCTAATGAACTCATCGACTTCTTCGAATTCCGGTTTGCCTTTTTCTAAAATGATAATTCTAATCAAAATTATGTACCCTTTTTAAAATTTAGGCTGGGGATTTGATGATCCACTTGCTAATTCATGTTCGGCTAACAAAGGATGGGATGATGATGGATGGGGAGAAGGTATTCTGTCGTTTTCATCATTTATCAAGTAAATATTATTTTAGTAAATGTATCTCCACTACAACCCACACCGGTACTCCAGCCAACAAGGGCTGCAAATGATAAAGGTGCTCGTTTTTTTTTTAAATTATCGTCCGACTTCGGAAAATTTTTTTTTGGAATATTTTGCAACTTTGCACACGTAAACTAAAACGTCTTCTGAGTGTTTTCACAAAATTCCAGCCTGCACTGGAGGGGGGGGGGGTTACAGACGAATTATGACCATCTAAAAATTTCATTTTCCATTTTAACCAACCATATGGGCAAGAGGTTATATATATATGCCTCGGAAAGGCAATTATTAATTCAAATAGTCATAAATAAGTCCGACTATATGTTAGTTAACGTGAAATTGCAGAGGCTCGTCGGGCTGAAATAGCTGCTCGCAATGAAGCTCGTAGAAAGGATAATATGGAAAAGAAGAAATCAGGAGGCGCTTTGAAATTAGCCTCAACCGAAAAGAAAATGGATGACTTCGCCGACTGGTAATTAATGATTACAACTAATTTTGTATTTATTAGACTATTTATTAATAATGGGTATTCGAGATTCATTTTCTGTATTTTATATATCGCTTTGATTAACAAAAAACCTGTGATAAACCTCTTTTTCCCGATTTTCAACTTATTAGCTCTTGTTCGCCCATTTATTCATTTTCCGAAAAATATACTAATTATATCCTCGAACGTGTTTTTATGCTTCATATAAAACAGAATAGCGAATTGATATGAAATCATTAAGAATGCGGATTTTTGTTTTTTTCATTATTTGTATTCAATCTATTAATTGTCGATTCTTCTGCGGAATCGAGCCAATTACTGCTAACGCTATGGAAGTTTTGATCAAATTGGATTGCCCAAAAATGCTTGGTTTCATTACATTTTTATTTTTGCTTTTTATCGTTTACTAATATACAGTTCCTCATCAAGAATGCTGCTTGAGGCATGGGTGGTGTTACGTGCATCGGAAAGGAAAAGCTGAAGCATGTGACAACGATTATTGTGCGTGCATTTCAAACCTGGGAAAAAAGGGCCTCTGCAAGGTTTGAAGTTTTTAAGAACATTATAGTATAAAGAAACTTTGATTTAGAATCTCAAAATCAATAACATACTTGTTCAACTATTAGATTTTCTGATCTGCTTTTAAGAGAATCGAAAAACATTTAGCCTCTTCTACCTTTTTTTTAGCAGAATTTATTAAGAAATTGTCATTATCGAGACGTTGTGGTTTATTATAAAATCAATTTGGTTCACTTTTTATTTCGAATATATAAGAATTTTTAATAACCTTCCTTTAAAAAGTAACAAAAAAACAATGAAGAAAATATTTATACAATATATTCAGTATCATTACAGTAATATCAATATCACAATCATTTTAGGTTCACGCTGACAATTTCTGCCAAATAATAAAGAATATTGGGCCGCCCATGTATCCAATGATTACTGCGAATAACATGATTGTATGAATAAGTTGAAAGTTTTTATACGACAGTAGAAAAATAAAACAAATTGATTATCCTCATTGAGGATACGAAATGTGTAAACATCAAACACAGTTCAAGGGAGGTATTTCGTTTCGCGAATCGACTCTAAATTAATTCATGAATTCCATCATGAATTCGAGCAACATTTCCAACATGGGTTCCTCGTCTCGTGGTTGGTCCGACACCTTTTCAATGATATTTTCGTTTTCGTCGAATGGCGGTGCTAACAGATACGAGTTTATTACAGAGGTGATCATCATAAATGAGTGCTGAAATAATTATGTGATAGAATTGTGTGATTAATATAAAATTGCTTACCATTGTGAATATGAAGCTTAGCCGATTCCTTATCACAACTTCGAACCCTTTTTATGAAACTCTGTTATCAGTGAAAATTTTGCAAACTCTTCAATAATAACTCATGTTTAATTTATTGATCTTATAACGTTAGTGAACTCGTAGTTATCAGCACATGACTTGCGTCACATGATAGAAAAAAGTGATTAAATGACTATTGCTTGATAATCCCGTCAAATTCTGCACGTGCTTTTGAATTCATTGATTTTGGCAGATTGTGTCATTTTCGTAGAGGTCTTCAATAATATTTTGAAATATTTCAAATATATCAGTTTGATAAAACATTAAACATTTTATTGATATAATGATGTAAAATTTTAGCTGAATGTTTTTTCACCATTTCTACGTTTCCAAAAAATCCGCCTAAAAATAATTTCGTCAAACTTATGGAACAAGTCCGTGTTCAAAAATCACATGATTGTTTTATCTATAAATGATACGTCGGTTGGCTGCTAAATAAATCAAAGTCAAATAAAGCGTACACGGGTTACGCAACTTTTTTTTAAAGACGTGTAAACGTTCAGCCATTTACTGATAAAGGAAAAAATTAAACTATACGGAACTACCGAATAATTACGTCATTAATTAGCAGAACTGATAAATATTTTCACATGACGACACCATTAATCATTTTTCATATCAAATTCTTCGATGAACCTTCGCGCACTTCGATCATCACTGATTCGCGTAATTTGTCTATGGAATTTATTGTAAGTAGAAGTTAAACGACAAAACAATTCCTCCATTTCTACATCCGTCATCCCTAGAAGTGACAAATAAAATACAATAAATGGATCAGATATGCATACCAATAGCACAAGCAATATTCAAATAGCCTCCGTGTTGCTCAGAGCAATGCGAACCAAAGTTCACAAGTTCCGTGTTTTCAATTTTCGTTACTTTTGTTGTTGAGGTTACAACTCTGAAATTTTTAAATTAAAAAATAAATTAAAGATGTTAAAAAAGTACCTGGATCCTGTAATTCCTCTACTGAAAAGTACTGAACCAAACAATGTTTGTTTATCCGGTGGAATTGTGGAAAGTGTAATAGCTGAAGCTCGACTAATTTTTCTTTTTAGGATTTTTTTTCAAACACCTAGGCTTATTTCATTGTCAGGAACTTCATAAACGCATTCGCCAATTTTTTCAGCAAACGATACCAATTTGCGCTTCATTTTTAGAAACATCCTAAACATGTAGGTTTTAATCATTTGTTTATTATTAAAGCTAATAACTGTTTTTGCTTTTCAAATTGCTGCCGAAACCCATTTTGACCTTGATACAATAGTGTTAAAACGAGATCCCTAGCTGGTACACTCGACGCGCGTCCTCAATAACATTGAAAGCCGTGAAATATTTAGGAAGTTTTGAACGAACCTGGATACGTTTGAGCTATTTGCTGCACGTGTCCAAATTTGAAAGTAACAATTACGGCTCCGCCAACAGGCACCTAAAAACAAAATAGAAACATGAAAAAGTGGCAATTTCGTTACTTGGTAATTTTTATCGAGAGATTGCACAACAGCATCAATTCTTCCAGCTTCACTAGCCTTAAAATATTACAAAAAATTGTGATTTTGAAAGCAAAAATTTTACCGCTGAAATTCTCCTTAACACTTCTTCGCTTTGTAAACCATAAGCATTATTAATTAGATGATATATATTGTGAGATGAGCATATCGCAGCAATCGCTTCAACATTATCTGGAGATCTTGGAGCGAAACACGAAGTTGTACTCATCACACATAAGATCTACAGAATATACATAAGATGGCAATTCCTGTGTGTTTGCAAACCTCTTCTCCTTTTTCTTCTAAAACATGATTCAATGTTTCAACATCCGTTATTAACCCATCACCTTCACGGATTGGCTCAATCACAATTGGTTCAAACCCTAGAAAATCTTTGTTGTGTTGCTTTTATCTCTATCACAATATACAAAAAGAACATCAAATTCGAACGAACCTGCGTGATAAATACTTTTCAGAGAAGACTTTTGATCAATCCTATGAAAAACAACATATTTCGCATTTGGACGGTTTTTCCTCCAAGCGGACATGCACAAAGAAAGAGACATTCCAGTGCATAGCGGTACAACAATGCAGCCTCTGATCGTGGTGAGACCTAACAATTGAAGCGAGTGCATTGCAAACTCATTCGCAAAACATGCTAACATTGAAGATCCTAAAGCTTTTGGCTGAATTTCGAGAAGATTACCACTTCTTCCAATTCCATGAGCAAGGCTAAAGAATTATCAAGTGTTTGATGATTTAAAAAGGAGAGGGGAGTTGTACTTCGAATGTAGTCGTTGAACCATTGGATTTAAAACACGCCCTTCCCGTTCTCCAGCTCCAACTGGCATCATATCGACTCGATTATTTGTATCGTGAGATGAAAGCCATGAAAGGAACAAGTCAAGTGCATGCTCACTCCACCCATCTTCAGGAATTTTCTTCTGAATAAATCAAATCAAAACCTTCGATTAATGTCAAATTAACCTTTTCCCACAAGTTGTTTAGAAGTTTATTACTCGATTTACTAACAAGCCGAGAATATTCTCCTTCCTTTTTTCCGAAACTTGACTTCATATTTTCAATATTTTGAGATCGCGAGCTCACACATTCCTCGACACTAAATTTTAAAAAGGCATTAAATTTGTTTAAACATTTTTTTTAAATTATGAATAATATTCTTCATTTATGAACAAGGATATTACAGCCAAATGCTGGCCTAATTGAATCATACCGTGATTGGCAATCGACGCATAATGGCAGACACGCGCATTCGGTATGGCCTGGTAAACTCATGAGTAACGTTTCAAATGACATAGCTCGAACGAATAAGAAGCGGCGTTGTTGGAAAATTGAAAAGAGTGTAAAACGGTGGCAACTTCCGATTACTTCCCGTGAACATTTAGAGCAAAAACGAAAAAAAGGTTGACTCGAAATTGCTCCAACACCCACCACTTTTGGAAAAAAAAAACGACACACACAAAAAGGTGCAAATATGCCTTTAAAAGTCCTGAACTCAATGATTGAAAACCATTTCAAATTAAACCACACTTTATTATTATTAATTATGTTATTTCAATAACAAAAAAGGGAATAATAATAAAAGTAATAATTTATCGTTCGAGTGGGGCCAAACCAAGATTAGCCCGGAGCGCATTCATTTCAGCAATTTCGCGCTCCTCATCAACTTTATTCGAATTCTTCTTTTTGTCATCACGATCTCGATCCTTCTTACGGTCACGATCACGATCCCGGCGATCATCATCTGTTTGAATTTAAAATAAACATTCTTTCTGTTTTTCATAGTTTGTGTGCAGTTAAATGAAATAATCCTATATTTAAAATAGCAAGAATTGTATTTCGTTTCCATATTTTAAAGCTTTCCAAAATTTTTTCAAAATACATTTGAAAAATAGAAAGACTACCTCTTCTATCACCGCGATCTCTCTCTCGATCTCTACTTCGTTCTCGTCTGCGATCCCGTTCGCGGTCCTTATCTCGGTCACCGCGATCTCTTCTGCTTGAACTGGCTTCCTCTCCTCGATCCTTTCTTTCGCGATTTCGTTCGCGCTCATAATCCTCGCGACGATCACCGACATCACGTTCGCGATCTCTACTACGACTTCGTCGTTTTGATGTTAATCGTGGTTTCTCCTATTAATTACGATATTTAGACACAAGGCATTTCAAAACGAATCTCTACCTTTTTAACTTCTTCTTCTTCGCTGTCAGATGAACTCATTCCGAGAAGATCGTCATCAAGAAGACTTTTGTAGGGCTGGAGTAGTTTAACTTCTTCTAGAGCAACTCTCTTCTAAAAATAAAATATTAGTAACGAAAATATTTTTCAACCGTTATTACCTGTAAACGAGGAAGTTGAATATCACAATAACGATCATCACGTAGCAAGTGATCAATAAATTCATCCATATGAATGATTTCAAACCCTGTAAAATAAATAGATCCAATCAATAAACTTTAATTGGGGATTTTCCACTTACTTCCCATCTTGTTCATATACCGCAATTTTCGGAAATCGTTGTAAAGAGGCTCCAAATATTTGTAAATCTCGACGGAATCAAAAGTGAGCCGGAGATACATGGCACCAAGAGCTCGGATATATCTAAAAAATATGATTTAAATGAATAATAACAGATTATAACATACTTGAATTCTTCTTGTTCGATGAATTCAATTATAATTTCTTTATCCGGCTGGATTTGAAGCAACTTCAACGCCAAACACAAAAATGGGGTCGGCTTAATGTTACCAGCGTAGATTCCTCCAATATACCGCAGCTCCATTCCTTTATCAACAACCAATTCCGCTTAAATAATATCAGATGTATTCATTGAAATTATGGTGTAAATACACGAACCTGTTAATGCGAAGCAATGTTCCTTCCAGTACATACTATCATAAATACGCTGGCGAATGATTTTTTCCACCAAAAATTGTGGATTAGTTCCTTTAACGGTTTTAGCGGTTTTCTCGGTACGATTTGCCATCTAAATTATTTTTTATATAAGGAAAATGCTGGAAATAAGAAAATATAATAGCAACTCGTTAAAAACGAAAGTAAAAGAAATATTTTAACAGAAATTAAATGAAAAACTTTACGAAATATAAAATTACATAAAAACGAGAGATTTTAATAAAAAATAAAACATATTAAGGTACGAGATAAAATAAATAATAATGTGCGCGATATATTAATAGGCTTTTCTTCTGACGATTTCTGGACGCCACACAATTGGATGTGTTTCTTCCGTCTGAAATTCAGAAAAATAATAATCTTTTTTATGTGAAAATAAATAACCGCTTGTTCATCCTCCTTGTACATCTTCACAGTCTTATCAGCTTCCGCTGTGATTAATCTCATTCCAGATTTATCGAAGCATGTTGCATAAATACCAGCTTCCGAATCGATGGAACCTGGTTGTGGTTTGGTTTGGACTTTCTAAATATTTAAATATAAATATTGTCGGCATTGTGCGATTGCACAAAATTTATTAAATGTCAAAATACAATGACATGGGTCTTGGCGCAAAATTAAAAGTGTCGATTTACGGGCTTAAGTATAAGGATAGTTTAAAGTTGCACAACGCGCATCGAGACTAGCCTTAAATTTTTGCGTTAGCCAATTTTCCGCAGTCGCGCGACGACGACAAGGTTATTTTAATAATATTGTGATTTCAAATCCACCTGGAAGCAGAATCCGGATCTCCAGTCCCAGAAGCAAATCGTACCGTTGTCGGCACCAGAAACCAGTACACCATCGTCGTTACAAGAAAGCGAATTTATAATGGCGTTATGACCAGAGAGATTCTAAAGTAGAAAAACTAAATAATTTCTGTGTTATTTTTTGGAATACCAACCTGCATGAACTCTCCCTGCGGCAATTTCCACTGTTTGATGTTATCTGGAGAAGCAGAAGCAAACATGTTCAATCTTGGATGTAAGGCAAGGGCTCGGACGGATTTCTGGAAAAGTTTAATACGAAAATGAAATGAAATAAAATCGAAAAAAAAATTACCTTATGGTGTGTTAATGTGCACATCGACTTTCCAGCAGCAAGATCCCATAGTCTTACAGTGGCATCGTGCGAAGACGTTATTACCTGAAATATTATTTGATTATTATAAAACATTATTTTAAATCGGAACCTGTGGATCTACTGCTTGGCAAACGACATCGGACACAGTGTTCGTGTGACTGGCAAGGCAGTGAACTTGTGCCTTTGTACGCATATCCCACACCTTATTTAAATAATATACATAGTTTATTAAATTCAGTTGTTTCATACTCTAGCGGTCGAATCACGCGATGTTGTGACCAAAACATCCAAGGTTGGATGAACAGATAGAGATTGAAGAGCACTCAGATGTCCGTGATAGTGACGAATAACTTTGTTATATTCCAGATCCCAACATTTAACCTAAATTAATAGTCGAAATAGTGAAAATACGAATTTTAAAAATTAACCGTCTGCCAATTAATTGGTATCGTCAAACGAAATTTGATTATACTTCGTCATTTGACACTTTTAAAAACAAACGAAGTATTTAAAATTCGTTAAAAAATATACACTTTCACATTATATTTTGCATTACGCTGAATAGGTTGATTGAATTAAGCAAAATTCGATCATAAGCGTTCTTTATACGAGTCCCAAAGTGACAATTCAGATATTATAGTAATCGCACCCCAAATTCGTCCGTCTTTGACTATACAATTTAGTTTTTAATTACCTGCTTGTCTTCTCCACCACTGAACAAAAATGGATGTCTTGGCGACACTTTGACAGCTCTTACAGAACTAATATGACCGGTTAAAGACAGTTTCAATTTTCCCGTAGCTAGATCCCAGATTTTGATGATTCGGTCAGCACCACCAGTTGCGAACCACTGATTTTCTGGTTCAACGTCGACAGCACGCACCCAACCCGTGTGTCCTGAATTTTGACATGAATTACTTAGATTAGGTTTTCTTACCAGAAATAACTCTATAAAGCTTCCATGGTGCATGCCATTTTGGTTTCATCATCATCGGAGCCCTTGATGGTAGTAGAGATCGCGTTGTGTTGTCTTCCGATTTTTGAGATTGCCCAACTGGGATAAGCGGAAGCAATTTTCTATTAAAAAAAATTACTCATTTTTTGCAACAATCTCGAAACTACTCACCCTTGTGACGTAGTTGGTTGCGCTTGTGGTACCAATTTTCCGGAACCATCGGTTATGGCTAGAGTGGTTCCAGCGGACGCTATAACTGATCCAGCACCAAAAACAGGTTTCGATGATGGTAAAGCTAACATCTCGTCTTCTTTCATCTTCTTTGCTTCCTCTACTTTTTTAATTACACCACCATATTCATGCTTTCTTTTAATCGACTTTATCAACGCCTCACTAGAAATTTTTCTGTGTAGATATTTATAAATAAAGAGTAAACGTACTTTACTTCTGGTAGAACTGGTGGAAGGAAATATTCATTATGAAATAAATCTTGTGTTCTCTTCAAGGATCTGAACACAAGATTTAACAAAACTTTTTTATCAGCTTCTGGTTTATCCTCTATAAATTAATTTATGACAAAAATAATAGATACATGATATACCAATGTCATCATCGACTGGAGCTGCAGGAATGTCTTCGTAAGGATCCACTACAGCTGATGTCATTTTATAACTAAAAAATATCAACAATTGTATATATTAATTTCAGTAAAAGGAACAAAGATTCAAAAATTCGAAATAAAGAAGGCGTGACCCAAGCCGCAACATGCGCACAGTTATATTGCAATAGGGCGCGATTTGTCATAGTTTGTCAAATAATCTCATTTCTCAGTTTAGCGAAACGCACAGGTTTCACTATTTCGTCGTTTTGAGGAAAACAATCGAGTTTATTATGTTTTTATGCCACTGTTTCTTCTAGAATTTGCATTTTTTTTCACCTGTGTACTAACTCACTTATATAAACCCAGGTAAATAAAATCAATCGGATTCAAAAACAATTTAGTTTTTAATCGAAATCGAAATCGAATTCAAATTTTCGAAAAACACGAGAATTCGTTTTCAAAATTGAAAAGGAGAAATAAATAAAAATATAAATGAAATTTTAGAAATCTACGTTTACATTTTTACATCCTTGCATTTTTTACATGTCTGCAATAGAAAAATGTGTAATTCTTTATATTTTTACTGCATAAATAAGATTATAAGAGTAGATACTCTTAACGCACCCAATACGTGGTTAAATGAAAATAAGCTAATATTCAGGTAAAATCATTCAGATTCCTCTGGTAACACAAAACCATCGGATCCGACAAAATTCAGTACCGGAATCAACCTTATCAGATTGGTAATTCTACGGATATGATTGGAAAATTGTCGGATCCGATTGGATATTTGTCGGATCCGATTGGATATTTGTCGGATCCAATTGGTTATTTGTCGAATCCGATTCGAATTGAAATATTGAAAGCTGATTCGTTTGATTCAAAAATCATCGAAATCGATTGCTCTATTTCTCATTTTCGATTTTGAAATCGTATTCGATTGAAATCTTAGTGTGTGTCCGAAACAAATTAATTTATATTCGATTAGGATTGAAAAGAAATATTTTTCGAAACCGAATAATTCTCATTTACTAAAGTACGTAAAAGAAACGGTGAAAAATAATTGAAATTTGATTGAGAAAGTGTTTAAATTCAATTTGAAAACTTGGTTTCTATACAAAAATCTTCGAAACTGATTGATTTAATTCTTATTGTCAATTTTGAAATCCTATTCGATTTAAATTTTGAAATAATTCGAAAAAGATTAATTGATATTCGATTTCGAATCCGATTAATTTTCATTTACAAAGATTGCTCGCAGGCGGCAATTCAAAACAGCCCGTTGTTTCTTTTTACAAGCCGAACCAAGACACAAGCTATATATGTGTCATCGTTATCGGACCCTCTTTGACTAATAAAGCTAACAAATATTTTACCGTTTCATTTTCCTCAAATTATGTGTATTTAAAATATTCTCTCCTTTGTTAACAAAGTTGTTATCAAAAATTGTTGATTTTGTTCCCTTCTCCCGCGATCGCGAAATAAGATGTTGTATTGAATTTATTCTATAAGTGCTCTTTGTGCGCATTCATTCGCAAACCCGCGTTATTTATTTTTATGCAAAAGAAAAAAGCGAACGCACAAAAGAACATCTGTCCCATTCCCGATCTCGTCGTGAAAGTGGTATTTAGATAGCGAGGATGAGGTCACTGAGGTCGCATTTGAGATGCATCCAAACCACAAGATTGACACATTTTGGGTGAATCGAATGCGCAAATAACATCTGAGAACAATATTTTCATAAAACGTGTTAAAATATAATACCCCCGTATGATGTCATTCACTTTGCCCTGACTGATTTTTTTTTATAAAGAACGGGAATTTTGTAGGCGTTCACTTGTTCACTTTTCACTGTCCGCTTGGAACTTTTTTGCAAAGCCGTGAATTGTCTCGATAAATCTACCTTTTTGGCAATTTTTAGAGAGAATAAACTTCTGCAATATCGATTCTGATAGCTGTATTTATAATTGATGTGCACATAGTGAAAATGATACAATTTCAGTTTTTCCATCAATTTTTTAGTAGAAAAAATTATATTTTTTTCGAAATTGAATGTATCTTTTGATGACGAATTTATATTCGGGTAAAAGACAGGGTCCAATGAATGGAATGTATAATCCGGTAAGCATAGTAGTTTTTGGTTCAAAAATGCTATTGATGAATGAATTAACGACGTCGACGCACTGTCTTTCTTTTCATTCTTCATGTTCTCTTTTTTAAACCAATTCTTATTTTAATGATCGTCTCTATGTATTTATTGTCTAGTTTTTATTTACCGCTGCTTATTTCATTTTCAAACCATTTTTTGTTTGTATCGTCAAGACAACAACCTATTCCTGTTGTTTCCCTACGCTCTCGAAACATTCAAAGTGACAATGAATCGATGTCGAGTGTATATGAATTACAAACGTGCGAGATAGCACGAATTTGAATTGACATGTCGATTTTTGAAGGCCAACTTTGAAATTGCTATGATCATGTGACGATTCTTCACTCCTCTCACATTCGGCCGGATCAACACAAACATGTGAACAGAAATCATCCATTAAGTTTATGCCAGTCGAAGTAAATGAATGGAAATTTCCTAATAATTCTTTAAATAATGAAATTAGGTCCAAGAGAAAATGATGGTTCCCCAAACAAGCAAATGGTAGATTGGACGAAAGTGTTCAGCAAGTTGGTCCCCAGAGCGTACTAAACAATGTTTTGCTATCTCATGGCACTTGCTCAGCCTTACGCAATAATTTTGGAGGTCGCTCTTTCTATTCGCTTACCTCAAATTTGTGCAAGTGAAAAGAAATCCCGATTATTTATTTTATTAGTTTTTATCGAGATTTATTAAAAATATTTCTTCAATATTTAACAATTTAAACATTTCTTGCAAGCGTTTTTCTGCAAATTATTGTTATGATTTCAGACATCTTCTGCAATTCAGGTTTCTTATTCGGTTTTTTTTGAGTTTTGATTACGTTATTTTAAGTAAAAAACTAACTAACAATGAATATCAAGCCGTATTTTCTTATCGGCACAGTTAAAAATTAGTGGAAGAAAAGCATGTTAAAATTTAGTAGTTATTACGATTAATATGATGATGATGAACAGCATTTGTTGATGTGCACACTTAAAACAAGCACACGCGTCCTCACACATGCATGCATTTACATTTTTTGTGTGCAATCAAAACATGTCCCGATTTATGTTGTTAGAAATTGTGTTATAGGGCTGAATGTGAGAGGCGCGGGAATGTGAGGCAATACGAGCAATTGGATAATAATTCGGATAGACGGAACTTTAGAAGAACAGGTGTGCAAATACATTCGCAAGTTGCGGATTTAACAAAAAACTATCGAAAAAAAAATCTAAAAATTAAAAAGCTGATAAATTTATTTGTATCAGCAATGTTTCACGGATGTTAAAGAGAAACAATATTATGTTATTAAGTATAGTTTTAAGACTTTAGTTTGAATATTTTAGGCTCCTATTTGGTGTAATTTCAATGGTTCATTTTCCGATCTACATTAAGTTTCTCTTGGTGATTCATCGTCCACAATCTCCACAATATGTTATTTGAGGGTTTTTTTTCGTGTTTTTACATCTACTATAATCCTAATCATCTGCCAAAAAAACGATGATGATTAAAGCATTTCGACGTCCGAATTTTTTATTCGGCGAAACAGATAAGAAATCTGTTATCAGTAAAGGTCTCGTTGAGGTTATTGACACCTAAATTTTAATTCGAGATTCATTAGTGATGAAGATACGGTCTTATCAAATGAAAAACCATCATTTTTTCTCTTCCCGTTTTGTGTTCTCTTTCTCCGCTTCGCAATCTTATCTTATCATGCAATTTTGTCAGAGAACAAGCGAACAAGACGAGAGCTGCGACTTTCAAAACAGCCTTGAATGATGAATTAAAAAACGTGATAGATATGTTTCTAACATTTGTACTTGTGTTTTCATCGCCTTTTTCACCGAGGCTCCCGCCGCAGCGAATACTGTTCGTACTTTTGCATCCTTTTAGTTGGCAGAAAACAAAAAACTGCTTGTTAGCGCCGGCAAAGTTCGGCGGCCAAAAAAAGAAATTCCGCAATGGCTTTTTGCACGTTTCTCGAGAAACATGCCACATGACGATCAAAAGCAAGGATTAGAAGCATATAACATCTCTCTTCATCATAAGCGGTGGTTCTTTTGAAAAATAACAAATAATGTTAGTCTGTTAGTTTTGAAGGGATGACGAGCAGGATTATAAGTATTATTATTTTTATTATTAGAAGGATATTGTTCAATCTAGACATGAAATCGATTTAAAGAAATAGAACATTTGTTTTTAATACCAGATAAAAGTCGAGATAACAAATATTTCTGCGATATATTATTTCTTCACATATTTTATTCCAATTCCCACCTATATTTACGAAATTGACGTATTAATATGTGTATGTATACAGTACACTACTCCCCCCCCCTTCTTCCATCCCTCGCCTTTTTCTTCTCATTTCTCGTCCGCAAACGCTTGCTGTAGGTCTCGTTTTAAAGAGAACGAGAGGAAGATATATGGCAAAAAAGCAAATAGTTGATTGAAAGTTGATGTGAAGAAACGGAACATTCCCCCCCCCTTTTTTTTTAGATAACCACGGTTTCTTCGCACCTTTGTGTTTTTAATGCATTAATTCGCTCCTCATTTATTATAATTATTATGGTTTGATTAATACATTATTTCCTATGTATTTGCTATCTTCAGTTAGTTTCCAATACCTCCAATTAAAGTTGTCAAGGATCTATATTTTTATTATTCTGTTATTATAATATAGAAAATAATTTAGTATTGGTGATGATCTTTAATCTGTTAAGATTAATCGGGGTGGCCGATTTTATTCGGCGGTATGAGTTTTCAAGTCGCCGACCGACGGTTATTAATTTTGCGCTGACTGAAAGCGGATCACCAGAGAAGGATATGGTCGGTAAGCGATGATGCGTGCGTCGAATCTATAAAGAGAATCGACGATGGTGGGAGGCAATGTAGGGGGAGGAAGGAGGTAAAAGATTGAGAGAGAGAGAGAGAGAGAGGGGTGGAGGGAGAGAGAACGATATACTGAGGGAGAGAGAGAAATTAGAGGAACGTAACGAGAGAAGAACAAACAGCAGCATTTGTGTCGGTCGGACGGACGGGCGCATTACTCTCCGTGATTCGCGTTGTCTCTCTCTGCGAAATCGTCAACAAATTGTGCCGCGCGCGATGTCGCGTGCGGCGGTCGTCATCGTCATCTACGTCTCTGCCGATAGAACTCTAGACGTCTGACAACCCGCCTCCGACGATCCATTTTCCCCTCGTCGGCCCCCAGTTCGTTTCTTTTTCGCACGCGCGCGCTCGCATTACAGCGGCCGGCAGCCGGACTGGCCCAGCCAGAGTCTGGTTTTTGCTTGAACACAATACGATTTTCCGCTTGCTCTTTCGAATTCATTTGTTTTCTATTGTATTTGGCTTACCTCATGAACTATACATTTTTTAGAGTATTGAATCTGTTCGGGTCAAAATGGTGTTATTCGTTCCTTGTACAACTTCCTCCATCGTTTCTTCATTATCCACCTCAACAACACAACAACAAGACTTTTGCTACGAGTTGACTACCTCGACGACGACGAATATATCGTCCGATGACGGCATCGAGAATCGCAAAAAGTCACAACCGATTCCTGTTAGGTGTGTTATACAAACTTTAAAGAAAATCGGGATCGATTGATCGATCGATGAACAAACGATCGAAAACCCTTCGAATATTTCGTATTTTCTGAATGCTTCTTGTTGCATTTCAGAGGTTTTTCCAACTCCGCCTGGCGACGTTTTGACGATCACTCAACATGTCCGCTGGAGCGACTACCATCTCCGCTCGCGACGTCAGCGGAGTCTGTCGGCTCCATCAAGTCGAGGTATTTGATTATTATTAATAACGGTTTATAAAAATAGTGTTTTTTAGTTGTTCGTCTCGATCATCTGCCGAGCGCGAAGTCGAACGTGCGCAACGCCGTGAGCTTCTCGATGTGAGCCTTGGCAAACTTCGCAATGAGTCGAACATGCCACTTCGCAAGCATCTGCTCGTGTTCAACACTGTCAAAGCGCTTCAGGTTGGTATTTTCGTCATGCTTCCATGCAGCATCAATCGTGTTACCTCATTGAATATTCATCATGCATCTGTATGTGTGTGTGTGTGTGTCTTATTATGCGCACCAATTATTTATTCGGTCTGTTGTATATGCGCGTCGTCTCCCGATTTGCGCATTTTTTCACAATTGAAAGCAAAAAGAAAACGCACTCATTATTTATCTTGGTCGCCAAAATTTTTAATTTGCGCAAATACATTTTTCCCCCGAACCGAATAAGTTGAGTATGATTTCAGCGGGATTTGGATATGCTCGATGATGAGGAACTGTATTGCTCTTTGGTGGGAATTGTGAACGAGCCGGCGGTTGACGATCGCCATATGGAAGTTGACGAATGTAATTGGTTTGTGAAGAATCGCGACACGTCGACTATGGCTCACGGCACTATCGGAGCACCTCCTAAGCGCGAGGAGCTTGTCGATGAGTCTCGATACGAGCCTGTGACTTTTGGCAACGGTAATTTTTTTCAATTCAATGTGCAGTATCCCACAGTTTCTTTATTATTGTCATTGGTGGCCATGTGTGTTGTATGGCCTCGGCGCAAAAAAGTGAAAAGGCGAAGGTCGTAAATTGTACGTACGGCGGTATTCGATCGTAAAATTGCATTTAGCGGCAAAAACCCGAAAAAAGGAAATAAAATTGTTGTTGTTATTTGCGGAGAATTCTTAGAGAACACTCCGCCCCCGCTCACCCACATCATCTATATTAGTAGTGACGTGAGATGAAATGAGAAGAGCCGTTTGGGGATTCGAATGACGTCATTGTTTGTCGCTCCGTAAAACAAATTTACTGTTTGAATAAGAAGTCTGATATTAAATTTCGTTCGCACAATTTATATTAGAAATGAAAGCAGAAAAGATTAGATATATGTGTATCAATAAATAATCTGTTAAACAAAATGACTACCGAGTATATTCTGTCTCGCACACTTGCTTCAAAAACGAAATGGTTCAAATTTCTCATGGAAATTTTTGCAGAGTTTGAAATGGAAGATGTGAATGAGAGCGATACGAACATTCTCAGCGGAACGAACACCTGGTCGTGGACAAACGAAAATTCGTTTTTCGATTCCTTCCATGTGAGCTTAATGTTTTTCTTGTGCTTTCTTGCTAAATCCCCTCGAAGGATAAACAACAAATTGAATAGAGAGTAAACTTCACACAATGTTTCTCTTTTGTGCCCACAAGATCACGCGGTAGAAGAAAAGGGAGGGGTGTTGACTAGCTTCCTCTCTCATATGCTATTTCCGAATGTGTTTCGCTTTCTGCTTCATCTCATGTTACGAATTGACCATTCAACAATAATTGGTGTGCGACTGAGCGACTTCTCATTTTGTTGTTGATGTGACTAGGGGCCTTTGAGTTGAAAACCTCTAGGGAGGTTGCCGATATGGGAATCACGTGATGATCCGCAGCAATAAATATAACAAGAATATGGTTTTTGCAGGAATCCAGAAAGGAGAGTAGTCTTTTCGGTCTCTCGCTGTCATCGGCTCGTACCACTTCGTGGCTAGATTCGATGACTACCGAAGAGTCGAACGACGATCATCTTGCCAACGTCAGTCTTTTCGGACTTGGTGGACAATCAGCGTGGTCGCTCGGCGATTCGGCTGGTTTTGATCTTTGGGGAGCTGCTGACCCATTGGGAAGTGCGCGTATTGATATGCAGCACTTGTTTCCATCTCAGCTTCTTCTCCAAGCTTAGAACGACTTAACAATCATCGAGCGACGGAGGGAAAGAAGCGACTGCTTATATTGCTCTATTCACATCAGAACGAAAGAATCTCTCACTACTCTCTTGCTTAAAAAGGAAAGAACACTCAAACTTGTCATCGTCATCATATCCATGAACTGTACAATTAATATTTCTACTAACCAAACCCATATTCTTACCGTTATCATTCCCACCAATTAGTTAATATAGTCGAAAAAGGAACTCTGTAGGAATTGTGCATAGATCAAATAGTCTTCATTGGTGTAATGCCTAGTGATCTCTAACCGGGCCCCTTTTGTCTTAATTGTTTCTCCTCAAAATTTCGGTTGACTACTATTTATGGTTGTTTTCTTTGTTTCATTTTTCTAATCATCATCATCATCAAGTGAACTTCAACATGGGTAGTTGTTTTTTTGAAGATATTGGCATCTGTATATACCAGGCTACCTCCACATGTATATATGTATTGTATTTGACGGTTTCTAGTGTCGAGTACAATGCGTAGTGTTTTTCTCTACACCAGAAATCGTCATGAGAAGCTATCTGTTATTCAGCCAGTCAGTCATTGTAGGGTCCAACGTCTAGCGCGTCCTTGTCAGATACTCCGGATATTGCCGGGTCTTGCTTTCGTTTTAATGTTGTTTCTCATCAAATTGTTCTCCATCGCATTCAGGGATTGTAACCAACCAACCAACCAAAAGAGCGAAAATCGTTACATTGTTTTGTTTAGTAATATCCACTACCACCAACAGCGGGTCCGAATGTTTTCCAATCCTCTTGCTATTGCTATTAAACCACAAATCCATTCTCCGTTCAAAACATTTAATATGAAAACGTGTAGCTTTTGAAAATTCAATCTCTCTTACTCATCTTTAACTTTCATGTACTTCTCGTTTTTATTCTTTTTTTTGCTGAAGCCTTTGTCTAAAATGCGCCGCACCATTTGGAATACCTTATTCCATACCTTTTCCCTATCTCCCAATTGCAATCCAAGTCGTTTCATTTTTTGTTGCCTAATAATATTTCCTGGTTCTATTTTTATTGCCCTTTCCAATTCTCGTTACGTGTTAACAGCTTTTCCTTTTTTCGTTGTCAATCTTTGTTTTCCAGGTTCAAAATATTGTTGGGTAGCCAATTTAGCTTTATTCGTGTTCTTTTTTTCTCATTTCATTCATTCTTTATTTTTTTGGTGCATTTTCTCTGTTGGCCTTTTATATTTAATTTAATTTAATTTTGACATGTTCAACCCACGGCGAAGGATAATCTATTGATTGTTCGTAATTCCTTCTCCGCGAGATGAACAATTGAATTGCAATTGGTTTATTTGGTAAGGCATGCGGCGTATTCGGTTGACAAGCTCGGTAGAACGAAAAGAAAAATGGCGAGAAGAGATCCCTGAATGAATGAACCGACACGAAGCAACCGAACGTGCCGACAAGCGCTAATGATTCTTCCTTTTCTTTTCCATCTCATTTTGTACCCTATAATGGCGACAGGCATTCAACCGCTTCTTCAAAACATTGTATTGAAAAACACTTCGTTTAATGCCTGTCTTCATTGCAACATTTCCATCTACATCCGTGTGAATTTCGCCCAAATGTGTACAATATGAAACTAGCTATGAATAGTGTAACTTAGTCTTCATCAACCCCAAAAATCATAATGTGATCTACATACAGTTTAGTGCAGTCTTTTGTTCCAATCAATCAACGTTTTGTGCATTTTCCTTTTTGTCATTTGTACCGGTGTGATTCTTTTTGTAAAATGATTTGAGCGACGAGGTCCCTCGTTATTCTGTCATTCTTTACTCCATCCAATGTGCTTAGAGCGTGTTATCAACGGTGTTTTATTCGATCTAAACCCTTCTCTTCTTTCCTTCCCGCTGTTTGTTACGAACTTAGTAGCTTGCAAACGCTTCTTTTCATCTTTTCCTGTTTTAGAATTCGTTTGTATTTTATCTGTCAATTAAACTGTAATTTGCGCCTACCTATCATCCGAAATCATTCATTCTCACAATTTGAATTCCATTAAAATCTCGTTAGCCCATCAAGCCGATGTGTCTATATATTATAATATATATAAATATATCTTATTTTCACGAAAGTAGTTTTGTGTACGTTTTCCCATTGGTAATTTCAATTTAAACTTCTCTTGGCTGAACTCGAATTATACGCGGTGTGCAAGCTAAAATAAATGTGTATTTCTCTTTGTCATTGTGATTTTTTTTTATGAAAAAGGAACGTTTGCGAAAATGCAAGATTAAAAAAACTAATTACGAGAGGATCGAAATCGGTTGCAGACAAGTTCTTCTTCTACGAATTTTCGATTTTTTAAAATTTTTGTCGGATTTAATGTTTTTGCGTTGTAATAAATAACGTGAAATTTGTTCTAATTTTGAATTTTAAAAATGAAAGTCGAGAAGCTGAAAAATGAGAAGATGTTAAGATTCCTTAATATGTTTATCAGCGCGTCCACCTAAATTCTAATTTTGAATCACATCCGTCTAATAGCGGCCGAGATGTGAAAAGACAGACCGAATTATTATTTCATTGGAATCAATTGGAAGACGAAGATATTTCAATAATTCACGTTATTACTTTATTTTCAAATATCGAATTTGAACTTTCAGAAAAGTGAGGGAACTTTCAATTTATTTTCAGAGTTTCTCAAAAAATTCTCACGGCAAAATTAATGAAGCCCTGATCTCGAGAGACGCATTAATTGAGCACTCATATTATTTGTCATACCGTATAAGTACAAATAAATGTTGGTATGAATCAATGCTAATGACGCGTCGACACCTTTTAATGATTCATTCATTCATTCATCTGCTTTTTTTATGTTTTTCTTTGTTTCGTTTTTTGGTGCACATATGAAAACAAATTGAAGATAAAGAGGAAATTTTTGGCAATGAAAAATCTGATTTCCTGTCAAAATGAAACTGAAATTGCAATATTCAGCATATTTTCTTATCAAGCAAAACCGAGAGTAGATTTGATGATCGAAGTTCGCACAAAATTGTCTATATAATGAATGCGTAATCGGAAAAAATAGGTTTAATACTTTCCAATTTTTGTATTAAATTTATTGCTTTTTGAATTTTAAATGAAAAAAAATTGTTTTAGTTTAATCAAAAAATATGTATTGTTAGTGATTCTTAAAATCTGAGGCATTTAACCGCGAAACCTTTTGATCTTCGTTTCAATTGGATGAAAATTAAAATGAAAATTGTGCGAGTTATTCCGATGAAAGTCTCTTCATTTTTTTTAACTAAAATATATATTTTAAGAATTTACACTTTAGATAAACATGTTTCTTCCCTATAAGAAAAATAGCTCTGAAAGAGAGATGCAAAAACTCGGGAGCGTGCACTTTGTGTTTTTCTCGCACAAACGGCTAGATTGCAGGCAATATCGATTTGCTACTCAAGGTCATTTCCTCGCGAATTTCTCGCGAATTTCTCGCGATTTCTTCACCGTTTTTAATTTATAAACGCATTTTCTGTCAACTTGAATTCAATTCCCAATGTTGACTGAATTTCATCGCAGATTTCACATGAGATGCCCGTGCAATTCACAAATCGAACCATTTGTTCGCTGATTCTCCCCACAAACATGCCATATTGATAAGAGGAGTTCTCGCTCGATATTTTGATAAACTTCTTTTATTTTCTCGGCTCGATATTCATTTTAAAATCAATCGTTTACTCGATTTTATTCACCACTTCTATTTTCATACTTACTTTTTCATTCTGTTTCGAAATGAATCGGACACATAAACCCAAAGTGATTTTTTTAAAAAGCGATTTTTTGGAATATGAAAAGAAAAACGAGCCCTCTGCAAATCTAAATTTTTTAACCTCAAATGACCCTTTTTAATATTTGAGTTCTAGTATGAAATTGAAATGAAAAAGTAGGGTTGGAAAATATATTATAAAATTGATTCAACGCTTATTTTTTTTTGCAGAATGTCGCGTTACGATGTGGTAATTTACGGAGCAACTGGCTTCACTGGAGCTTACATTCTGGAATATCTCGTATTGTCGCCCAAATATGAAGGTGTCTCGTTCGCAATTGCTGGAAGAAGTGAGAAAAAACTCAAGGAGGTGCTCGATAGCATTTCAGAAAAGACTGGTAATTCTAGGGTGAAGTTTTTCCAAATGTTGCAAGTTTGTTTTAGGTAAAGATATTCGAAACACTCCAATTATTGTAGCAGATTCGGCTAATGAGGATTCATTAGCGGAAATGGCAAGGAAAGCAAAAGTGATTATTAATGCAGTCGGTCCATATCGTCTTTATGGAGAAGCTGTTGTGAAAGCTGCTGTCGAAAATGGCGCGAATCATGTCGATATTTCGGGAGAACCAGCGGTAATATTTTGACGTTTGATATGAAATATGTTATCAAAACTTATATTTTAACGAATTGAAATTGTTTCAAATGAGTGCATATTATCTTATTAGTTGCGTTTATCTAACTGATTCATTACGAATTATTACAGTATATTGAGAAAATGCAAGCAAAATATTCGGAATTGGCAAAGAAAAATGGAGTTTATGTGGTGTCTGCATGTGGCTGGGATTCTATTCCGGCTGATTTGGGTGTCAACTTCCTCAAGAAAAATTTTGACGGAGATTTGAATCATGTCGAATCTTTCGTTCAACTGAACACCGGCCCATCTGTAATCTGAAATGGTTTATCAATTGGTCAATAGTCGCTTTTAGGGGTATTCGTTCAATGCTGGAACTTATCAGACATTGATCCTTGGATTGAATGGTGCTGCCACTGATCGCCTCGGAGCAGTTCGAAAGCAAATAATGCCGGAGAAAATTGTCCGCGGACCAGTTAAAGTCCCGAAGCGTGGAAATATGTGGGAGATCAAGGAAAAGGAACTTCAAGGCTTCGCGCTTCCGTTCCCCGGCGCCGACAAGTCAATCATCAATAGATCTCAATATTATGATGCTACAGTGCGCAACGTTAGGCCGGTATGGCTAGAAACGAATCGAACAATATTTTGAATGAATTTTGACTTTTCAGATTCATATGGAAACTTATATCCGTCTTTCGTCAAAATTCTGGGCTGTTCTTCTCGGATTATGGGTCACTCTTCTCTCGATTTTGGTCAAATTCTCGTTCACGCGCAAGATTCTTCAAAGATATCCGGATCAGTGCAGTTTCAACATGTTCAAGAATTCCGGACCAACTAAACAGCAAATGAAAGAAGCCTCATTTACGTATTGGTTCTTTGGATATGGATATCAAGAGAAGAAGCCAATCGATGAGCAGCACGAAGGAAAGCCAAACAGAAGAGTCGTTGCCACTTGCAAAGGGCCAGATGCCGGATACATTGCAACCAGTGGATGTGCTCTTTCCTCAGCGCTTACTCTCATTCGTGATACTCAGCAGTTGCCAAAAGAGTAGGAGTTTATCGTTTCAATTCCCCCTTCATATTCATTTTCAGAGGTGGAGTATACACAACTGCTGCCGCTTTCGGTAATTCGCAAATATATGATTATTTGGAGAGTTTCGGAATCAAATACCAAATCGAATCTGCGACCAACCTTTAATTCGATTGTTTATTGTTGTATTTTTTGCATCAATCTGTGATTTTCAAATATTGGAGACAAATAAAAAACATGTTTTCGACTAGAATCTAGCAGGTTACGAATAAATATGTAGTGCCAATTGCATTAATTGTTGAATTATTTTTGTTTGTTAGTTAGAAATTATTGCTTAGGTATTTAAAGGCAAAAATTTGTTTAAACTGATTTTTTATTTACCGTCGTAGACAAACGAATTTTAAGTGTCGTTATATTAACCATGATTTTCAAAAAAAAGACCCTGTTTTTGACTCTTAACAAGAGAAATGAGAAAAAGGAAAAAAGAGAAAAATGTTTTTTTTTCTTTTATTCGGCCGAGTAGACTGAAATTATCAAGCTTAATCAAATATTAAATACTTATAGTTGGCGTCCGGGGACTGTTGTACGCTGTTAGATTTACGGGGACGCTTCTTTCTCTTGGTCTCACGCGGAATAACTGGTTGTTTCGCATTTGATGGGCTTGTTCGATCATTTTTTAATCGATCGACGTTAGAAATTCGAAGAAATGCTAAACTCATCAAGAAAAATAAATGTCACATTTAAACAGCAAAATAAGCGTTCAGACGTGGCGAGACCTTTTCAAGGCGGGAGCTCGTAAATCTACCCGCGTACAGCAGTCGCCGGACAACGACTATACGATTTTCTAACTTGAATTACCCCACTCGAACAGATCTCTTGTTGGGGAAGATGTCTAAGAAACTACTTTTAATTCTAAATTTTATCGATATGATAGATGACACTTGTTATCTAATATGTATTTTAGATTTTGCATTTTCAAACTATTATATTCTGAAATGTGTGTTTTTGTCATGAATTCAATATATTTTATGGTTGGTATAATATGAAGAATCAAGACGTTTAAACCATCGTTTTATTTTACAGAACGGATGAAAAACATCGGCGCATTTATTATAAATTTTTTAATTTAAACAGACCTCAAATGCGTTTCGACATTGTCATTTATGGTGTTACCGGATTTACTGGAACTTTTATTCTGGAAAGATTGGTAAAATCCAAAGAATTCGAAAATATTTCGTATGCGGTCGCTGGACGAAACGATGAAAAAATAAAAGCGGTTCTTGAAGAGATCACACAAAAAACAGGTTTGAAATTGATTGAATGCATTTGAGTTAGCGAAACGCCAATATTTTGAGGGATCAATGTGAATGAGACTCCAATAATACATGCGGATTCGTCAATTGAAGAATCATTAAATAATATGGCTAAGAAGGCAAAAGTGATCATCAACGGAGTTGGTCCATATAGCTTATATGGCGAGACGGTTGTCAAAGCAGCAGTTTCGAATGGCGCCAGCCACGTGGATATTTCAGGAGAGCAAACGGTAATTTAATTCAGCGAATTGAGGGGGCAGCTGCGTGCGGATTCGCCCCCGCAGCTCGTCTTCAACCGGACCGCTCTTACACTTTTTTGTCCCGATTTGCCCCAAGCCCGCCCAGAAGGACAATTGGTCCCTTACCCCCGGTCGTACTCAAAATTCGCTGAGAAACTAAACAGCAAAAAAAAGAAAAAAAAATCAAATATTTTTGCAGTGGATCGAAGAAATGGCTTTGAAGTACAATGAAGATGCGAAGAAAACGGGCTCTTTCGTGGTTTCAGCTTGTGGATTCGATTCGATTCCTGCGGATCTCGGTGTCAACTATTTAAAGAAACATTTTAATGGGGATCTAAACGATGTTGAAGCATTTATAAGAATTTACAGTGGACCAGAGGTTGGTTTAATTCAAATTTCACAAACAATCAATGCATGCTATTTGTTATTTATAGGGTTATTCATTAAATACAGGGACCTACAATACGGCAATAATGTTTATGGGTTCATTTTTCTCAAATCGTGCCAAAAACCTTCCGGCTCGTTTAATGCCGCAATCAATTCAAAAAAACGTTGTTAAGCCAAAAATGAGGTTATTTTTTATAGCTTCGATTTATTTCCATTTCTTGTTTTCAGAATCCCAATATCAAGAGTCGAAAAGGAATTTCTCAGTGGAGCCGTGTTTCCGTTTATGGGCTGCGATAAGCCAATCGTTAAACGATCTCAATATTACGACGCTACTGTTAGAAATATCCGACCGGTATTCTTTTTTCCCATACTATTTTATATAGTCCGGCGACTGCTGTACACGGGTGGATTTACGGGGATGCGCCTTTCTGTTGGTCTCGTGCGGACAAGTTGATAATTTTTATTTTTTGGGTCGGTTCACACGTAATTTACCATTTCGAAAGACGCACGCCTAGACTATATGTACATACAGGTATAAGTACATACAGATTTTTAAAATTTTCCAGGTTCATTTCGATACATATATTACTTTTCCACACCGTTATCAAACCGTTTTCCTTTTAATTTGGGCTTCTCTTGCATCATTGTTTGCGCAATTTGGATTCACTCGAAATATATTATTGAAATATCCGGAACAATGCAGTTTTGGTTACGTCAAAGTACTGTATTCCTTAATTTTTTGCAAAAGATATTCGTTTGTTTTTAAGAACAATGGACCAAGCGAACGTCAAATGAAAGAGTCCTCATTTTCCTACTATTTTAGTGGCCGCGGCTATGATGATAAATTGCCTCTGGATCAAGAACATCGAGGGAACCCAACGAAAACTATGATTGTCTCATGCAAAGGTCCGGATCTTGCGTACGCGGCTACTGCTGGATGTGTACTCTCAGCAGCTCTCACGTTGATAAAAGACACGGACAATCTTCCGAAGGAGTTGGTTGAGTTAATCGAAAACACCGAATGATGATATCAAATTTAGAGGAGGAGTATACACAACGGCTGCTGCATTTGGAGATTCCCAAAAAATATATGATTATTTGCGTTCGTTTGGAGTTGATTTCAAAATTGAAAACATTTGAATTGAATATGAATTGCATGTCAAATAAAAATTATCGATTCCATATTGTTTCAAATATTCCTTGTGAGCTAACTCATGTCGTAGTGTTTTGTTCCATTGATCGGTGAGTCATCAGCGTGAGTCACCTTCAGCTCTTTAACCTCATAAGAGAAAAGGTTATTTCTTGTCATGGTTTTCGTTCATGTCAAGCTAGTGTAATACGAGCCAACTGTTGTTTCCCGCCCGTTTTCCGTCACACTTTATAAACCATCAAGTGTTCTGAAATTTTGACACAACCATCTCCAACATGAAGCTAGTTCTCTTATTTCTGGCTCTCATCTTCTTTTCTCAAGGTTAACTTCCTTTTAAAGAGTTCGTATTCTATCTAAATATTTTAGGATATGTCTATGATTGCCTTGATGATTGTGAATGTGATACAGACGACGAAGTAATTCATTGCCACAATGGAGAACGCACCCAACTCAAGCTTCCTCAAGGACAACGTCTCCGTGGTTTCCCAGTCATCGGTTTGACATACAATAAGATTGTGCGACTTCCGGATGAAGCCACTCTTTTAGCGAAATTTCCAGATCTTAAGGTAATTTTCGATTATTATTATTATTTTAAATTTATTTCAAACGTTTATAGGTGGTTGATGTGGAACGAAATCCAGATTTCGATTGTGATTCGATGAAGGATTACAGTCAAATCAAAATCGTCTCGGATTGTTTCAAGAATGTCACTGAAATCGGGCGTGTTCCACGCTTATTCCGACCGACCAAGGTACACAGATCTCGGGGTTTTTCGCAGAATCTCGTTCTTTCCTTCAGGATTGCGACGTAGCGTGTCAGGCGTCGCGGCACTACGCGAAACTTCACGAATATGTTCTTTCTTTGTGGGAGATTATCAAACAAAAGTACGAGAATTTCGATATAGATGTAAGTGATAAAAATTACACTTTAAATGTTTTCTTTTTTTAAATTCATATTTTATCAACATGCTGCAAACTGCTAAAAATTGTACGCCTTGTTTGCAGGTCACTCTTCGTCAAATCCAGGATTTCTTTGTCATGGTGATCCAGAAAATGCATCAAGTGGGACGCGAAATCAGCGAAAGAATCGATGAGGAACGCCATCCCAAAATGGTCACTCCAATGCCGACTTTGTCAGAAGTCGAACTCGATTCCTAAATTTTAAACTAATACATATACATATACATATATATATATATATATTCGATGTGCATTCATTTAATCGTGTGTATATAAACCAATTGATATAAGTCGTGCAAATAAGAGGATGCAGCGAGAAGAGGAGATCCGCTGGATTACAAAGTGAAAATCTGAAAATATTTTGTGCGTCTCTGTTGCTCACAACACTATTTCTTTGTGTGTTTCAACGAAAGCAAGACACACTGAATATTAATCTGTGCCAACTAGTCGACTGCATATTAATCATTCGTTTCCCTCTTAAATCGAAGTATACTAGTTCACGAAATTTTTTAAAATTTTTATTGATCACTCATGTATCCCATTCCTCTTTGTATATCCACCGAGCAATAATTTGAAAATTTCTATTTTTTTGTGTTCTCTATGTGTATTTTATGTGAATTCCCAGATGTATTTCGCACAAAAAATGTACAATTTCACTTTTAAAAATTCGACATTAAAAGAAGAATCTCGAAAATTCTAATTTTGTAATAGGGAATCAATTATTGTTTTAAAATTGAATTTAGTTTCCCTGTTAACATCAACAATTCCTTCTGCCCAGATATCTGAATTGTCCAAAAAATGTCGAATCGAAGAAAATAAAGACGAATTTGTTCTCGAGTCCATAATCAAATCACGTGTACTTTCAGACGAATTCCCAAATAATCTTGTGTGCGAAAAAGTATTGGAGCAACACTGGATTATCCAAATTCGAAAAATATGTTGTCTGCCATTCGGATTCGTTTATGTTCATCTTCTTGTTTTCGCTCTTTATATGATATAAATTATCAGAAGGTGTGGTTTTAGTGGGAACTTAATACGTATCAGTAAAACAATGCCATTCCTCGTAAAACTAATTGATACTTCTCTAGAAGAATTTTTTTGAGTTTTCTTTTCAAAAGCTTCTTAATTTGAATTTTGGGAACTAAGAATAACGATGTTTTGTTGTAGACAAAAAGAATTATCTGAAAAACGCAATTTTTAACCATATTTTGAAACTATTTATTTTTCAAGGAATGTGGTCCCTTATGATTTGGCAAAATGAGATCAGTGTTTTTTAAATTGGTACATTTGTAATTTTTGGTCCCTTTTGGTAACTTATGAGATAATCAATGGACAGAAGGGGAAAATTGGGAATAGAAGTGTGGGGGTAGATGGCAATGGAATTGCATCGAATTTTCAATTAGCCGATTCATCTCAAATGTTTCGGGTGGGATTATTGGGTGTCGGATTCTTTTTGCGTTCTTCCTTTCATCTAACATTCAAATGTCTGAGATTAATTGCATTTTACGATATGCAAATCCGAAATCACATTTGAGCAAGTTTTTGATTCATTTAGCCAGAAGAGCAAACAATTAACACCACAAACTCTTTCGATGATTCGAATAAACCTCAATTTTATTTCATTGGAAACTAAAATTTAATATGAGTTTCCCATGCATCTTTTTAAATGTTAATATATATATATATTCATTGTTTATAATGCATCATATTTGAAAATATTTGATTGAATTTACTTGCATGCTGAAATCCAACATTTTCATCAGATGATAATAGAAAACAATTCTGATTAAATTTTTCGAATATCCGTGTTTGGCGATGAAGATTAGAATTTGTTGTTTATTAAATTTCGCATGAATGACGAAAATAACTGAAATTTCATTAAATCTGATATGGTTACATATGCGTATTGCGCTCGGCGAATGACAATTTCGCAGTCAACAAATGTGCCACAGATTATAACACAGCACTTGTTTTGTCGACATTTTCGCAAATTTTTGTAGTCCGAGCACTTTGAAAATCTCAAATAATCTGCAAAAGATTATATCTCATCGAATTCGCCTTTCCGATTTTCTATTTTACCCTACTTTTTTTTGCAAATTGTTTAATACGTATCATCGTTTTTCTTTGTTGCTGGTGTAAATGCTTAAATCTCCAGAATTCAATTGATTTTCGGAAAAAAAAAAACAAACCGATTCACATTATTATGCACAAGGTTGATATGACGCATTTAGTAGTGCCCAAGAAGATTTGATTATAATCCGCCTCACCAGTCTAATTTCACTTCCGATTTGTGTTTCTTAAGTGTTGGTGAGAATTAATTTCCAGTCATATTCTCGATTTTTCTCGAAGCTTCTCTTTATTTCTTTTTTTTGCAGAATGACTGGTGCGAACTGAAATGCGCATCCTGTCCGCATTCTTCGCTGTTCTCTTCACGTTCATCAATCCGACGATGATTGTAAATGGTATTACGCGGAAAATTTTATGATAATACAACACAAATTTCCCATTTTAGTCATCTCGCAAATTGAAGCTTTCTTCGCCACGAATCTGCCGGATGAGGTGAAGATCAAATTTCTTGATGAAATTGTTTCGTGGTTGAGGAATCTTGAGCTCAAACCATACGTTTATTCTTTAGGTTGGTTTAAGAATTTCTTTTTTAAAGGAGAAAAGCGTTTTGTGAGATATATGTCTAAAATTTGCATAATATTCATCATATAACACTTTTTCTTATAATTCACAAAATTATGCATTCGATATAACTTTATACATATATGAATAATATTGCAATGATAATGTATGCATAATGAAGTTTAAAAATATCCGCTGACATTTTGCTCATAAATGATTTTCCAACTACTTTAATAAATTGTTTCCTCGAATTTAGTAATATTTCTGACAATTGGCCACATCGCTGTCACCTGTTTTTCTTTATATGGCATATATTCGGTCAAGGCGAAATTCATGAAACCATTAATTTTTGATATTTTTGCGAGTTTGGTAAGTTTCTGATTATCTTGCATCTTAGTAAAATCATTTTTTAGGCATTCCTGCTATTCTTTGTTTTATTCTCACTTTTCATGTATTGGCGTTTGAATACATTTGGCTCATTGAATGAAAAAGACACGACTAAATTACAATTGAGGTGATTGTTTTTCGAAATTAATGGACGAATTTTTCATGAGCAAACAGTTTGAGCTGGCTGTTCAAATAAGACATTTGAATTATTCATAAAGTTTCGATTTAACTGATGCTCAAATGAATGAAATATTGAAAAATAAACAATTAAATCAAACTACTTTAAGGAATATGTATATTGGCGTTGGATTTCTAATAGTCTATTTAATATGGGCAATTGTGACATGCCTTGCACACTCAGATACACACAAATTGAGAGCTGACTTCATGTATTGGATTGAAGAAGAACGAATGTCAATGAGAAGCAGACATAATGTCTCCGTTGATAACAGGTAACCAAATTTTTAAAAAGAAATAATTGAGTATCTAAAAAATAGAACAGAACAAAATTGGAAAACCATTATTTTGTCATCTTAATCACATGTATAAGAGGGATAGGGCGAAAAATAAATAAAACGGACGAAGCATATCCATTTTCATGCGCTGTTAAACAACGAAATCATTGCAACCTTCTAACAATTTTCTTTCGGTTGTTTCAGATCCGATCGTTCTTCAAAGGGATCTAAAGTCTCTAGAGCATCTAGAAGCTCTGCCAGATCAGCGAAATCAGCAAAATCGGAGGCAGGCACAAGTTCGGGCCAGAAAAGTCCATCGAGCGAGTATCAAAAAGTGGCAGTGACGCCGTGCAATAGTCTATCGAACTCGAAAAAACAGTCGGTAACTAATGCACGGCTCTCTGTGCCCTTATAGGAGTCGACAGAACATGTTTCCGTGTATAGAAATAGCTGCCACGATTATTTGCACATCGAGATTCAATTCAGTTCAGTTTTAATCATTTGATCTCCTTATCATACCTTCACGTAGACGACACATATGCAACATTTATTCGAACATTTTTATATATTTTATTGCGATGCTCATTGTTAACGTGTATATTGAATATTTGATCGGTGGATTTAATGTTCTATTGTTTGATACAATACAATAAATATTCCACATTTGATAAATTAGGTTGAGCCCATGTTTGGGAAAATCCATTTTTCGTCAAGAAAATAAAAAAAAGGGGAAAAAATAATTGAAAAAAATGGAAAAAATTTCAATACAGGAAAAAAAAAGAAAAAAAATGAAAAACTTTTTTTTCTCTGAATTTAACCTTTATGAGAATTGTCATATTTGGAATTTATTGCTTTCGACTCAAAAAGAAAACACTTCATTAATATCGTACAAAGGTGTTATATGTTATAGCGCAAGTTTTATCGAATGAATATCAACTCGAACTCAAGTTTCTTTGTTTTACGTGAAGAATTTTCCCGAAGTTTCGAGTTTAGCCCAAAATTCATCAATTCTTATCTTTTCGTCGCATGTCATCGACTATGTGGGTGTAGCGCAAAAATATTCGATGGAATATACGCATGCCCTATCTCTTTTCCTCATTTGATACTTGATCGTCAATGGATTTCTTCGCTTATCAGTTTTGACAGTTGAAACGAATCGTGATTTATCCTTTTTTATCGATGACATGTTAAAATAAATATTGAAAGGGAAATTTCTTAGTTTTTATTTCCTTCTAGAATCGTCTTTCTCTTTTCTTTTCAACTGTCTGGCCGATAGATTCTATCATCTAAAGAAACAGCGAGCACGTGAGAGAGGTGCCTTCGAAGTGAAAAATGAAAAACGTGACAACCTGCGAAATAGTGGGTAGAAGGTGGAGACACAGAGAGGCGTGCTGACGCATTTCACGAGACACGCAATGTGCGCCAATGATTTGTCCAAAATTTTGGTCGCTCCGAATTCCTAAAACTGCATGTTTTCAATAACTCCGCTTAGCTTTGTCGTCAATATTTTTTATTTTTGCGGATATTTTTTATTCAAAAAATGTTAATGAAAACGAAAATTTTTAATTTTTATATGTAAAAGTAATACTGAAACGAAATTTACTTCGCTTATTCGTTTTAGCATTTTATTTAGTTTTAATACGGAAACTCTTGGTGCAGAATAAAAAGTGTAGATTAAAAAATTGCTAAACGTAAAGTTCAATGGCGTACTCGCGCTAATATCTCTCACGAATGCTATTTTTCGCTAATTGCACGCCACCGGAAAAAGTTCAACACGGTTTTCTTTACATTCTTCAAAGTCAGTTTTAATATTTTTAGTCTAGCATTATTGTCGATAATCGGATTAGATTAGAATAACGAAATAGCCAATGTGAATAAAAAGCGCATATTATAAAATCTGAACGTAAATTTTATTATTCGTTCGTTCTTTGTAAAAAATTTTTGATTATCTGTCCAAAAATCACCTCCATTTATCAAATCACAGTTGTTCGCCTTTCACTTTGTCACGTGTTATTCTTTTCATTTTTCGGCAGCATTCGAGCATAACGTGTGTTTACAGGTTATCGTTTTCCGTGAAGGATAAACGAGTCCTTAAATTTGGCCCCTAAAAGCTTCTGTCATGTCAACAAGCGAGGGAGGTGACGGCGTCAAAGCCGTCGAGCTCCCGAAAAATGAGAATGATAGTAGCCCAAAACAAGCTAACAACATAGGCGAAAGCACCGAAGCATCTGGTGCCAAGGTAACTAATTATTAACATTTCATAACATATTATTTTCTTTTAAAATTCAGAACAATCGTCAAAGAAGAAGATCAAACACAAAAGGCGAAAATGCGGCTTCTAGAAATGGAAGTCGTAATAATAGCCAAAGTGCGCCAAAGACTCATGCTACTCGCAAAGACTGGTCGGAAAGAAAAAGTTTTAGTCATGGTGGTAAAGAAAATCCGAAAGTCAACAAGAATGACGACCATCATAGAACACGAAGCACAAACTGTAACGTTCAATTGATATTATTACATTGAGTTTTGTTGTTTTAGCGACCAACGGAAAACGAGATCCCCGTGAGTCGACAAGAACTCTTTCCCAGGTTAGCAATGGAGATGCCTACGACTACAGCGATGAATGTGAGAATTGATATTTATGAGTGATTTATTTTCTTATTTTCAGACGATCTTGAAGAGCCGTTTTCGGATTCTGAAGACGAATCTTTTCGTCCAAAGAAACCGCAAAAAATGAATCTTACCATCGCACGTGGAAGAATCCGCACACTCTCCGGAACAGTACCACTCGTTGGATACTCGCCGCATTGGGGAGGCCCAACTATGTGCTTAAGCTGCTTACAGTTTTTTGATCTTCCCGATCAAATTCCGAAATTCGCCGATCATTTGCTCAAAGAACATAAGATCGTAGTTTCGGAAATGCATTTGATCGTTGATCCAAAGCGTTATATCGAACATTGGCGCCAGCGCTTTGTCAAAGAAAGTATTGACCAAGTTTTCCCAAGAATTGAGCCATCCGAGGGAGAAAACTACTACGGTGAAACGGATTATTATTATCTCATGTCGGAGAACGTTGCTGAAGACCGCACTCTTCGACAGAGACTCGCCATGCGAAGATTGGAAGAGGCTTTGTCATGTCAACAACGCGAAAGGTATTATTTCAGCATAGAAATGTAAATTCATTTTATTTTATTTTAGAGAAGATACTTCTTTCCAACTTCAATGCATTTTTTGTCGTTACAACGCTCGCGGAAATCGCTCAAAGATAATTCACCATCTTTATATGATCCACCATCTCAACCTCGGATCTCCAGACAATCTTGTATTCGTTACTGAGTACATAGAGCATCTTAAGGAAAAACTTCATGTAGGAAATTGAATTAAAGAATTAAATATATTTGTTGCATTAAATATTTTAGCGCAACGAGTGCATTTATTGTGAAAAAGTCTTTCCGGATCGCAACACACTGATGGATCATATGAGAAAAAGAAACCATCGTGAAGTTAATCCGAAGAATCATTATTATGACAAGTTTTACATCATCAATTATCTCGAGTTGGGCAAACGTTGGCTGGACGTACTTGCGGAAGATTTCGAGGACACAATGCCAACTTTCCAAGATTCTGACGAAGAGGAGGAAGATCAGGAATGGTGCGAATGGCAAGAGGACAACTTAGATGCTGATGAAACACGTGTCGTCTGCTTGCTTTGCGAGCATACCGATGATAATGCTTCAACTCTTTTGGAGCATATGAAGGCTACGCATGAATTCGATGTGTTGAAGTTATTCCAAGAAGCGAAATTCACTAGTTATCAAAGATTGCGTTTGATTAATTACATCCGCAAACAGAATTACCATGCGAACTGCTGGGTTTGCTCGGATGAGAATTTAGAGAATCCTCTCGCTCTCTCCAAACATATTCAAGAGCATAAACCACTAAAGGTGGGAACAACGAGCTAAAGAATAAACATAATAATTGAATTTCAGGCGCTTCCGGATTCTTCGATTTGGGATAACGAAGAGAACTTGGTCCCACTTTTCGGCAACGATCATTTCCTGTGGCAACTTGAATCTATGCTTGAGGAAGGTGAAGATTTTACCGATGGTGATGACGAGTTTGAAGATGCGACCAAGAAGTTCAAAAAACTTGTTATTGACAGTAAGAAGAACACTGTTGAAGGGGTATATTTTTCATGTAATCAATATTAATTCGAATCATAATTTTCAGGTTATTGCTGAAGATCTTCCTGACCTCCACGAGATGACTACAGCCGAGCTCGATGATTTAATGTAGACCCACCTTCTCCGTAACACTATACATAACTTTTTTAGACTAGTAAACCTTTTTAGTAATATTTTTCCCTCCCTCTCTTTCTCTATATTATTTGAAACGCTTACTTTTGCCTTTTCCGGTTTTAATTAACCTTTTGAATTTTTCCTACAATCATTATTCGGTGTAAACTGATTTTGATTTTTTAATGATTAGAAATATGGGAAATTCCCGTTTTTAATCATTGTTGTTATTCTTGTGTTGTTTTGTGTACGTTTTGTTCAATTTTTAATCCCATACTTCCCAACCAATCGACCCTCTTTCTCAATCACTCTTTAATTTCTCTCCCCTGTTCTTTGCCTTCTATCCTTCGGTTTCTCTGCAAATTTAAGACTCCTTTATTATCTCTATAACACCATCTTAACATATCCTCATCGGATCCCCTCCTTTACGTTGATATGTCGAATTTTAGGTTCCTAACGCCAAATGTAACCTATCAATTATTCGCATACAATCGTTGTTGAATAAATCGATTTAAGTGGGAGATTAGTGAAGCGGTTTGCAATTTGAGAAGTTTAATTCTTGCGTGTTGTATTTGCTTTCCCATTTGTAAGAAATTTAAACCATCGAATTTTCGAAAAACTATGAGAAAGCGATGAATAGGATATTGAAATCACTTGTACGAAATACTGGGTTTTTCCTGGATGTTCGAATGGTTTATGGATCTCAATTCGGCATCCAAATGCCAAGAAATTTTGCTTCCGAAGGCCGAAGAGGTAAACGAAAGTTTGTAGAAGCGGCAATTGTGAAATCGACAAAAAGTACGAAACGCGTCGTTGACGTCTGGAAAACGATGAATGCAACGTTCAGTTCATTTATTTCGATCGTTTCAAAATCGGTTTCTGTTCAGTGAATTGTCGCAAGCGCTTGGAGTAGATTTCGATGACGTTGTTGAGGTTCTCGAGAACATAGACAAGAGAAATGTGAATGCAATTGTGAATGAGACGCCCCTCGAAGATACCACAATATTGCAGGTTTGTTTCTGATTTGTGCGAAAAATGAAAATGATATTAAATATTGAATATTCATATCAGTTCGGAAAAATAAACTGCGTAACAATAATAATAATAATAATATCATATTGCGCGTGTTAACAGTCAGCCGATAGTTGTGGATTGCTGTGAAATCCATGATTAAAATCATGTCTTTCGACCTGTTCCTATTAACATTTCGAGTGAATTTTCCTTCTTATATTGTTCGAACGTAGACGAATGCATTTGCCGTTGGCAAAAAGTGACAATTCGTTTAAATAAATTTGTAATCGTATCGAAATGTTCAATTTTTTTTTAATGGAAATTTATTGTTTAGACTATTCATCAAGTTTGATTGCTTAGCGCGAAATGTCTAAACAAGGTGTATTTTACTAAACATTTTTTCTTATTAAAACGCCGTTTTTATTTCATAGAACTGTTGTTACGAATTATTTTTTTTGCAAACAAGATCGTATGAATTTCAAACATAAGCTAATATCGTTTCAATTCTTAGCCGAACCCAAATATTTTTGTTTCCTGACATGTTGTTGTTGAAATTTCCCAATTTTAAGACAGCTGCTGCCTTCTCATGCAAACCTCGTTTCGTGAACGGCCCTCCTAAAAAAGTGGAAACATTGGATGATGACTTGCGACCACAGTAGGATTACATTTGATTTAAGATTTAGAGTAAATTTAATTAATTTTTTTCAGACGAGAACCAACCGAATCCGAAAAAGAAAAACGACCACCGATTGTGACAATTATGGGGCATGTTGATCATGGCAAAACTACACTTCTTGACGCACTTCGGAATTCACAAATTGCTGCTGGAGAATTCGGCGGAATCACACAACATATTGGAGCATTTTCTGGTTTTATTTCATTGGATTTCATAAAATTAGATTTTAGTGGAACTTTCGAAGGGGAAAAAAGTGACGTTTTTGGATACGCCCGGACATGCTGCATTTGCTTCGATGAGAGCTCGCGGTGCTAATGGAGCTGACGTCGTTGTTCTTGTAGTAGCAGCAGATGACGGGGTAAAAGAGCAAACAGTGCAGTCGATCAAGTTTGTTGTTTAAGCCTTTTGTTGTTTATTTCTTTTTAAAGATTTGCCAAATCTGCTGGAGTTCCGCTTGTGGTTGCTGTTAATAAAATCGATAAGCCGAATGCAGATCCGGTAAGGATTCATCATAATTTAGCCAGACGAAACAGTGAAAATTTTAAAATATATTTTAGAAACGAGCAATGCGATCTTTATTAGAACACGACGTAGTTGTCGAGCAACTTGGAGGTGATATTCAATGCGTGGAAGTTTCGGCTCTGCAATCGCGCAATCTTCATGCCCTTCAAGAAGCTCTTCTTTTGCAAGCTGATTTGGCGAATCTGCGAGCGACGAAAATGGGAAAAGTTGAAGGAGTCATCATCGAGTCATCAGTTATCCACGGTATTTTGGTCTTTAATTTAAAAAATTAAAATTGTGCATAGTTGGCGTCCGGAGACTGCTCTACGCGGTTAGATTTATTTTTTTAAAGGTTTCGTCACTATTAACGCTTATTTTGCTATTTTCGTGTGAACGGTTAATTTTTTCTTGATGAATTTTGTATTTCTTTGAATTTACAACGTCATTCAATTTAAAAATTGTCGAACCGACCCATAAAACGTAAAATAACTAATTTGTCCACGCTAGAAACCGACAAATCTCCATTAATCTACGCACTTACAGCAATCGCCGGACACCGACTATATTTGATGCTCGTAAATTTCTATTTCGTTCATTAAATGTAGAGATTGAAGAAATAACGAACATTCTACATTATTTGGTTGCGGAGAAAAACTATAAATTGTTAACGATAAGCCCGAAATCAGTGGTTAATTTATAATATTAGAGGGGTTTTCGATTCTTTTAGTCACTTTTTGTGAGAAATACGCTAAATATATGTTTTAAAAACGCGAAATTGAACTCATTTCGGACAATGAATTTTATTAGATGACAAATTATTTGTTGTTTACTTCGTGATCGTTTTTATTAGCAACTTTTATCTTTTCTTATCATGTTTCTATAATATTGTTATGATTTTTGAAGTTACCGTCTCTCCCTCTTCCCCTTAATAGTTGATTTAAAAAATTAACTTTCAGGGATTGGAAAAGTTTGTACTTTGATTATATCTCGTGGAACGCTTAAAAAGGGAAACATTCTTGTTGCGGGAACATCCTGGTGTCGTGTTAAGACCATGCAAGATGAGAATGGAAGAAATTTACAAAGCGCACTTCCTTCGCAGCCAGTCAGAGTGAGTTTTGGATGATTCAAAATTTTGTCCTTATTAATAATTAGTTTTTTATGACAAAAATTTTAACAATTGAGAAAAAGAACACTTCTTTAATGGGAAAATGGAAATAATCCTATATATTAAAAATTAAATCTATTGTAAAAAAAAGTATTAATTTTCTTTTTATCTTGTCCGTCATGCCATTATTCTTATTTTACTTTTCAAAAATGTTCTTATTTTTGAGGCCGCAACATCTTTTTACGTGGCCGAGTTTTTTAACGGCCATATATAAATATTATTTAATGTCCATTTACCAGCGTCGAATTTACCCTATATTTTCTTGTATTGGATGTTTATTTCAATCAATTTTCAGGTTTCTGGTTGGAGAGAGGATTTACCAAATCCTGGTGACCAGGTACTGGAGGCAGATAATGTGGACCGAGCACAAAAAGCTGTCAATTTTAGAATTAATGCGGAAATGAAGAAAAGGGCTGAGCAAGATTGGGTTGGTTAGCAAGATTTTTCGGAAAATTCATCGCATGTACGTATTCAGAATGAAATTGAGGAAGATCGCAAAAAGGAACGAGAAATTTATCTTACTAATCGTCAAAAATTGCTTGATCGTGGCCAGAGGTAGTTCCGCATTTTAATTTGTTTAGAAGAAACGGACTAATTTAAGATATGGTTCGACTTTGCGACATGTAGTTCATAAAAATAAACGAATTCTAAAGGAAACTGAAGATACACATCCGAAATTCAATCTTCTCGTAAGATTTTCCGTAATTATTGAAATTTACTTGAAGTTTTAAGCTCCGAACAGATGTAGAAGGAACGTTGGAAGCGATTCTCGAAATTCTCAATACGTATTCGAGTGAAAAATGCAAGCTTCAGTTAGTTGATTTTGAAGTTGGACCACCAACAGAAAAGGATATTGAAATGGCGAAAGAAACCGGCGGTTTGTAATTTTTCAATATGTATTGTTGGCGTTGTGCGACTGCAGATATATTTATATATTTAACCTGTATACATATATTGGCCGTATAGCTAAACTTGTTTTTTTGTCAACGCCGTCGTCATTGTTTGTTTGGCATTAACTAATTTTTCGATGTCGCCGACGTAGAAAATTAAAAACCAATGGTGATCTCAAATTCAATAATATATTTCAGCTTCGATTTACACATTTAACGTTCTACCAACTCCAAAAATTCGTCAGAAGGCTGAAGCATTGGGTGTCCAAATCGAGAATTTCAATGTTATCTATCGAATGGTGGAGGCGCTTAAATCAGAACTTTCGTCAAGATTACCACGTGTAACCGAATTACATTTGGTCGGCGAAGGGCATGTTCTTAAGGTCCTCAGCATATATTCTTAATTAAAAAATTAAAATATTAATTTTAGGAGTTCATGATATCAGATCGTGGAAGGAAACGACAACCGGTTGCTGGAACTCTTGTCGATTGGGGTAATTTCGACAGGTAATTCAGAATTTTTTCAACAAAATTTAAAGTCGCGATTTATATATTTATATGAATCTTGGATTGTTTGTCTCAAAAAAATTAAAATTCTTAAGAATTTATTTAATTTCACACACCTTCATAAGCGCTAACTTTTTTGTTTTCTCTTTATAATATTCAAATAAAAACAAGAAAAAACGAATTATTCAGAAATTGTGTTTATAAATTCATACGCGGAAATCAAGTAATATACGAAGGTGAACTTGAATCGATGAAATCTGGAATGGAAGTGGTAACGAATGCCAAAACAAACACAGAGGTAGCATTTTAATCAGATAATAATGAAAGTTCAATATTTTCAGGTCGGCATTGCACTTGGCGATAAGAATATCCGATTTAAAGAGGATGATCAGGTGGAAGCTTATGAAAAACGCCATATTGCTCAAGAAATAGACTGGTATCCTCCGGGATTTTAGTTTAAAAAAAACTGTATAAAATAGGAGTAGTTGTTAGAATTTCTAATTGTTCGTCATGATAATAAATTATTTATTTTAGTTAAATATATATTCAAATCTCAACATGATCGTAATTCGATATTGATACTTATGTTATTTGCCTATTTTTGCTTATTCTTAATGTTGTCACTAATTTCAGATATTTAGAATAGGGTTGAAATTTGATGGAGCCGACAAACCGTCTCGGGGCTGTTCAGCTACAGAATCGCCTCGACTCACTAATTTTTGGATATTTACATCGAATGGGGGTTCGTTGATCATCAATCCGACCCCATTTATTGCAGCGTCCCATTTTCAGTATATCAAAAGTTCGGAGGCGTTGACGAATGAGTCGGCTTATTTGTCGTCTGCGGATCGAAAAGTGCAGATGGGTGGTCAAATGGCATTCAGCATCAATGATAGAGTGCATGATAGGACCCTTGAAGAGATTATATTGGTATGATGTTACGTTTTACAAAAGCTTATTATTGTAAAATTAATATAAGTTCTCCAAAAAGACCATCTGAATGATTGTGTGACGGAGACTTGCCTCAACATTAGATCTTTCATTTATTGTCGACGTTTGGCGACTGCGGAAATCAGACAAAATGCACAAAAAAATAGTGACAGCGGTCCTAGCGCAAAAAAGTGTAAATATACGAGCTATGCATAAGGATAGACTAAAGGGGCACACGAAATCACATTCCTAAAATTTTTTTCCAGTTTTTCGAAGAAGAAGCGCGATGTCAAGAAATTTTTATAATAGTGATTTCCTTTAAAAGCTTGTTATTTTTAGCAAATTTTATGAAATTTGGCTTCAATCTTTAAACAATTTTTTCAGCTGTTCATAGAATACGGCCGATTCGGTATTAGTCCCGATCTGCTTGCCATTAGTTCAGAATTGCGCCAGTTATCATTTCGATTGACAAATCTTACCTGTCTACCGGCTGTTAATCGAAGGTAAATTCTTCTGTTCCACTTGAAACATTAATGAAGTTGTTTTAAGCGAAAATCATCAAAAAATCTATGGAAAAGCCACAGTATCGCGTCATATGCAGCCTACTGCACTTGTAGGTGATCAGTACAATCCGCAGCGCGGGAATTTTCAGACATTTATTGTTCAAGAAGTAAGAACATACAATATTGGAAATTAACTAATTTTTTAGTCGCCATATGCAAAAGCTCACATGGCACATCAAGCAATAAATGCACAAGCAGAAGCAAGATATTTGGAGCAGCAGCAGCAACAACAACAACAACAACAACAGCAACAACAACAGCAGCAACAACAACAACAGCAGCAACCACAACAACAACAACAAGGGCATCACCTTGCACAGAATCAATCGAATCCTTCTGCGATTAGTTATAATGATCACATGGACGAAATGGAAGATGATGAGAAACGAGAAGTTGGATCAGCTCGTAGGAAGCCTCATGCTCCGCAAAATTTTAACGCGAAAGTCCGTGAGACTCTAATTGAGCCGATTGTTGAGATTATAAATGAAAAACCATGGGATTCCGTTTCTGATGTAAATAATTGCAGATCTAGTATTCATTTAAAGTTTTTACTTTTAGATTCATATTGATGACACTTCTATTTTCTCGAATTTGGACGTAATTGGAAAAGATGTAAGTTTGGCAAAAGGGTACACGGCTAGTAATGAATTTTTAGTTTTTGGCCACATTTGACTATGCACCGGAAATGGAATCTATGCAACATGATCAGCGATTGACTCTTGGATACAATCCTGTTCAAAATGATAGTTTCGATGCGAATATGATGCAAATTGAGAACGAAATTGTCGTAAACACATGCAATGAGGTTTACTGTTTTGTTTAAACAGAAACTATTCACACCATCAGGATTTTTATTTTCAGCCGATTCCGGAAACTACCTATCCGCCGCCAAATGATATCCTTAATGGGAGTTCCGAAGTAAGATCGCTCAAGAACATTACTGAGGTACCTGCTGCTCTTCCTCCTCACCCACAGCCACCAGCGAATGAATTACACCAGAAACTTACGCATTTTGCTGATCCTCAGCCACTTTTAAGCCCAATTCAGCCTATCCGAGTGAAACCACTAAGTGCTGAAAAGAAAAACCGTGTGAACTCGCCTGTTGAAGCGGATCGCGCAGATAAGCATAAATCAAAAGAACGGAAACGTGAAAAATCTAAGGAGCGCGATGAAAAGAAGGACGGTAGAAGAACTTCGGAATCAAGGTTTGTAATTTGGATGCAACGAAATATAATAAAAATAAAATCGATATATTACGTCGTTCTAGAAGAAATAGTTCGGATTTGGAGTCAACGCGCGATTCTAGAAGTAGCCGAAATATTGATTTGTCACCCAAAGTTCGCGATCGAAACAGGGATTTTGATAAGGATCGAAAAAGTAAATTGAGTAGAGATCGTGAGGTTGGTTAATTTTGTGATTAATCTAATGGTAGTCTTCGATGATTTAGTATCACAAAACTCAGGATAGTGCATCGTCAAGAAATAACGACAAGAAAAACAAAAAGCGGCCATATGTCAGTTTTGAGAATTTCATTTCTTTTCTCATTTCCGGTTTCAATTAAGGCTGACGAACGAAGTCGGCGAAGTGATGAACGAAATAGTGAACGAGTTAAACGAGAAAAAATAGATTCGAAGGAAAGTCGAAAAAATTTGCCAGTGGAAGATAATGAGACAGCCAAGGAAAAAGAGAGAGAAAAGCAAAAGACGGTAACGGAAAAATTCATTATATTCCAAATTCTTTTACATTTTCTATTTAGGAAATTGCTGAACGGAAACCTGTGGAAGATTCACCATCGACGTCAAATTTTAATAAAGAAACTTCTCCAAAACCAGCATTTGATCCGAAATTGAAAGCGACTTTTCTTATGAATAAATACCGAAATCAGAACAAAACAATTCCTGTGGTATTAAACTCAAAATTTCGTTATGTATCACAATATTTAACTTTAGAAAATTGATATGAACTTAAAGACAAGCGTCGCTGCTCCTGTTGATTTGCTTGGATCTATTGATAAGGAAATGCAGAGCTTCGAAAAAAAGTCGATCTGCCTGTTTAGTCGAATAATAATTGCAAGTTTTAACTTTCAGAACTGCTGATGAAATATCGATTCGAAATAAAAAACAACCCAATGCGTCTACTTGGAAGGTTAGTTGCAAAACAAGTAATGATCGGTATCCGACGATTTCAATTTCCATGTAAATTTTGTAAATTCGGTGGAATTCTAACGTTGTTGAAAATAAGATGATCTAAGTATACGAAATTTTACATGCGACCTTACTGCGAAACAATTTTAAAATATTAATATGTTTAGATTCCAAAGAAAAATGCCGCTGGTGCTTCACCAGCTACCTCGAAGCCCCTACCTCCTGCTTCTTCTTCTTCTTCTTCTTACCAATCGTCGACTAAGGCTGAGAACAGTCCACCGACTCCATTTCGCTCGAATCAGCCACCTAGAGAGATTCAACTAAAAAAAGAAAGGGCTCGTGAATTTGAATTATGTGATGGTGATAATCGAAAAGACACGACTGCGTTTATCGATGCGAAAATGAGCCTGATTCGATGTTAGTATTCATTTTTTTTGGATTTCAAAGAAATCCTTTCATTTTTAGTGACTGCTATGCTCGTGAATTGTGACAAGGACTATCGCAATATGCAGAGGGAACTTAATTATAAAAATAACCAAAAGTACTTTAATAGTAAAAGAAATTAATTAATTAATTGTTTGTGTATAGGAACTTGAAGACTGACTGTGATAGGCAAGATGGAGACTCATCTTCTGAAGAAAGTGTTGCGGAGCAATATAATACATCGATTGTGAACACCCACCCTAAAACTGTCAAATACGCCCCACAAAAAGTGAATTCGTTCAAAACGCAGCAAATGGTGGGTAATTCTTACAACTTGCTGCAAGTTTTGATAATTATACAGATAGCGTTGTCTGATGACGACGAAGGTGAGCTGAAAGATGAATCAGACAACAATGACGGCGACGATGATGATGAATCGGATTCGGAGTTTGTCTACAAAAATTCGAAAATCAACACTAGTAACGGTGAAATCGACCTGAATGCTGCCTCGTCGATTCTCGACCGAATTCATAATTCGGAAGGATGTAGTCCTCACTATTAGATTTTATCATGCGCGTTCCATTTTACAAACTTGTTTCTTCTTTTTCATGTTTTTCTATTTATTTTCATTTATCAATTTTTTTCTTCATATATATTATTCTTTTATCCTGATTCCGATTCGTTTGAAAATATTCGTTTGGACAATTCGGGTAATAGAATTGGTTCAAAAAGGTATAATAATCGCCCTTCCAATCAATTGATTTTTCGCTTATCTGCTTGTATGCATTCCTTTCTGTATTTTGTCTTTTCGCTTAACTATTCCCTATTTCATTCTTCATTTCTTTCCTTCCGTTCAATCATATCCAGGTGTAGGTGTTGTGTGAAGTATTTCATTTATTTCCGACTGGTTATCACGTTGCTTGGGTACACTTCTATCATTTATTATCTTCTCCATTTCCGTTCTTTTATTCTTGTTTTTTTTTTTCGCGAAGGCACGTGTAAAATTTAGCAAAATTGTTGTGTATACTTAGAAACATTAGAATCGGTTTCCAATACGTTCATAATAATCTTCTTTTGTTGTATACATAAAAAGTTGTCATTCATTAAATTAATTCTTATTTTTATTATTTGAAAGTGATTAGTCTTTTTTATATTTATTGTTAGAATTCCGTTTTGTTATTGCATTGTTATTTATAATATCTTCAGATGATTTTTAAAAGAGTGTTTACAATTAGAAATTATTCGATAGGTAGGTAGGTCAATTGGTTCAGAACTAAAAAAAACAGATTTTGTTATATTTAGAATTGTTGAAAATGTTTCGACACCGCACACATCGAAATTTCGCGAAGGACTTTCTGTTTTAGTTGTGCATCCGAAGGTGATATTTTGGGTTTAGGAAAATAAATGATTTTAAATAATTGAAAACGGTTTTGAAAAAATGTGGCTCGTTGAATTCGAACACGAAATATCTTAAATAATGTGAACGCAGAATACATTCAAGAACGTATCCCTGTTTCTCTGTTTTTGAAAATTTCGATAAAATATTCTAATTTCCAAATATTGATAGGTTCGATGGGGTTCTGGCTCAGCTTCTGTGTTGAAAAACGCGGAACGGCAACTGGAAGAAGCTGTGTCCCTTGTCGATAATTTACCACACATGAGAGCAGTTGAGTGAGAGCTACTGTTTAATTCCAAATGTTTCTTATTTCATTTCAGTAGCGTAATTTTACCTGTGGATTATAATACAAAACGGAAAACGATTTGGGCGACGGGAAACATAGAGAAATTGATTGAACGAAAGGAACAAGCCCGAGCGACAGCGCTAATGATAAATGTTGACGTTTTAAGTCCGACTCAACAAGAAGAATTGTTCCGACTTTTCGAAGTGCCGATTTTCGATCGATACAATATAGTATTGTCGATTTTCAAAGAATACGCACAGACAGAAGAAGCGCGATTGCAAATTTCACTCGCCGAACTTCCTTATATAAAGTTGGTTTTATTTTTTTTAATCAAAGTTATTTGTTCATTTTCTTCAGAAGCAGAATTCATGCATTATCGTCGAAACGACTGAATAGTCGACCTGAGATTTTACACATTGATCCGAGATTCAGCGAATTAGAAGGTGTCGATTTAAACGAGATGCTTCGAAAACGAGAGCAAGAACTTCGAAAAGAACTTCGTGAAGTTATTCGAAAGAACGATGATGTAGCCGTGAAAACTTCAGTTGCTCACGATGCAGTTGTTGCGATTGTTGGCTACACAAATGCTGGAAAAACATCGTTGGTAAAGAAATTAACAGGAGCCGATGAATTAGATCCAAAAGATCGTCTCTTCGCTACACTTGATACTTCTCGTCATTGTGCACGGTTGAATTTGTTTTTATCCGAAAAAGAAAACAATTGCATTTTCAGATTACCTTCGGGACGATACGCTCTGTTCACGGATACAATCGGATTTTTCAGTGATCTACCAATTCATTTAATCGCTGCGTTCGAAGCTACCCTTGCGCATGTTAAAATTGCGGTTTGGTTAATTGCTTATGTATATTTGAAAATGACAATCCTTCTAGAATGTTATTATTCATTTGCGTGATATCGCGAATCCGGATTGGCGAGCTCAAGAAGAAGATGTTTTAGCGACATTGAAGTCGATTGGTGTTGACAAAAATATTCTTGAAACCAGAGTGATCACGGTTGATAACAAAGTAAATAAATTTCATGTTTGAAACAATTTTAAAATGATTGTTTTTAGATTGATAAAGACAACGCAGCCCATGTTTCAGATACGGGAAATAAAATACGAATTTCGTGTAAAACAGGAGAAGGGATGAACGATCTTGTTCAACTTATCGACAAAGTTAAGAATGAAACGTAAAAATAATTTTAAATAATATTTAGAAAGTTGTTGAAGCCACAGATTGCAAAACAATACGATTAAGGCTAGATGTTCGATCGCCTATTATTGAATATCTTTACAGGTTTATTTGTTTTTATTCAGAAAATAATTTTATTCGAAATTCATAAATTTCAGAAATGAATTTGTCGTTGCCGAGCCCAAAGAGAAAGATAACACACTTATTTTTGATGTGGTCATGAATGAAAAAGAAATTGCTCAATTGAAGAAGAAATTTACAAATCTGAAGAAAAAAAAGAGTTGCTAGACTAATAAATATAATATAAAACTGGAATAAATTATGTATTACAAATTGTTTATTAATATTGTTTTGTTCCCACGGTTATTGATTGCCGTTCTCATATGTTTTCTTTTCTTTATTTTATTTTCTTTATTTCTTGCACAGAATTTGGAATCGCGCTGATGGGCATAGAAAAGGAACATGTGAAGGTTTCAACAATGTGTTGAACATAAAAAATTTTTTAATGTCCAGGTTGTTTTGCGACGCCTTCCAAAGGCGATGACAGAAGAGGAGATGTTGGAGCAGATCAGCCCGTTGCCGGAAGAAGTCATTCACACGTTTTTCATGCCAGCGGATCTCTCGTTTGTTTATTTTGAGTTTAAAATCGAAAATTGTTTTGAAAACTATCAGATTGGAACCGTTCGCGTTCTCTTCAATGTATTTGGTGTTCTCTCAATTCTGTGATTCCTTGTTGGAGTTCGAAAAACGCTTCGATGGCTATATTTTCGTTGATTCGAAGGGAAATGACTCGATTGCCATGGTCGAAGCTGCTACTAATCAATCTTATGCCGTGTTCGATCGGGAAGCAATAAAGAAGGATTCGCGATGTGGAACAAACGAGCAAAGTATGAAAATGCAATCAATTGCTTTATATTGTTTCTTCCCTTTAGGTCCATATTATAAGGACTTCATCAAAAAAATTGAAGAAGAAGCCTCGATTCCAATAAAAACCGTCGAGCAACAATTGAAGATGCTCGGAATGGGCGATGACACGAAAACTAGTAAAGATCATTTCATGTTATCATTACATTCGCAAAAAGCGAACGCCTTGACTAATTGTGAACCGTCATACTTTTTCGGGTCGGCAATTCACATTTGAATTTTAACAGTGAGAACTTGGGTGCCGTACTTTGGATAACATGCGAAGATAACTCACTGTAAATCTGTGCAGCGAGCTCGTTTTTTCTTGCGAATGTAATATATTAACACAAAAAAACCGAGCGCCCCGTGTCGATTTATTCTGGTAGCTCAAAACCAAAATTCGGCTGAAATTTTAGCCGATATTTGTCGGATCAGATTGGTATTGAGTTACCAGAGAGTACTTGAATTCGCATTGTTTAAATGCAAACTTGAATTACCGCCTCGTAAGTGCGATGATCCACGATTATGCAAGGTGCTCGTTTTTCGTGCTCAGGTAATTGAAAATCAATCAGATTCGAAAATAATTTCTTTTTCAAACTAAATCGAATGTAAATTAATCTGTTTCGAATTATTCCAAAATTTCAACCGAACTCGATTTCAAAATTGAAAATGAGAAATAAATCAATCGATTTCGAAGATTTTTTAATCGAAACCAAATTTTCAAATCGACTTTAAACACTTTCTGAATAGATTTTGAATTATTTTTCAATCGAAACAGTTTAATTTATATTTAATTTTTCTTCGATTCCGATTTATTTTCATTTACCTGAGCGATGGCAACATTTCATCTGCATTTCATTCAAATTTCAGAAATTGAGAAATTGGAAACTCCATTGGTTCGTCATATATTGGAAAAAGAATATAAAAAACGTGATCGTCGTCGTCTCTATGATCGAACAGTTCAAAGAGCTCCAGATTCACCGAAAAAAGAAATTAAAGATATGGCGAAAGCTGATGCTAGAGTGAGATTCTATTACAATCGCTAAAAAATTACCCCCGTTACTGTATTTATGAAGTCCGTAGTTTTGATTTGCAAATTATCCGTAGTACGGTACAAAAGAATAGTTTAGATTCAAATTTGTATTACCGCCTCGAAAAAGTGGGATGGTCCACAATAATGCAAAGTGCTCGTTTTTTTTTTCGATGGTAATTTTATTATTTAAAAATTTTGATTAAAAATTATTTCAGCCATCTCATAGTTTAATTGGTTAATAGTATAAATTTGTTCAGTTCATGGTGGGGTCTCCAATCAATTCGTGCGGGTCCAAAAAAATATGGAGGACTAATCTGCGTTTTAACCATTAAAAAATTATTTCAATTTCAAATTTCAAAGTCTGTGAGTGTAATTATTTTGCAGAAGAAAAAACGCGACGAGGAGCGAAAACAAGCATATTTAGCAAGAAAGAGCGAAGAGAAAAGGCAGTCTAACGCTAAACATGGCACAGAGGGAAACACACTTTTGGTACTTTTCAATATACATATTGTCTTTATAAATTTTTGCAATACCTGGTTTTCAGAAAAATACAGGCCCTAAAACGCAGCAAAATGGTGGCGATGCAAGGGAAAATAATGCACGTCATAAGAAGAGAACGACTGCAATTAATGAAAAACCGGGAAGAAGTATTTTTTGCTTTCCTTTTTCAGTTCAATTTAATAAATGAATGTTTTAGGAACATAACTACTAGTATATGAACGGTTCTGAAGCGGGATCGGTTAGGGGAATTGCCCAATTATGGCGGGCAAATAAACTGAATTTAATCAATATTACATGTTCACTTATTCGGTTACTTGTTGATTTCTTTCTAACAACTTCTGCCTCTATAATTGTTTTCTTTGGATGCAGTGCCCTTTGTTTTTTATTTCAATCTTTTCTCAGGTTTTTTTTCCTTTTCATCGTTTTCGTTTACTGTATTTTACTCAACATTCATTGATTTGCTCGAAAATAAATTGTGTATATTTATTTATTCTAACAATTTATTTGTGGGGATAGCTTCCCTAATTTGTTTCTTCTATATTTGTACACGGTCGCAACCTTAACAAATGTTTAGGTGACAGCCGGACACTAGGCCATCTGCGTGTCGAAATGGTAAGGAATACCAATTAGTTGGCGACGACAAGTTTCTATAATTATGGGTTGGCCCGTTGTGTTGTGACTTTTGCACTAATTGTTCACCACCTTTATGAAAACAACATCTAACCATGTATTAAGAAATTGTAAATTAGTTTCTTCAGAATATTTAACTCAGCCTAGTCGGGTACTTAGACTAATATATTCGCTTAGTAGATTACACAATAGTTGGAGAAGAAATTTTTCACATAAAATTCAGTATTTGAAAATTTCAGCCCTTCCTTGCCTTGGAAATAAAATGTAACCTAGTTGGAATTACCGATCTCAAACCCAATGAGCCTGAGACATTCCGCTGGCATCTTAAGGTATATCAAAGATATCTGGTTAAATTTTCAGGTATTTTTGTGTGACTGCTGTAGGCGGGTATATTTATGTGCATGCGCCTCTTCTAAGGTGTCGCACGGATTAACTGGTTGTTTTGCATTTTAGAAATCATTCCGTTAAAGAATAATTAAACAGTTCACATAAAAATTTAAAAATGTTTTCTTTACGTGTGGCGAAACATTTTCGAAAGGCGGTCTCGTAAAATCTTCCCGCGTACATCAGTCGCAGAACACCGACTATATGTGGACTTTGATTTTGCGAAGTTGAACTTCGCGCCATCGATCAGCTAATTAATTAATGTTAACAATATTGACGCTTACAAGAATTATCAATAATTCGTCGGAAATCTAAATCTCGTTTAGAGTAATATAATATCGCTTATTTTTTATGGCTCCTGTCTAATACGTTCAGTTATTTAAATTTGTTCAAATATGCACATTTTATTTTCAGATGAAATGCACAAATTGCGGAGAAGCTCCAGAACATTGGCAATATATTGTGGCACATGTAATTTCTTTCCCCAATCTTTCAGAATTCAATATTTCCTCATTTTAAGGAGCTTCTGGAGATTCCGGGAAGCCGTGGACATGCTAATGTTGTCGAAAAATGCAAGCTGTGTAATCGCGTGAATACTTTGAGTAATATAAAACTGATATTGAATAGTTTTAGCGACTCGTTAAATTTTTTAGCCATTATTCCGGATTCGTTTAAATCGTATTCGATCGATAAAAACGAAAAATGGCAGCCTTTGGTGACATTTGACTGTCGCGGAATCGAACCTTATGATTTCGATCCGAGGAATGATTGGGTGGCGGTAGGGGTTGAATCAAATACCCCATTCAATGATATCGATTTGACGGATAAGATTTGAAAACTTTTTTTTCCTTGACAAATTTTCATATTTTAGGCTTGGGCTGATTATGATGAAAAAGCTGGAGAATCGGTTGAAATCTCCGAAATCACTTCACAATTCTCACATGTCAAAGATCCAAAGAAGAAGTAAACCTGCATTTATATTTGATAAATTCATAATTTTAATAATATAAGTAAAATTGTTTTGTCGAAAACGCTGATTTCATTGAGAAGCCAAATTGAAAGCAAGATAAGATGAACATTATAATTTGAACAGTAATCTGAAAATGAAATCTGAAAAAAAAATTAAACAAAGTTTGACCTGAACCGCGGCAATTTCTCTTTCGGTTTCCTGCGGAAGCCAATCGATATAAGGATGAGTGAAATGGACCACTCGAAGACAATACGCTTCACGTTCGGAGAACCAATGGCAATGTCTTGTTATCATGTGCGGAATTGTATTTCGATTCGCCCAACAGAATATTCCGAATGATGTCGTTGCATTTAATGTGACCGCGAAGGCAGCTCCGATTATATTGATTCCACGAGTTGCTGATCCATGACATTTGGTTCTCCAAGATACAATTCCTTTAAATACAAAATAAATGAAAAATGAACGCGAGTGGACCAAAAATCAGAGAAATGGAACTTCTTCCGGATTGAGTTCCGGTGTCAGTTCTAAGAATGCAAAATTTGGGTTTTCAAACTCGAACAAGAGGAAAAGATTTCAAATCAGTATTTTTTTTGACCAAACTTGAAACGATTCCAACAAATTCTTACCTTGAAAGACTGAAAATAATCCAATAGCTAGCGGCAGGTAAAGAAAGAAAAATGTGCAGCAATATCTTCAAAATTTTTTATTTAAAATTTTTACCTTTGATTTAAAAAAAAAAACCTTAAATGGAATATAGAAGTGAAAATGATTAAAACTCCAACTACGATTTGGTAATGATACGAATATAGTCTGACTCTGAATGTAGAAAAGAGAAATTGTATCTTGGAAAACTTTGGCTTACTTGGTTTCAATGGCGCTGTAAAATGTTAAAAGTGCACAAATGAGCAAATGGGTCCCGGAAAGAATTGAAAGACAGACAGACGTGACAAATAAAATTTGTTCTTTATCCTGAGAATTGAATTTTAATTGGGAGAAAACGCTGTATGAAACTTATACTTTCGGCTTCCAACCAAGTTTTGACAGAATTGAGAGTTGCATTGTTCCAACCAAATCGTTGCAAGACCCAACGAATGATATGGTGCGGTACTTTAAACCGTGACAAATTCCATCTTTGATTGTTGCCTCAGAATAATTGAATTCGCCGATACAATACGACTCAATCAAAGATGAAAAAAAGAAAATTGTACCAATAATCGATGAACTGAGTTGAAGATGAAAATCACATCTGAAATAAGTGTTTTAATTTTGACTCATAGTTGCTGATCAAGCTCTATAAACAATTCGAGTTAGCACAAACCTGTTGGGATAGCGAAGAAATATTGCGTGGAACGCAGTGACGAGACCAAAAACCGCATTGGCAAATGGCAGCAGGAAAAAGAACAACGATGAGCAGTAGGTTAAATGAATGCCCCCAAAAAGGAATTCGAACTAAACGTTAACGAGATTTTTGAGGAGATGGATGAATGTGTTCCACTTACGAATGCGACGACGGCTAACAACGGATACAGACTCCATTTCGGACCCGTTGAGGCCATTATAGACAAAGAAATGTTGGTCTAATAAATATTGGAAAGCAAACCGCAAAAAACGGGAGGGCAAAAAATGATTGCGAATGACACCAAAAAGCGAAAAAGAGCAAAAATGAGGAGATGGCGATGGATGTGCGCAATTTGCGACTGCGAGGGATGGATGTGTGCTGAATTAAATTCAATCAAAACAATTTGAAAACCAAGTGACTCGTCATAAAAACACGTTTTCAAGCAATCACATACACATGTTTCCAAAGGAGGTTCGTCACTATCTAGTTAGCCATTTAGATTTTGAAATGAGCCCCAAATAAATGTTGGCAAATTCTGGAGCATAATATACATATTTGGAAACGGTTAAAATCAAGGGAATGGAACCGTACAAACTTTTAGAATTCATTTATTTCAAATCATCTTGTAATTTGAGTTTTGTATTCTTGATTTCAATTTTATATTTGTTTCCCTTTATTCAAAACTAACTCAGTTAATTAATATTTGCAGAATAAACCACATAAATATTTCTTAAATTTCAAGATGACTTTGAATGTCTCATTACGCTTAATAAACCTTAGAAAAATGGAAATGAATGTAGCAAAGTATGCATTTTGAGTTGCAAAGATATATTTATTCCGATGGGAATCAAACAATGGTTTATCAGACGATGCATTCCTTGCGGCTCAAGCATTTCTATTCTTTATGATAATCATCATCATCATCATCATCATCATCATCATCATCATCATCAGCATACATCAACTTAAAATCACAAATAATTCTGCGCAAACGATTCATTTTTTCTAATCCTAATTATCATGAGTATTCAGTATTTAACATTTTCATTTGCTGCCATTTCTTAATTCAGCTAATTGAAATATGCTAAAAATAAATTAATGATGTTTTAGATTTCTCCCATGAATTCGTTTTTATATTAGACGAAATTTTAAAAAATCGATCATAGAGTTCACCAAGATTAAGAATTTGTAGAAATTGTTTTGAGGAGTTATTAATTTTTTTTTTAATTCTTCATAAGGCTTTTTGAAATAAAACCTGAATAGGTTCATCTAAAATAATAATTTCCTTTTTTCGAAATTCATCCCAATGTTTAGTATCGAAATATTAATTTATTCACAAATGTTTTCAAATAAGATCAAATTGCATTTTTTTGAAGTTCATTACAAGTATTTTCATAAATCTGCGAAACATATGAATATATAACGAATCAATTAAATTAGGATAGTAAAAGTCAATCGAATCAAGTATCGAACAAAATACGTTCTAATTACTTCTTGATAGTCGCTGACGCAGATTTCTAAAATTCCGAATTCGTCTCAAAAATAGATTTTCGCCAATCGGTTTGTTGTTAAAGCGAAATTGGAATGACTCCATCTGAATATAAATCTCGACAATTGTCTTGCCTCTCTCCCTTCTAAATGTTTTGATCTTTTGTGTGGCAGACGTGTTGTCTTTGGCGCGCCGTTGAGAATCGTCGAGCTCGAAAACCCAATTATGCTCCGGCTGCCTTCATGCCTGCCTGGTTCACGTTAAGTGGAAGGAAAGAAGGCGAGCCGAGGCGCGAGCACGAGAGACACACAGCGGTAATCTGATTTAGGGCGGTGCGCGTCGGTCGTCCAGTCGAGAGGCAGATGGGCGGAGTCAAGAAGGAATACTGTAGGTGCAGCCGAGTGGGAGGCCGAGCAGCAGCCGCAGCAGCCTCAGCCTCAGCCTCATCACGCAGCCTGTGTTCAGTTGGCGTCTTCTCCCACCGATTCAGCACGCTGGCGGCATTCACGATGAGCGATAACCTACTCGGAGGTACCACCGTCTCGCAGGTAATCGAAATTGAATTCTCGAATCCCGACTCCTCGCTAAAATATCGTGTTGGGTCTTGTAACGAAATAAACCGTAATACGATTTGGCGCCGCGCAGACGAGAGCGCCATAATTAACTTATCCAAGGCGTGTGCGCGCACCAATATTTCGCGTTTTTTCGTCGTCGTCGTCGTGTGGCATCTTGGAGAAGAAGAGACAAGCCCCTCCAGGCCCCCTTCCAACCCTCATAAATTCATTATGGAAATTTGATTGTTAGATGTGCTTCTTTTCTGCTCCGGATGCTGCTTGTCATTGATACCAGTCGGTCGTCTTTCGGCTATGACCGCACTCAATTTTCTTTTTTCGTATTTCAAATTTTCGACTATCCGCTATTTGACTTTAATTACTTTTGTATTATAGCGAACCTTTAATGAAGCGAGCACATGTAGAGTAATCTGAATTGGGAGAAATGATTGAATCACTTTTGATGTGATTTCGTAATTTATTTTTTCAGTCATCAAAATCTTAATTCTAATTAGCACGCAATTAAATCATTTATAAATGAAGAGAATCCACGTCGATGAAAATTCGAGATGTTAGCATTAATTATTTTCTTTCCTCAATATTTCGGAATTTCAAATCGTGTGCTCATATATTTTCCCAATAAATAGCCGGTAGTCGATAAATGATTCGAATAGTTCATTCTAAAATTCAAAATGGTTTCATTAATTATCACAGATTTTTTTCAAAAAATGTATACTTCCTTAACCTCTAAATAATTTTTACAAAAAGCGATGATAATAAAAATCAAATAAATCATAAAAGTGAGTTACTGTAGTTTTGAGAGGAATTATTCGAATGGTTTCATATTTAAATCGTTTGATGATGGATTTTCTAATTGGACAATATTCCAGTTTCAAGAGAAGGTGAAGGACCTGGGAGTGTCGCTGCACGATTTCACCGCTTACTATCCAGGTACTCTAGATACCGTTTCTGCAAGTCTTCGACCACTCGCTGACCCATCTTCAGGTTTGTGACTTTCTATTTTTTTTTTGCTTTCTTCCCGCCAAATTCGATTGTGCAACGACACATGCCGACTCGAAATTACATCAAAATTTATCTGATTTGCGGAATCATATTTGATTCGCCCATAGACAGCCAGCAAGTCAGCCAGTCAGTCCGTCATTCGCCTCTTGACTCAGTCCGGCTGTCTCGGTTTTTTGTTTCTTACTTGTTGCCATTGTTGTTGCGCGTCTGTTTCTACAGTACTTATAACTAGTGCCCACTGCTGTTGGCCTGCTAATCTGCTAATCGTCGTTTCTTGACGAGTCTCTCAAGAGACTGCTCGAATTCGCGCATCTGGTCCGACCTAATTGGACACATCCATTTCTTCGAGTTTCACTTCCAATCATTTTTTTTCGATATTCCATTTGGCATTTCATCGAAATTGATGAGTTCAAGGGGGGGGGCGATAAGCGCTTCCGACACCTTTGGCGGATCTCTGCGGGACACAAGGGCGGTCTCATTGAGAATTGCGCAATTTTATTAGAACAGTTCAAGTGGATCACTGTAGTGGATGTATTACAAAGGGATTAGCGATTGATGTGTATTATTAATAGCAATAACATTATGAGGAGGAGCTTTATTTTGCCACTATTGATATGGAATACAATAATTTCGAAATGTTGTCGCACCGCATTTGTATTTAGGATGTCCTTGTTGTCTAAGAATAATCTCAAGCCATTCATTGTAGTTGTATTCCTGTTGGCAACATCTGCGCGCTCGCGTCCCAACAAAAACTAATCCTCGAAATTTGCAGATGGCGCATTCAAGAAAATCAAAACCGAAGGCAACGGATCAAGTGTGTTCGGCTCGTCGCTTGCCGGAGTCGCGAGCACGCCAGCGAGGTTCCGAACGCAGGGCCCGACGAGTTCATGTTGAATTGTTTCAGTTGCCGACGACGTCATCGAACAACGTTCACACAAGAGCAGCTAGCTGAGTTGGACGCTGCTTTCCAGAAAAGCCACTATCCGGACATTTACGTACGCGAGGAGTTGGCTCGAATAACAAAATTGAACGAAGCAAGAATTCAGGTAGGCGACCGATGAAAATATAAGTCTATTAATTCGTAAGGACATATGCTCTAATTTGTGGCACCCTCCCATCCTAATTACCACCCTTATTGTTGCATAGTTTGTGCGCCAAATTGTGCGCACATGTGTGCGATCATCTCAAGCAGTACGGTTCAACACACTCGCTTTCTCGGAATTAAGCCAAGGTGTTGTAATTGACCCGGAATTGGCGAAACCCACTATTAAGTGCTTAGCTAACACAAAATCGTATAAGCTAATTAATGGATGTCCGGACAACTAAATTGACTATTATTTATGCGCGAATTATGAAATAAATGTGGGGGTTCGTTTTAAAGAAAATTATCTCATAAATTGAATAATCTTGTAAAAGTGTATCGAAAGCTTCAACCAATTCGAACTGTCGCATGCGATGCACAACCTTTTCCCCCAATGTCGTCTGAACACGTAGATTGGATAAATTGGGTTCAATGTGGATTTCATAACATTAAATATTTTTGAACTTCTTCAATTTTTTTGCTATTGATTTTAATTGTTAATTTCGAGAAAAATATGTAATATTCTATTCTTCCTTCTATGCGTTTTTTTTCGTCGTTCTTTCTCTCTCTTTTTTTTTATAAAGATATTCAATGCCCAATTACCGTATGCCGCTAGTCGTTTTGCTCGACAATGAAGCGAGCGAGGCGGACGGGCGCTGCCAAATTTGATTATTCGCCGCCTGTCCAATATCCGGGCTCAGCACAGCATTTTCTCGTAGTGCGCATAGCACGTCTAGAATGATGATTACGATGAGGAATATGCGCAGAGAAAATAAGAAGAACCCTAGGAAGAATAAGAATTTGAACATTCACAAAGGGGCCAAATCAACTGCAATTATCCACAGATCAATCTCGTTTCATATTGCATCAAATAATTAAACGTGACAAAAATTAAAATTGGGATATTAATGACGACGACCAACTAAAAAGCCAAAATCGATAGATTCTAAAAAAAAGTCCAAATTTTAATAATTCTATTATTCGTTATACAAAAAACAAGGCAAAATTGGTGTTATTCACCAATTTCTTTCTAGAAAAACTTTAAAAAAATGTTTTTTTTTTGGAAAATGCATCTTCATTCCCGATTCGTAAAAACAAATATCGTTTTTCCACTCGAAATCAATATTGGATTTTTTCATTTTGTCACTCGTTTGGTACGAATTCTCTCCGATATGATGTAATTTACCTGGAATCATGGGTATTTATAAATACGTGATATTCGTAAAAAAAAAGCGCTACGCTACGCTTAATTGAACTACGGTATTTTACGTGGTAGACAGCACAACAAAATTGCAGGTGTGGTTCCAAAATCGGCGAGCAAAGCATCGAAAACAGGAAAAACAATTGAATAAGGTATATCGCGAAAATTCCAAGTCGGAATTCATCAACATTTTCACATTTTTAGGCGATTAATCCTCAACATGCATTTTTGACGAATCAGGCTGGAAATTTGATGAGACAAGGAATGTATTCGACAGCTCTTAATCGAGATGGCTTCTGGTATAAATTTGACATATTAAATGCTGAGGCATTGGACTGATTTGTAGGTATCCAACGTATCCGCGACAAATGCCCTATCCAACGACAAGCCCGTCGTACTCAAATTCATTCACAAATCCAATTGCCAAGTGAGTTGAGAGATTCGAATCAAAATAATCAAATAATTCAGCTTCGGACAATCAATAACCCCATTCTCGACGGACGAGGAGTTTTATCAAAAAAGTCTCGCACTTCGGATGAGCAGTGCTCCATCATCAACGACGACGTCATCGACTGCCACATCGGGAAACGCGGCAAATTTGAGTTATTCCCAGAATCAGCAACAACAACAAAATGATTCGGCATCAACGACGCCGACAATTTGAAATTGTACAGTGTTTCCGATTAACAATAATTATCTAGTCGATCTCATTGTTTTTTTTTTTCATCTCCAGCTCAATTCGATTCGGATTTTTTTTTCAAAAATCCAACCAGTGACCCCCCCCCAAAAAAAGCGATCGGCTTCGGTTTAATCGATGTTGCTTTTTTCATTTTTTTTTCATCCAAATTTCAAATAATTTGATATGCTCGGCATACTCATCGGTCAAAATTGTGGCTTTTTTGCTTTCTGCGAAATAATGCCAAATTTTTGAAAAAGAAAAAACCGTGGCATAAAAAACTCGAAACAAAATAATTGAGAAAAATCCCAATTTTGATAGATGAATTTGTTGATTAATTTTAAAAACTACATTGCGTGTGTTTTATTTATTTTTTCTTGTCGTTTATATATTTTTCAATTCCATATTGCCAACAACACCAACAACAACAACATCAATAATAATCATAATAATAATAATAATAATAATAATAATAATACCGTAAACAATTGATTTGGAGTTTTCGAGCCGAGCGCGCGTAACCCGATCGTTTTGTGGTTTTGTTTGAAAAAGAAATTGCGACATAGTGCGGCGAAATCGGAGGGATTCGAGTACGGTTGTCGAGAGGCGAGCAGCTTCTATAGAAGTTGCTCTTGTTCACACGTCATTATACGTTTGATTTTTGCTTTTTGCCTTTCGTTTTGTTCTCAATTTTGGTTCTACGCATTATTTTTTATTTTACTAAAAATGAAAATGAACAAAATCCAATTGGAAATTGTTTAAAAATCCATGGGCTTGTAGAAGACAAATGATGCGATCAAACAAGAATTCAAACCATTCGTTGATGGAAATTTAATGACACTTTTGTGTATTTAAAACAATTTTAAAGAATGTATTTTACACTTCTTCTTTCTATTAGTGGATTTTTCTGTTTGATAATTTTGTTAATAGAATTAAATTTGACAAATTAGAAACCATCAGAGCTAAACATCCTATTTAAGTTGTATTATTTTCCATTCGAATCTTTTCCACATTATCTAACCATATGGTAATTAGTTTTAATTGGAATTAATTACTTTTCCAATGAAGGCACTTCGATTTTTTGTTTCCTTTAAGGCACACCCACACTTTCATCTTAGAAATTCTTTTGTCTCAATGAATAGGTCGCAGATGTGTATGTCGTCGAACCAACCAAGCCTCTTATTCCTCCTCGTCAGCCTCATTTTCAAATTTCTACCAAAATCGCCAAAATCCTGTCGGCGACACTCGAACAACGCCGTCGTCTCCGAAAAGTTTTCGCTATTTCGCGGCCACCCGTTGTGCGAATTATTCCCGATTTGTCATATGTTTTTGTATGTGATTGTTTCTTCACTCGCTTCATTTTCATTCAAAATCCAACTGTTCCGCTCGATTGTTTTGAATCGAAAAAAAGCAACAACAACAACAATTGTTTGTTTTTGTTCGCCGCATCTCCTTCGGGAATTAACACGTTTTCTCTTCTATCACACTCTCTTTAGCGACTTTTTTCGCCAATTCCAGATGATCTAAATGTCCGACGAAACTTTGCAATTGACCAGCAATCCGCGGACGTTGGCACATGCCAAAATATTTTATTTGCAAATTTTATTCGTAAGTTTTCCATTTTAATATGTATTATTGTTTATTTTAATTGCAACCTCATTTTTCTCATTTCAGTCTTATTTCGTTTTTAATTATAATCGACTACCCATTTTTGGACAACTCGATTTGGCGAAAATATATTTATGTGCAAACTACATAGTATAGTGATTTAAACTAGTACATATTTGCATAATTCTAGATTATGAAAACAAATCGGCGAAATCAAAACAGTGAGCAATAATAAATTTTTTCAAATGTTCAGCAATGTTTTTTTTTTTGCGTTTTCTTCGAACTTTCTCACACAGAAAAAGTAAAGACATTCGAGGAAGGATATCAAAATAAAAAGTAGAAAACGGTTTAAATTAATTAAGCTGAATGCTGCAAATAAAAAATATTTTTTCAAGGTTGAAAAACGGGAAAATTTATAGGCGATTTGCACATTCATCTTCGGTTCAAGAGCCATTTTGACACCGCATATTCCATTCTTCGCATGGCTACCAGGCCTTCTTTTATTATTCGACTCAACTCTCGCCTTCGCATCCCTTTTATATCTCGATTTTGTAAGTGTCTAAGTAGTCGATTTTAAAAAGAAAAAAGAAAAAAATTGTTTAGAGTCGCGAAAATACTGTTTCGTATTTGCGTCTTTCGCTAAGTCTCATTATATTTGTGAGTCTAATATAATGATGATTGAATGTCGAATTATTAGATATTTTCAGAGGTTCTCATGTGCATTCGTTTTATTTGCCGAATTATTTCTGCCGCACAGCGACCCTACCATATCGGTACCACTTATTTTCGGTAAGTTCAAACATTTTGCAAATTATGTATATCAATTCTTTCAGTCGCACTTCTTCATTGTACTTTTTCGGTTCTTTCGGCAGCCCAAGTGCACAATTTGACAAATTCGGGTCGAGACTCGACACTACATCTAGCCGAACCCGACAAAATGCAGCTCGGAAGTATGACGACGCTGGTCACTAATATTGATGATGAGTTTTAAATTACGGGTTTATTGATTTGCTTCATTTTTACATATATAATGCACAATACTAGAATTGAATAAATTAACCACCGTAGAAGGAATCAGCAGAAACAAGGAATGTGTACAAACCAGTCCAGAAATCAAGTTCAGCCTGTAAAAATGAAATCGATTCAAAATAAAATAAGATTGATTTGTATTACATCATTTTTCAAGGGATATCGGCGTTTGTACAAATGGTGATTCTTCGAATATCCACTTTTTATTATCTGAAATGGATCAATGAAATTATTATAACCCGAGATATGATAATGACGAACTCACCGGTTTTGAATTTACAACAATGACTGCAAAGAGAAAAAAGAAGAGGAGAATGGATGCACTTCGAAAGGACACCATGATAAACTAATTGACCGATTACAAATCAAATTTATTACTATTTATAGATATGTATTTGTATTGATGTGCATTATGATAAAATTTACATCATATCAATTATCATACAACTCAACATATGACGACTAGTTATCGTTCGTTTTGCTCGCCAATTTGGCATCGCTGACCGCCAAATCCGTTCGGACATTGGCATTTCGTTTCGCCGCGTCCTGTTTTCAGACACTGGCCTCCATTCTTACAGTAACCCAGACAGGCGTCGACGCAATGAAAACCGTTTCCGACGAAACCGGGCTTGCATTTGCACGAGTACCTGAATTACTCAAAATTGCCAACCCGGAAGTGTTTTTGGTTGCAACAACATTTTCTTGTGATTTTCGTCGGGAAGGTCGATGCAGGCGGCAAGCCAATGGCAGTTATGCGTTGCCGCTTTGCACTGATTCGTCCATTCGCACATTTTCGCACTGTTTGCTCCTTGCTGATACGTGGTTGTGGAAACCGGGCACGTCTAGAACAATTGACAGAATTCATGGAAGCCTATGCGAGCCGCTTCGTGATTTGTTCAACCTCGTCGGTATTCGACAATTGTTGCGACGTACCTTGCAAATTCGCCCGTCATATTCGTCCATATACGTTCCATAATCACATGGTAAACATTTGAATGTGCTCTGATCAAGAATAGTTCCAGGAAAGCAAATTTCTAGAATCATTCAACAACCCATTATTAATTTAGGTCTTACTAATGTGACAGGCTGCGAGGTTCTTGGACGCCTTTGAAAGTGTCGTTCTACCGGTTGGACACATCATGCACACCATATCAGATTCGGATTTGAATGATCCAATCGGACAAGGCTCACAAGTTGATCCATCGACGGATCTTTGATGTCCCGGTCGGCATTTGTCAAGGCATTGAGCAATTGAAGTCGAATTCTGGTAAATCGGAACAGTTCCTTGTGGACATGGAATACACCTGAAGTTAGAATTGCGATTCTGTAATTTCAAATGGCCAACTTGTCTTGTCCATATTCGGGTTGATATCCGCGTAGTCCACACGTTTCGCATATTTTCGAAGCAACGTCAAAATAAAATCCCGGCGGGCAAATGCCTAAACAGCTCTTCTAATCTATTAAATTTCATTTCTGTTACTAATGCATTGCTCTTTCTTTGAAGTTTTCGTCGATACTGTTGTCGTCGCGTCAGGACACTTTTTACATGAAGCCCTTCCATGTTCGTCTTGATAATCTCCTTTTGGGCACGGAATGCATTTCTCATCAAATTCATCGAAAAATGTGCCAGGCGGACAAAGTTCTAGAATGTCGAAGTGAAAAAACATTTTTTAAGCCGAGTTATTCGATGTTTGGGTTTTACGCATTTCTTAGTAAAAAAAATAATCGCAAGAAATCGAGCACCCTACGCCGATTTTCGGTGAGTTTGATTCACCGGTTATCCGTAGTTCGGTAGCTGAATTCGCACAGTCTAATTGAATTCCAATTTGAATTGCCGCCTTGGAAAATTGCAATGGTCCACAATTACTCGATATGCTCGATTTTTTGCGATGATAATATGAATTCCCCTTTCTTAATTATTGTGCTTTTTAAAAGTGGATTTCATATAATTAGTAATTCCAACAATTTTTGCTGGACACAATTTCTTGTTCGGACTCTGAGTATGAAATAATTAGCATATATTGCTTCTGAATGTGTTCTTCTCCCCTTGTGCGCATCCCAATAATATTGCATCTAATAAAACATTGTTCATGCTACCAATAGTATATACAGATATTAATAGTTATTAAATAAATGATCGAGTTATTAAAGTGCAAGTAGGTTAGGAATCGGAATTGCATGTTCGGTGCGGATCGGCTCATCGCGGAGGCGTCGTTGTGTTTCCTTACGGCATTTGTCACCATCGACAAGTGTTGCTCCGCGATAACAGAAGAATGCTTCGTCGAACTCGAGTTTCGGCTCAGGTTTTCCGAGAACTTTCAAAGCGTTCGTATACTGGAAAATGCCGCCTTTGAGCCCGATATGTGACACTGCGTGGATTGTCGACGTCGCTTCAACTTTTACGTTCCTCACTGGATCTCTAAAAATGAATGAATCAATTGTCCCGCGTCTAGTATGCTCGATCTAATAGCTTGAATCAATTTGACAAACCTTTCAGCGATAAATGTGATATTGATTCGATAATGATGATCTCCAACAGTTTCTCCGGTTATCTGGGCCTTTCCACAATCATTTCGAGAAGATCTGAATTTTGTTGGAAAATAGATTCGACTGCAATAAATGCTTACTCTTCGTTTGGAGTTCCTCCACAAATGAGCCAGTGTTTATTGATAAACTTCAAAGATGCCAAAACACTGTTTCTCATTATTCCGTTCCATCTGTATTCGATGAATTTGTTGCATTTTTTGCTACACAAACTAACTTGTTTATTTTTTGCAAATGATCAATTGAAGCATTCCGATAGTCGACCTGTAGACGAACCACGCGAACCGCGGGAACTGTTATGTCAGTCTGAGCGAACGAGGATGTCACAACCAGGATTGGAAGAAGGATCAATGAATGTTGGAAACCCATCAAAACTAAAATGAAGCAGTTGGTGAGGCTATGCGAATGATTCTCTTTTTCGATTGAAACTCAATTTTCTCAAAACCGGAATCGTCCGAAATTAAGAATACAGAATGACTATATGTACTAAACGACAAAAAACGAATTAAAAAAAATAACGTTTACAATCTGGAGGACGAGGATTTAATTTAAAACATTCTTCCACCGGACAGACTAATCTTTTTCATCAAAGTATACAGAAAGTGTAATTTGAGAAAAAATTTCAAACTGGAAATAATCGTTGTTTCAACGATCGCGGTTGCCTTAAAATCTATAATTTTCGGTAAACTAATTTGAGTTTTGGATGAAACCAACATCATCATCATCTGAAGGTAATCTAAATTTTGCGAAAATCAAGGATATGGGCCAACAAACAGCAGTAAAAACTAGATATTGTCGATGAAAAACGCTAGGAAAAAGTATTAGAAAAAAGCGGCATTCGGTACCAGAAGTGGTGTCTTCATTCTGAGCGTCATGTCCGTACCGCCAATGGCGAAACCAGTGGAACGGCGAAAGACAATGCAAGACGCGAAACACGCAGACATTCGCGAAGCACCGCCTCCAAAGCTTCGCGAATTCCCGGCTGATGTTTTTTTTTGTTTTGCATCTTTATTATTTTATGGATGTTCGTCTTATCAATATGTCGGAATATTATGTTGCAGCGTCTTGATTATCAAAGTAGATTTCGTCGGGTGCGAGATTGCGCGGAAGACGTGCTCGAGGTTTGTCGCGGCCGCCAAGTGCAACCTAAAATGGTCATCATACAATATTTGCATTGGGAATCCAGAATTGATGCGAGGCGATCGCATCAGATATAATTCATATTCAGGCGTCAAACCTCTAGATCAATGTCCGGATAGATGAGATCGATATCGGCAAACTTGTGATTCGTCAACAACTCGGTTGTTAACGAGCGCGCATTCAGATCCGAGTGCTCATACCAATGATGCCGAATTTCTAGAATTGCAAAGCATTGACCATTTCAGATTTTATAAAAACCTCCGTTGCGATTTTTGACAGAAATTTTAATTTTGGCATATTCAATGTCAGAAAATCGTATTAGAAGAACAGAACGGGGAACACTTCGCAAAATATTTTCAGCATCTTCTTTGCTACAGAATCCGTAAATCAATCTGAAAAAAATAGAGTATGACATATGGATTATACTATCAAAACGACGGTTTGCTCCTTGAAGGTTCTATCAAGGAAGACGAACAAAAATAAAATAATTTAAAACGTTTCTTAAGCCCACATTGATATTGCTATTTAAGTTTAAATACAACTCACCCATCGTACCACATGCTGTACAAATATTTGTTGGTGATTTCCGCCAATTTGAAAAACCAATCGTAAAATGGCACGAGTTTCCATTCTCCTTCGGACGAGCTCGCTTTTTTCTGTTGGTACTCCTCGGCAACAGGAACCTTCAAACAAGTCTAGATGATTCAAAACAACACAACAATTATGGTATTCGATTGGACAAAAAGAGGTATTAGAAAGTATTTGACGACCTTCATAAAATTATCCAACGGCAACAATCCGTTCGCATTGGGCTTCATTCGAATAACGAGATGTTGTTTCGTCTGCATACTAAACTTTCTCGGTTGAACAACCGCCGGAACATCAGCGTTTTTCTGCGGTGTTTCGACGATGGCCTACAATTTTAAACAATACAACAAATCATAGTAAGCAAACAAATTATGTACTTGAAACTTCATTTCTAGTGCATCTGCCATTTCAGCGCATGACGTATGCGTAGGAATATCGGAAAGAGGATGACGAACAAGATCCGCGAATGACCTCTCTAGAAATAGTTTTGCCTCGACGTCGGCTTTCGGTCCCACAAGTACAGCAAATGGGAGCGACACCTAAAACAATATTTGCGCGAATATGACCGCACAAGATATTTGTTGAAATCGCCTACTTTTTTGCCAACCAATTCGATTCCACAGTTGGTTTGCAATTGAATATTATAGCATAGACAATAGCGTTTCGTAGCCACCGAATCTCTTCGAAGCTGCACTTTCTTCGCAACTTTCTGCAACTTCTATACATTCGTGTAGGCTTAAGATTATTCTCTCACCATGTCGTCAAATTTCGCTTTAAGACCTCTTTCCTTTTTTTGGAATGTTGACGTGTTCGGTTCGATGGCAAATACCTCACTTTCGAAACTACAATGAAATCATGAGGTACAGAACGTTGTATCACGAAAAGACCCTTTTTCTGATTTAAGATGTCCTTCAAAAAGCTATACATTTCAAAATTATTGTTTCAGATGTACACACTCACACTCTCAAATTCACCCTTCAAAAATGTCGTTTCTGATGCTTGATTACTCACATTTCCAAATAGGCATTGTTAAGCAATTGTTTAGCGGTCTCGTCAGTAATCAAGTAACAATTCACGATGACGCCATTGCCTCGCGTATCAATTCCAAATGCGCTGCCGCCGAGAATTCTAAAAATCGAACGAAACAATTTCATTCCAAAAAAAAACTGATTGATACCGAATTTCCGTGTTGAACCAGAATCGGCTTCGTCGATGATTTTCGGCTTCTCCGCATTTCACAATAACTGATGGTGGTTGACGGCTGACTATGATCGAATAATATAAAAAGTAGTGAGCCATATTTCGAATTTTTGTGTGAATTTCTTCGAATCCAACAGCTGGATAATATTGCTTCAAGTAATTCAATCCTGAGAGAGTCTGTTGAAGAAGTTCTCCGAAGTATTCAAATCTTAATAAGTTTTCAACTATTTTTCTTTCACTTTTTTGTTTTACTGTAGATGGATTAGATCGAGTTCTTTGTAGTGCAGTTGTTGAGTGAAAAGAGTCGCAATGCTAACCTGCGAATAATTTTCTACTTGGATTTTGTCAAAATAAAGAACCTTCTGTTGTTTCATCGCCCAAGTGAGAAGAACGTCGCTCATCAGATGGTGTTTTTCGTCTTCAAACATCAAGATTACATTTTCGCAAATTTGGAGGGTCTGTTGAATTAAAGCGATTTGTTCTGGCTGTGCAAGTTTTCCAGATAACAACGTGTCTGCGCATTCTTTAAAACTCTGAAATAGAAGTTTTATTCTGGCTTGTTTCGTCGCCGATATTCTAGTTATCAATAAATAATGTTGAAAAAAAACGAAAATTCAGGGAATATTCCGACATATCAATTATTGCCCGTTCTCATTATTTGACGAACTTGTGTAGATATTTGGTAGTGTTTTTCTTTTTTGCGACTTACTTGATATGCTTCGGCGCTGAGATTATGCTTTGAAACAAAAAGCTCGTCGACAACTGGTTCGGACGGCGAGAATGCCGACGACGACTCGATATCCATCGCATCCGACATCACCGACATTGTTGCGTTTTTCGCTCAAAACAAACAATTTGAAGTTGGTCGCAACAACTATCTACATATCACAAGGCTGATTTTAAGAATAGACTAGGAACGACGCGAAAGGACAACACAGCGAAACGAGAGAGCGACGAAAGAGACAATTTTCGAATCAATTTTACAAATCGTCGGTCGATGAATCGAGAGGCAAAAACTCGTTTCTCTTCGCACCGATATTAGTCAGCAATTTTGCAAAAACGAAAATATTAAGAAATCCGACTATTTCCATTTATTTATGCTTGCTTACAAATAGAATTTGTCGTTGATTTCTCAAATAATTGCACATTTCCTTGATTATTGTGTAGATATTATTCAAAGCAGCCAATGCTAGCACGAATAAAACAACTGAAAACAATCGCGAAAAAATATTGTTGAGAAAAAAAAAATCAATTTCATGCTACATATTCTTCCCGAATCGTCTGGTCGGCAATACATTTTCTTGACGAATATCCTTTCAACGAAGTATCTTTCGTTCATTATATCGATAATGTAGTATGCGAGAAGAGTCACTGATAAAAGTATGAAAACTCCAACAAAACTCTAAATGTTGACCAATTGCGCAGACAATCAAATAATTAGTACCGAAAATTCAATTTTGGGCTTCTCCCAATTCCGCAACGGCTTAAAATGAGCACCGCCTTTCGCGTACTCTGATTTACAAATTTCACACGCCTTCTTATGTGACATATTCACCCATTTCGATAGGCATTCTTGATGAACATCGCCCATCTAAAATTCGTGCTCAAACAACACCATGTTAGAGAGCTTCTCACCGTTCCGGCACAATCGCAGGGTCTCACCATGTCTCCAGAATCCATCTGACATATTCGACATATTCGCCTAGACGCTGATGTTGTTGAAATTGTCGGAGATGGTAGCAGCCTTTATGAGCATTTACTATTGGACGATCACATCAATTTCATACCACGAATGCCGAATAACTCTTTTCGGGGTCGAAGAAGGCGATACCTGTGTACTTGACACGGACAATCCACTTTCGACCGAACTCGATCTAGCAGTCGTTCTCATTATCGCCCACCTTTTTTTGTTAGATTTGAATTAATTAGAAATGGCATTCGTTTTCTATACATTTATTCATTTATCAAATAAAATATCGAATATAATTATGAGATGAATCGATCTTCTCGTGCCTCGAAAAGTCTAAAAATTAAAACGTGAGCGGTTGTTTTTAAAACAGAGCGTTGTGTACTTGTAAATGGCTAGAGCAATTGTGGATCCGAGGAACGGACCAGCCCAATAAATGTATTGGTATGTCCAGAATTTCGAGGAAATTTCCGGCAAGAAAATGCTGCCGACGATACTTGGACCAAGTGATCTCGCAGGATTCATTGACGCACCAGTAATGGTCCCTCTGAATAAAAGTGAGTCCTTTGGATTGCGAATACCCTATTCGATCGAATTTTTTGAACGAATTACGGATTATGAAGATAGTTTTTTTTTAATAGAAAAATGACTACATAACTGCAACCCAAATGTGAAGTGAATTTACTTACGTTGACAATATATCAATTGAAAGAGTCAATCCAATGGCCAATGGTGCCAACGTGACTTTGTCCGAATCAACAGCGGTGATGAGAATGGTGTGAACGAGGAAGAACGTGACAATAGTTTCACTGATGAGTCCCTGAACAATGAAGATTCACACGGATAATGGAAGGAAATCAACCAACTTGCCACCATTGATTATCATCCGACAAAAGAGTTGCACCAGCCATGACCATTTTCAATTGATCCTTATTCAGCACTGCCTATAATTAGTTGTTCTCTTCTTGATTAATAATGTCTTAATATCGAAAAACCGCTGTCAAGAGAGCTCCGCAGAATCCTCCAAGAAGTTGCGAAAACATGTAAAACGGAAAATGGTGTATTGGGAGTTTTCCGGTTCCGACGACTGCCCATGACACTGCTGGATTGAAATGACCACCACTGAATGAAATGTACCACATGGCGTATTATTTACTATTGTTTGATTTTTAATTTTATACGTTTTGAGCTTGTTATAATATTTTCCGATTGGCATAAAACTCATTTTTGAATCAAATAAAACTGCAAATATTTACTTGGTCATAAAAATAATTATCATTGATTGAATTGATTTAGGTGTGTCAATGTGTAACATTCTGTACCCGCCATTTATCATCATATGCATCGATTCTAAAATAGGATCGTAAAACGTTGACGTGAAGTTGATAAGAATGTTCCAAAATTTTGCGGAATTCGACTCAGTTGGGTTGTGGACTTTCGAGTCTACGTCAAGAATTTAGTTTGATAATCCCCTTAAAGAAGCTTAGTTATAAATTTAAGGCGAACAGTCCCGGAATCAAAAGTTAAAACTTTAAAGAGCTATGATTCCTAAAGAAATAGAAAAACTCCCGCGAGTGACATTATGAATACTCGTAAAATCATTTTTGGAAGATATTTTTGTTAGTTGTGGAGCGAATACCTAATATGTCCCAATGCTGTTACAATTATGAAGATAGTGAATCCATGAGCAAGTGCTGCATGAGTAATAGCGTCGCCAATAGTGTAAGATTGCATTGTTCCTGGAACCAATATCACTACATATTCCGAACAGAACGTCAAGCAAACTCACCGACAAAGACGAAAGTGAGATCTCCGAGGAACTCAGCGACACATTTCGCAAGAAGCGAGTACTTCTTCTCTTCCTTCACAAGAGAATACCTACGCCTCAGCCCCTTGGAACTATCTTCATTTCCAATGCTCCAAGCGTCTCCAGTCTAAAAATGTATCAAATAGTTATAAGCGTTTTGTTTTTTTTTTTCAAATTCATTAACATACCATAACTGAAGTGAGGTAACCAGGACGGGAATCCGAAACGTATTGCGAACTCATCACAACACAATACTGATTGCGACGCTGCTAATAAGGGCAATGGGCGTGTCGTCATTGTGTGCACAAATAGTTGAATCATTATCAGTGAAATTTATGACATTTGAAAGCGAAAATTGGCTAAATTATCGATTAATTGCCAGTTCGCATATTTAGAATTATATAGAAAAGAGAATATTTTGCGAATTGGATAAATGTTGGCCGGTACATTAAAAAATGCGGGTGATATCTTAGGATTATCGACACATTAATTGATAAAAATTAATGAGAAATAATCGGATTAAGTGCGTTTTTTGCCTGATAAAATGATTTGAACACTTTTTGAAATTAAAATTCTCTACATCCAGAGAGTTATTGTGCTTGCAACGAATCAGATAAATTAGTACTTATTATAATATATCCATGGTCTATTAGAAACCACCCCTACTTTTTAACCCCCACCCCTGCTATTCCACCCCGACATTTTAACCCCGACTTTTATTTATGATACCACCCCCCACTTTTTCACCCCCAATTTTTAGATTTCACCCCTACTTTTTCACTGCTCTTCAAAATTTGAAGTTTCTAACAGTAATGTTTAACAGTAAAATTTTACTGTTTTTAATATTTTCAATAATTCAAGTTATCAAGAGGAGATTCGCAGGACTGATGTCTAAATTAGATTTTTCAGAAACTATGTAGCGTTCTTATGAAAGGTTGACGTTTTGACAAAAGACGAAATTTTTCTGAACCGGGTTTTCCGAGAATAGTTAATTTCTTGTTAAAATTGTCAACCTTTCATAAGAACACTACATGTTGTCGGCGTCAAACGACTGAAGGGAGGCGGAGCCTTTAAATTCGCGAAATTAATGTAGATTTAAATTAATCGTTGACTGAATATTTAATGCGCGTACGCTATAATGCAATGGACGCAATCTCGCTGCCTCGAGACGCATTGGCACATAGCCAATCATTTTTTAAATTTCTTCAAGTCGTTTGACTTCGACAATCGTTTTTGAAAAATCTAATTTAGACATCAGTCCTGCGAATCTCCTCTTGATAACTTGAATTATTGAAAATATTAAAAACAGTAAAATTTTACTGTTAAACATTACTGTTAGAAACTTCAAATTTTGAAGTGCAGTGAAAAAGTAGGGGTGAAACCTAAAAATTGGGGGTGAAAAAGTGGGGGGTGGTATCATAAATAAAAGTCGGGGTTAAAAAGTCGGGGTGGAATAGCAGGGGTGGGGGTTAAAAAGTAGGGGTGGTTTCTAATAGACCTATATCCATAGGCGTGTGCAAAAGAAACTCAGGATTTCAAAACATAAATTTAAACGAACAAAACTAAGATTTGAATAAAATTTATTAATCGAATTAAGAATCAAAAGAATCAATGGATTGTTGCCAATGAGAAGCAAGTTATTTATTTCGATTAAATAGAATTGTAGAAGCCACGATATCGTTGAAGATATCCTTGGCATCGTCTTTGATTTGAAGTATTTCTCTCGGAGAAGGTTGTTCAGAAGTCTGGTGAGTTGGGCGGATCAAGCAGATTTTCATAGATCAATTCGTTTAACTTCTGAAGGGTCGTTTGTGGGACTTATCATGAAGTAGAATAGGCCACTCTGTATTAACTTTTTTTCGAATTTTAAATCATTTTCATCACAGGCAACGTCGGCGCATCTTTGGCTACCTTGCATCATTATTTTTGCGATATTCGGGTTAGGCAATTTGTTACTTTTGTGAGATCACCGTATATACATATCTATGAGCACATATTGTCAATTTTGTGAATTTCATACCAGTAGATATTATTTTAATTTAAAATAATATTTTAAAATATATTATATTTCAATTGTTCGTGAATGTTGGGTCATATAGCGACCAATAATTTACCTTCTGGTAGGAAGTCCCAAATTTTCGCTAAAATCATGAAAAACGTAGTATTAAAATTGAAAAAGTTATGCTTTACACTCAGATTTTTCCTGTCTGAAAAGGGCTTCCGAAAAACTTTTCGCGTTTCAATCGACTTCTCGCTCAGAGAGGCGATTTTCTTCAGCGGGTTTGACAAGACAAAATCGGTTATCTTATAATATTATTTTTACACTATCACCTTTATAAATTTCAACTTAGCCGCTCTTAATATTTTTTCCGGCTATAGTTGAATAAAACATTTGTCGGCGTCAAACGGCTGAAGGAATTTTAAATAAATACTCGCTATTTTCCAGCTGTCTCCTCTGGTAGCTCAAAACCAATCGGATCCGACAAAATTCGGCTCCGAAATCAAGCTTATCCGATTGATAATTCTACCTATATGATTGTAAATTTTTCGTTTCTGAATGGTTGTTATTCGAATTCGTTTTTATTTTTTATTTTTCAATTCGAATCGGATCGGATCGGATAAATTACCAATGGGATTAAAAAAGAATCCAATCAGATCCGACAATTTTACAATTTTATCCGTAGAATTACCAATCGGATCGGTTTGATTTTTTGTCGGATCCGAAGGTCATACGCCTGCTGGCTCAATAGAAACAGCACAAAATAAAATGGAATCACATTGAAAACCGATAGGAAAATTTCAGGGAACCATGGTTATCAAAAAAAAACATGCCTCCATTTTGAAATTCCCGATGGGACACTATTTTTTGTCGAACATATACATAAATTAAGTTGTTTTCACGTAAAATATAATTTGAAATTTTGTGACTCGAAACGAGGAATGAAGATCCTCGCTTCGTGCACATGCACTACATGTAGAAGAAGGTTGCTTAACGCATGAATGACATATTTGTTACTTGATGAAATTTAAAAAATAGACAAAAAATTGGTGCCGTTATTGCAAATTAACTGTTGAAATATTTTTTAAATCTTCTCAGAAACTACAAAAGTATATTTTTTTAATGAAAAATACTATTTACGAGATAGAAATTTACGAAAAATGGCATCGCTGTGCTCACTAAAACCGCGCGGGTGATGATATACGATCTCTCCTTTTTTCACGATTAAACATAATGAAGAGAAAATGAGAAACCTATAATAATAATAATACATGTATTATAAATAGCCTACCCCAATGTCTCAATTAAGTAGCATTTATCATAAGCTCTGGCAAACGGTTCTACTCAATTTTTGGTACTCTATAAACATTTCGCTGTGCCATTTCGATAAAACACAATTTTTTTACTAAAGGTAATTTAAATGTATTTTTTTATATTTTTGTATTTGGACGTCTGATGTTCAATTGTCGTAAAGTTCGTAGTATGAGTAATCACTAAGGCGTATTATTAAAGAGAAAATCGAAACTAACTGCCAAGTGTGTCGTAGAAACAGCGGGAAAAGAGTTTCTGTGAAATAAATCCGTCTATTACAATCACAAGTTCTTTCAAACAGTCTTTTCACCTTCAAATTATTTTTATTTTTTATTTTTTCCCATTCATTTGTATACCTTCAATTTTTCCGAAATAAATTTCACACAATCATCGATTTAGGTGGTTTCTTCTTTAGGATCTATGTAGATTGTTGGTTTTCTAGTTTTTTTGTAGAATTAATATTTTCTCATATTCCATTCAATTCATTTCCGCATGCGTAATTTAACATGACAAGTGCGAGGTCAGAAGCCAGATGTTTTATTCGGAATTGATTCCGATTTCTAAAAGCGTATAGTTTCGTAAATTTAATTTTTTCGCAGCAATTTTCTGATTCGGTCTTAAACTGAGCACGTTTAGAACGAAGTTATCGATCTTCTTGTCATGAAAATTGATTTGAAATATATTCGCTCATTTAACGAGACATGTAAATGACTAAATTTTCTTTTGCATTATTAAACACTCGCGAAATTTACATTTTATGGCGCGAACTTGTTAGTTGAGTAACGATGAGATCCTAAATACGCATTGCATTAAATTTATACACATTGATTTGATATCTAATTTTGAATTATTTTACATTTTCTCGATATTCCGAATAATATTTCAACACGATTTTTTGAAATATGAAATATCTGGATGATAGTCACTTTCTTACACTTGGACCGGATGATAGTCCAACGTCATATTATCGGCGTCAAACGACCTAACGGTGGCGGGAAATTTAACAGTAGTGTGGATCTACGAAATTGGAAATTTTACGCTCGGCCTAAATATTATGTGCGCGTACGTTAAAATGCAGAGTACGCAAACACGCGCACGTCTTTTTGCATCGAGAAAGCTGGCAAATAGCCAATATTTTTTTTTTATTTCGTTCAGTCGTTTACCGCCGACAATATGTATTTTTTGTTTTAATTTAGCTAATAATGTCGTCAAGATATAGCTTTTCAGCTAAATTTTTATTTTTCTAGCTGACTTTTCTTTCGTACACATCGAAATTTTTAAAATCAAATACATCTTGATGATTGAAGTTTAAACAAATTTTTTATTTGACTTTTTTTTAAAGTTTGAAAAACTCATATCGTACTTTTTAGTTTGTTATTTTTAAATTCATATGTTATTCGCATTCGAAACTAAAATTTTTTATATAAAAAATATTCCTTTATTCAAGTATATATCGCAAACTTTTAAGAAAATCGTCAGTAGTCCAGCGTATTAAATACTCAGCGAGTGCTGTCCGTTTTTTCCGCATAGTCGTACACGACACTCGCACACATAGAGACACAAACATATAATGGTCGGACAGCAGAGAGACACACCTACCGTAGTTTGGTTCGCCTGCGAATCACCGATTTGTTCGCCTATATAAAAGACGGGTCAGAACAGCGGCGGCCGTCCGTCCGACGCTCCAACCATTATCGTTACTCTATCGCTCCTCCCTTTCTCTGCGCCTCTAATAGTTCTTGTGTCTCTCATTTGCGCAATGTGTATGTCTTTCATCTTTTTCTCGAATCTCTCTTTGTTATTCATAATGTTTTGCAGTCGAGGGCGCCGCTGTCAGCGGCTGCCTCTTGTGCCCAACCCTCTTGTGTTCGGCAGAAAGCCAGAAAAAAAGAACGATTGAGTGGCGGAGAGAATCGAAAATAATTTCGAGATTGTTTCATTGAGTATATGACATGAAATTGGAAATTATAAGTAGGACAATATTTCAAGGAAGCATTTCTTCATTTTGAAATAAAGATCCTGACACCACCATTTTCGTTGCATGTACATCGATATTTTGGGACACACTACAATGCTTAATTTGGAGGTCATCCGATGGAATTTGATGTGATAGTGTAATGTCAGATTTAAACTTTGCAAAGGAATTTTTTTACTAATACAATAAAGGACTAAAAAGAATGAATACAAAATGAAACTTTTCTTGAAAATCGATTGAACATTTCTCGTTTTAAGAAACAGTTTCATATAGAAAAATCTTTATGTTAGAACAAAAGAGAAACAATTTGTAACAGTTTTTTATTGTTCATCGTTTATTGTTTGAAACTGAATAGACTAAAGTCCGTCCGAACGTCCGTTATTTCTGGATATTTTTCGTTTTGCATTATTGCGCCATTCTTACGGATTAAAGTTAATGTTCATAATCTTTTATATCTATAATCTCCGGAATTTACCGCAGACCAACTTTCAAAGTCCGATGCCGAAGATTTTATGATTTTTTGAACCGAAAAATTGTAGTTTTAAAAATTTATATTGTCGGTGTCGCGCTACTGCGGAAAACTGGCTATATGCCAAAAAAAGTGACAGGGGTCTTGGCGCAAAACTAAAAATGTCGATGTATAAAGATGGGTTAAAGGCGCACATCGCGCACTGTGACCTTTTTAATTTTTTTTGCATTTGATCTAATCGTGCGAAGTCGACAATATTTTCATTTAAAAATTTGATAGTTTTTTGTAGTACAGGGTGTCATTTAAGTTCCCGCACAAAAGTTTGACGCCATGAAGAGCTTGGCTGGCGCACTTTTCGTGCACCAATAAATTATTTTTGTTAAATAAGGTATATTTTACTTACTTTCCAAGTTTCACCTCTTTCGGATGTGTTTCCGAGAAATGGCGAAGGCTAACATCCATCGCGCTTCCATTATCGAAGTTCATAAGCAAAATGTGAGCCCGAGAGACATCATTGAACGCCTCGCTGTGCCTCGTAGAACGGTTTGCGACACCATCAAACGTTTCAAGGAGCTAAATACGACCAGTGACCGTCCCAGACAAGGAAGACTCGTCTCAGTAACCACTCCTCAGAAGATAAACGCCGTCAAATCGAGGATCAGGCGAAACCCCCACAGGAGCATGAGAAAGATGGCGTCAGACGTGGGAATGAGCATCTTCGCTATGGAACAAATCGTCAAAACGAAGCTTGGACTGACCCCATATCGTGTCCAAAAAGCGGCAATTCTATCGGCCGTCAACAAGCAGAGACGCTTCGAAAAAGCAAAACAACTTCTTGCTCGCACGCGGTCTGGACAACATCTCGTCACTGTCTTCTCCGACGAGAAGCTATTCACTGTGGAGGCGGCATTCAACTCACAAAACCATCGAGTACTTGCCCAGACATCCCAGCAAGCTTCTGAGAAAAGCAGAACAATACATCGAGCCTCACATCCTGCCAGTATGATGGTTTTCGGTGCCATCTGCTCAACCGGGAAGCGCCCCTGGTTTTTGCAGATCAGGGGATGAAAATGAACAAAGAAGTCTACGTTCGGGACTTTTTAGAGGAGCATGTGATGCCCTGGACCCAAACGCATTTCGTTGGGCAGAAATGGGTCTTTCAACAGGACGGAGCACCCGCCCACACTGCCAAAACTACTCAGGAGTGGTGCCAGACCCATTTTCCCGACTTCATCAAGTCATCCGAATGGCCTGATTGGTCCCCAGACCTGAACCCGCTTGACTTCTCCGTGTGGGGTCTTGCAGGAGAAGGTCAACGCAAAACCCCACTCAAGTGTAGAGACTCTGAAGAAGACATTACTGGCGGAATGGCACAATCTTTCCATCGAATACCTGCGTACCACAGTCGCATCCTACCCGAAGCGTCTCTGTGAAGTCATAGCTCCGAAAGGAGGCCGAATCGAAAAGAGTTAATAGATAAATATTTGTTATACTATAGATAAAAAATATTTCGAGTCTCGTTTGATTTGGACCTTTAGTTTCAGAAATATACGTCTTCAAAGTTGTGCGGGAACTTAAATGACACCCTGTATATTCGCAAAAAAAACGAGCACATTGTGCCGATTTACAGCGAGTTAGCTTCGCGTGTTATCCAGAGTACGGTGTTCGAATTAACACGGTTTGAATCCGAGTTTAAATTTGAACTCGAAAAGTGCGATGAACCCCAATTATGCAAGGCGCTCGTTTTTTTTACGGTAATAATTAGTCAGAAAAAAAATTTTTTTTAATTGACAATACATACAAGAAAACTCGTCAAATTAAAAAAAGAACAGTGTGACTTCGTTTAGAATTATCTTTTCTTTATTGTTGTCGAGACAGTTTTCTCGAAATTTTTTGTTATAAAGTATTTTTTTCGTTTGTTTCAATCTTCGAAAAATTACAGGTAAATGACTTCAATCGGAAAGTAGGATTTCTTGATTGTGTCTATAGTTCAACTGTCAACTCTTTCATATTCACATTCAGTGCTTTCAACAATGGATGCCACTACCCATAAATCGCAATTCGCAGTACCGCTGATGCCGCCGACATTCGTAAATCAAGGTGAAATTTATAACGGTAAAAGCTAAGATGGGATCAATTATTTCAATTTTCTCTTGATTTAAAATTGAAAAAAAAAATCAACTTTTTAAATGAAAAATTTCGTTTTATTTAACGGAGAAAAAAAGGTTCAATAATCCTTTGAATACTCTTCATAGTGCATCGAAAATCTAGAATTTCCTCAAATTATATATGTGTTTTGATTTATAACTGACAAATTGAAGGTTCCTATTTCAAGTATGAATCGCTCATTAATTATCCGTACCGAGTTTAACGCGATAATTGCAGTGAACTCAGTGCCATCGAATACTCAAATGCTTCCATCAACATCTACCAGTAATTTCGCCGTTCCACAAATTAACAATGCTCAGAATGCAATAAACAGCTCAGCAGCAGGTGTTATACGACGGCGTCGATTCAGCACCGCGAAAATTCAGCCAGTATGAGTCATAAGATATAATAAATAAATTGTTTTTTTAAGACAAGGATTAAAAAAGTTATGCAATCAGATGAAGAAATTGGACGAATGGTGCAATCTGTGCCAGTGAGCATCGGCCGAGCAATGGAACATTTTGCTGAAAAATTTCTGCAGGTACCTAATTATTCAAGGACTTTCAAAAATGTTAGACATTTGGAATAGTTGGTTATACATATTTTTTCAACTGAAATATTTATAGAATTTATTAGATTTGAAAAATTAGCCTGGCTGCAAAAAAAACATTAGATGACCAAATTAAAGATTTTAATTTTTAAGGCTGCTGCTGATGCCACGCTATGTAGTAATTCGAAAACACTGACTCCCCAGCATATGTGAGTAACTTTTATAATGTTCCTGTTTTACCTATTTTTTTATTTTGATTACAGGAAGCAAGCGATGATTTCAACTCCCCATTTTGCATTTTTGGAAACGATTCTAGGCGAAGTGGCACTGCCAAAACCCTCTTTTGACGCTGCTGTTTCGAAATATGTAACAAATATCAAAGAAGAAATGGATTTAAAAGAAAAAATGAATATGGAAGCTGCAACACTTGCTCAGGCACAATTCCCGATTAATGATGATCAGAACACTATTCTAATGCAGCAGAATGCGTTTCAGAACGTTCTTTTACCAAAGTCAGAACTGGATACTGCTGAAATCACTATGTCTCCAATAACACCAACAACATCATTAACAAATGGGATGATGGAAATGCTTCGGACTGCATCGAAGCAGATTGCTGCGACAAACGCCTCCACCCCAAGCTCGGTACGTTTGAACGGTATCAAACGTTTGTCGACGGACTCGTTTGGGCCTGATGATGGTAGCGAAAAACCGAAAAGAGGGCGGCCCAAGAAGAAAAAACCGGACAAGTTGGACTTTTTGTATAAATTTATCTATTAATTGTTGGCGTTTTCAGTTTGCGGTGCATTGATGATGATCTTGTAGATGAAGCAACAAAGAACATCGCCAAGGTATATATTTTTTATGTGAATGAATATTTGACATCAATCAATTTTATTTTCAATTTTAAATGAAGGAAACTATTCATAGAAAGACTAAAAATGAATAGGATTCTTAGAAATTATTAATTTATAATCAAGTCGTCAAAACCAATATTTTTTAGGAAGACAAAGATCGGGAGATGATGCCTCCGCCATCCCTTCCAATCGGTGCAATTCCTCGTCAGTAGTCCAAAGTCCCAATTGTGTCGAAAAATTTGGTCTCTTTCTCAGATCTTGAATCTCATGCTTCTGCCAATTATTTCAGCATTCATTGTTTGTTCCATTTCGTAGTTTATTACTGTTTTGTTTGTCTTTTCCTTGTTCTCACGGGTTATTTTTAATAAGGTGGCGGATTAATTATTATATAACTAATTATCTCATTTTATAATTTAAAAAGTTGAAAGATCTTTATTTTTATTGTCAGGTTATATTGTCATATTTATCATTATGTTGAATACATTCGGTTGCCCGAATAAAATTCTTGATTAAATGTCATCATCATGACCATCATTCTTCAGTAAAATGCGGTCGATGACATTTCTTCGAGCCTAAATTTCGGCAATTACATGAATATGAATCCAAATGATATACCTCTTCGTATTTCGATTTTGTCATTGATGCATATTTATCATCAAAATCACGTTCGAAAGTTTCTTGAAGTTTTCGCGACGTCGGAACATGTGAATTCCAAGAATGATATAGATAGATCAAACTAGGTGCCATATCATCAAGAGTAATCTTCTTATTCCTCAATTGTTGTATACATTCGTACTAAATAACTACTATTTGGAACTGAATAATCTGGACGAATTTATATCTCTCTTGAAGGATTAAAGAGAGGGAATACATTTTTGCTATTCTATAGTTGGCGTCCGGATGACGTTACAGCATAGATCAAAGGCGCGTTCAAAAGCAAACGCTTTTGATAATTGAAACTTGTGGATCTCCGACGACATACCTTGAATAGCTCATCACTTGATGGCTGATAATATAACAAGCCGGCCACTTGATTGACTTCAACATTTCGCATAAGCCTCAACCAAAGTACAATAACCAATATTGTTAACAAAATTGTAAATGTGATGACTTGATATGAAGGCTGAAAAGGGAATTGATGATATATTTTGGAAATTGAAGATTTACCACTGATATTTCATACGTTAAATGATAGTATTTGGTATTTTTTGTATTGAAATTTATCGTTGGGAAAATCGAACCATTTTGAGGTTTGAGGTTCAAAAAGATTCCATCATTTTTTTCTGCCTCCAATGAGATTGGATTTTTGAAAAAAAGAAAAAAAAACAAACGTATGCGGTGAATCGTGGTTGTTTTTCACACGAACCCAATTTCAAATTCGCAAAAAATCTGAAGTTTTGCGAAAATTATTGACGCGGAAAAATTGAAAAAAAAAACTAACATGAAAATGAAACCAAAAATTGACATTTTATATATTTTAAAAATGAATATCGACTCACGCTTTTTTGTTATTAACTCGAAAAAAAAAGTTTTTTAACACTTTTTTTTCACAGAACTTCTTATATTTATGCATTTTACATGCTTTTTATTAGATTTTGAGAATGAGCGAGGGACAGATTGAAGAAGATGAACTTTTGACTCTAGAAGAGGTTGATGACATTGAAGAGAAAGAAGAGCTTGATTCATTTTTTGTTGGTTCGAAAACAATTCAAGTTTCTCCTGAAACGTTTAAAATCGTTTCAGAAGATATTCGACGTCGGCTTGGTGATGTGTTCCGAATGTTTGATGAAGACTGTGACGATCTTATTGAGGTGGTATAAATACACATGTACATACATACTTCGTATGAAAAATGCAGATAAAAAAGAATCATATATGTGTTTCGTTAATTTCATACTTTAGACAGACGACGTTGGACATGTTCTACGAAGTTTTGGTTTAAATCCATCGGAAGCCGAACTTCAACTCGTAATCGATCAGGTTTGATATTATTCAATTATTTATAACATTTTTGGATAAGATCGCTCGAAAAAGCGGCCGAATTTCATTCGAGGACCTTCTTCCTCGTGTTGTTTCTGCTATCCAGAATGGTGAATGGAAAGACGACACTCCTCAACAAGTTCATGCAGCCTTTCAAGTCATAACATCCAACAATTATGTGCAAAAAGACACATTATTGCAATTACTAACCACGATTGGTTGGTTGTTATTAAGCTGATCGTAATATGTTTGTCAGTTTAGGAGAACCATTGAATCCTCAAGAGATTAAGCAATTCTTAAATCATGTTAGCGTCAGAGCCAATGGTGATATCGATTGGGTGGCGTATGTGAAGGATACTTGCGAAATGATCTCGTCGAGAGATTAACTCGGTTAATTTGTTTAATAATTGTTTTATTAAATGTTACTGTATCATATAAAGTCTGCAATTTCCGCAATCATCTCGCGGTTATTTTTCTTGAATTTTTATTCGAAATCGTGAATTAATAAATTATTAAATAAATATTTAACTAAATAAATTGTTTAACACCATTAAAAATATTTTAACACGCGCAATACTTTTATGCTGAAATTTATGATTTGTCTATTAAATTGAGTTTTGGACCTATTCATGAAATGTATTTATTTACAAAAAATGTAAAAAAAATTACATTAAGTGTGCCATCTCTTACAACCCTGTGGTTCACACGTGTAATAATTTGTGTAATTAATCTGAAATTTGTTTCACATATTCGGCGCGTTGGTGAATTTCGGAGATTCGAGTTGTAGAAAACAGTTGTAGAAAACTAAAAACGTAAATTATGACAGCAATTTGAGAGACAGTTGTCGCAATAAATCGGGTCGAACAATCTTTGAGCAATCGCAAACGCGCTCTATTTCAATAGTTTGAAAGCACACCATTATTGGTTCAATATACAACGTCACATTAAATACTTGATGTCCAGCTGAATATTCATTTGGTTGATTCCCAATTTTCGTTTTTACAGTAATGGCTGCCGGCAGTTCATGGATTGTTCTTGCATTTTTGCTTCCTGCTGTAATCCACTCAGTGAAGAGAGAGGATTTCAAAACATGCGAGCAGTCTTCATTTTGCAAGAGACATAGAGCAATAACGGTAAAATTTTATGCTCAATTTGAAATTTCATTTCATTTTAGGAGCCTACTAGATACGAAGTGATTGCAAATAGTGTATCGCATGAAGGCGCAACCTGGACAGCTGTGATTCAGAATCCTGACAACAAGTTACGACTAAAAGTGACTGGTGTTAAGGACGGGACTATTCGAGTGCAAATTGACGAAACTGAAGCGGCTATAAGAAAGAGATTCGTCGCGGAAGGCGCTCTATCTGGACCACCGGAACAATTGCCATTCGCAAAAGTCGAAAATAGTCAATCGCAGGCAATTTTGACCAGCGGCGACGGGCGGTCGAAAGCTATAATTGTGTTTAAACCATTTTCGGTGAATATTTACAACCAATTCGACGAATTGGTTGCTCAATTGAACCGCGATGGAAAATTGAAGGTAACATCACCAGAAATTTAACATTAATTTTGAATTTAGGTGGAAGAATTCCGCACAAAAGAAGAAGGAAAAGAATATCCGGAGGGTTTCTGGGAGGAATCGTTCAAATCTTTCCGAGATTCGAAACCTTTTGGATCGAGCAGTGTGGGAGTTGATATTTCATTTGTTTCATTCAAAAACGCGTACGGTCTTCCTGAACATGCTGATTCATTGGCGCTTCGCAATACAGTTGGAAACAGTGATCCGTACAGATTGTTCAATTTGGATGTTTTCGAATATGAACTCAATAATCCAATGGCTTTGTACGTCTCTGTTCCATACATATTCGCTCATCGAGCCAATAGATCTGTTGGAGCTTTATGGTATGCTATGAAAATCAATATACCTAAAAATTACGTATTTCAGGTTGAATGCTGCTGAAACTTGGGTAGATACTCAATCATCAGTGACGTCAAAGGGGGTTCTAGGAAATTTGTATGACACGGTTAGTATAAAATAATATTTTATTTTAAAAAATATATATTTTTGGAGGTGACTGGTAAAGATACAAATGATGTTCCACATTTTGATGCACATTTTATGTCTGAAAGTGGCCTGGTTGATGTTTTCTTCTTTGTCGGTCCAACTGTCAGAGGTATATTTGGTAAAAATATTCTGTTGCTATCGATTATGCAATCTGCGAAAGGGATTTAAGTGTTCGTATTTCGCCATAGCAAAATCTCTGATAAATGGTTCGTGATCGTATACGATCACAGAGTTTTTCAAAAAAAAAAGTGGTGAATGGACTCTCGCCTCGCCACACACAGTCGCAGCAGGCCGACTATATCGATAAACATTTAAAAAATTCACTTAACATTTTTAATATATCTGATTTTAGATGTCCAACGTCAAAACTCAAAATTGACGGGCGTCACCCCTCTTCCCCCACTCTTTGCTATCGCCTATCATCAATGTCGTTGGAATTACAACGATGAGCAAGATGTCGCCAAAGTAAATCAAGGATTTGATGATTGGAAAATGCCAATGGATGTTATCTGGCTTGACATTGAGCACACTGATGGAAAAAGATATTTCACTTGGGACAAACATAAGTTTGCGCATGCAAAGGAGATGATTGAAGGTCTTGCTGCCAAGGTATGTTTTTATTCGAAATTAAAGTTTCATTCTGAATTTTTAAGGGTAGAAAACTTGTCACTATCGTCGATCCTCATATCAAGAAGGATGATGGATACTTCGTATATAAGGATGCCAAAGATTTGGGATTGTTCGTTAAGAAGTCTGATGGTACTACCGATTATGAAGGACACTGCTGGCCCGGTGCCAGTGAATATCTTGACTTTTGGCATCCACAGACCCGAGCGTATTGGAAGGAGCAGTTCGCATTTGATAGATATGTTGGTTCGACACCCGAATTATTTATATGGAATGATATGAATGAACCATCGGTATGGTATTCATTTTTATTATTATTAGCTTTAGGATTGTCAAAAAAAAAACAGGGCCATTAGTCGAAGCTCTGCCCTCTTTTTGACAATCCGTATTAATTTGAATATACATACGCAAAAATGTTTATAAATTAGGTGCATTTTGTTACAGGTCTTCAGTGGTCCGGAAATCTCAATGGATCGTGATGCAATTCATTATGGAGGAATTGAACATCGTGAAGTTCATAACATGTATGGAATGATGTATCACTCGGCCACGTTCGACGGGCTTTTGGCAAGAACTAATGGACAAGACAGGCCATTCATACTTTCGAGATCTGGATTCATTGGAACGCAGAGAACTGCTGCAATTTGGACTGGCGACAATACTGCTGATTGGGGGCATTTGGAGATTTCTGTTCCAATGCTTTTGTCATTGAGCATTGCCGGAATTCCGTTTGTCGGCGCTGACGTTGGCGGATTCTTTGGAAATCCTGATGAGCAATTGCTTACACGTTGGTATCAGGCGGCCGCATTCCAGCCATTCTTCCGTGCTCATGCTCACATCGACACCAAACGAAGAGAACCGTGGTTGTTCAGCGAACCTACCCGAAATTCAATTCGTGAATCACTACGTGCTCGTTATGCTCTTTTGCCATATTGGTACACACTTTTCCAAGAGCACACTCAAAATGGAATGCCACCAATGAGACCTTTGTTCTATGAATTCGAAAATGACGAATCTGTCCTAGAAGAGCAGAAACAGTGGATGGTTGGAAGCGATTTGTTGGTTCGGCCAGTTTTGGAAAAAGATACATACAATGTTAAAGTGGAACTTCCAAAAGGAGATAAAAAGGTTTGGGTCGAAATAACCCACATATGTATGTTTAATATTATTTTTTTAGAATGTTAGATGGTACGAATGGGTTTCTGGAATTGAACACTTTGAAGCTTCTGCATATGTTGACGCCCCAATCGATTTTGTTCCAGTTTTCCAACGCGGAGGTTCCATTATTCCAACGTGGCAACGAATTCGCAGATCGGCTTATCTCATGAAAGATGTTAGTAATTAGTATTTTATCATCCAGCATAATTATTTATTGAGGATCCCCTGACGTTGTTCGTCGCTCTTGATTCTGACGGAAATGCTAAAGGAGAAGTTTACCTTGATGATGGTAAAACTCACAGCTACAGAAATGATGAATTTGTGAGGGCAAACTTCACATTCGTGTTAGTTTTTAAGAAATTGTTTTAAAAGTTTTTAATGGTAACTATGTACAATATTTAGACTATTATTTTAGATTTAAAAAAGAAAAGCTCTTAAATGTAAAATCGCATAATAATAACAATAATGAGTTGTGTTTAGGACAACGTCACCTACTACGGCTAGTATTGTCGGTGAACATGTTGATGGAAAGTATGCTGCGAAGAATTGGATCGAAAGAATAGTTGTGCGAGGAATTGAGAGCTCACCTAAATCTGTTGAGGTAAGAAATGGTTTTGATCCAATAATTTTAAGAGGTATTCTGTCAGATCACTCGCATTTCGGATCCATTTGAACCACTCGAGTACTCTTATAATCGAGATAATAAAGTTTTGATTATCCGAAAGCCTGAAGTTCTCATCACGAACAGCTACCGTATCCACCTAAAGTTCTAATAAAGTTTGACTGGGTAATTTTGCCGTTTTTATATACCATTTCATACATCCCATCTACCATGTTCACTTAGTAAAGGTGAAAATTAGTGTTTTTGTATTTGTATTTATATTCAGATATTTATTATTTATTTTCTGTGATTTCTTTCATAGCCACACGTTTTATGGGGTCCTCATGTTTTTTTTCTGTTTTATTCGGTTTATAGTATAAATTTTTCGTATCGATACTACAATTGTTATCAGTTGCTATCGTTTGAGGGCTTGAAACTTTCTATGTTTCATTTATCGGATTCTGATTTTTCGTTTTTTAATGACAACTCGTAGTACAGTTGAATGCATCGTTTTTTTTTTGAGAAATTCATGGTTCTCAAACTATTTTCGGTTGGATCTATAGTCTAAAATTAAACTACAGTAGGAATTAAAAGCGCATGTTAAGATCAAAAATGATAAACGGGTTTGTTCATTTAAATTTCTCCAATTCGTCCATCTCGGCAATATGTGGTAGTTTGTTTCAAGTAGCTTCGTTATCAATGTTCTAGAAAATAATGATAAAAGCTTGCAATTTTATCTCCGCCTTCTCCAATTTTCGCTTACTCGCAATTTTTGTATAGTCGTGTAGCTTCGGCTCATACCAACAGGTATTCAATTTTATGGTTTATTGATTTTTTTTTCAACACTAACTAAATTAATCCTTTATAATATTGTTTTTTATTCCCGTGCTAAGTAAAATGTTTATTTAAGCAATAGAAATATAACCTGCCACACCAATCTGTGATTTATAAATTAAAGCATAAGTCACAAATAAATACAATATGTGTTCGCAAACAAACTAAAAACGGAAATCAGTAATCTGTACCTATTTATTTAGTGAGTCATTGAAAAATGTTTAATTTCAACCAAAGGCGCAATTATTTGATCCATTTTTTATTTGTTAGACACTAGAAAACGAGAGTTAGCGTCCTGTTCGATTGGTTGACTTTCCACGCGTGCTTATGATTATGATCATGCGGTGTTTTGTTTTGCTATGCGTCGTATAGTTTGTCTATTTCCTTCCCTGCCAATGCCTGCGTCTCTTCAAGTGCACCTCTTTTTTTTTTAAAATGTTTACTTCTGTCGAAATCCAAGAATCGAACAATGCCCTTCATATAAAGTTATAACGCTCATTTCAAATGGTTCTTTTTGTAAACTCAGGAATTAATTTTTTTTCGATATTAAGATGAATTTAGATGCTGAAATATGAGCAATCCACATCTAAATAATTCTGCTCATCCAGTACGGCGTCGGTTTGACTCCGAACATGCTGATACGATCCAGTCCGAAATATCAATGTCTGTGGTTACAGATGATACTAGAATGTTTGGTGTAAGCAGAATTGGGTTGGTTTTTAATAAAATTTTGATTTCAAATTTAGAATAGACGAAGAAGTACTTTTATGGGAGTAAATGATTCGAGCGGATGTTGGTAATGACAATTGAAACTATTGCAAATTCTCACATGATTTTTTTAGTTTTTCCATAAATGCTGAGCCAGTTCTGTTCCTAATAACCTCATGTTTTGGAATTTATTCAATAAACACATCGTTGTTCACCTATTGGGCGAGATGCGTTGAAATCGCTCAAGGCAGATCCGATTTGTCGACGAATGCGACATATTCTTGCGCGCTGCTCTCGAAGTTAAACTCAACATTAGAGAATGATGTGCAAAGTGATATTGCGGATGCAAAAATTTATCTACAGGTAAGCGATTCTGCGTGGTTTAGAGTTTGAGATGATATTTTAGCTAGCAAGCTCAATACCGACTCTGATAATTTGTCCATTGATCGGAACCTATTCCGATAGACACGGCCGCAAATTACCTTTAATATTTTCATTGTTTGGCATATTATTGGCAACTATTTGCCATTTATTGTCAACACTCACATACACTTCAATCAACATGTATTACTTTTTGTTCGCTGGCGAAACTATCATGGGACTTTTCGGAGGAGGACCTTCTGTGATAACAACATGTCTCGCAATTGTTACTGACGATGTTCGACATAAACTCAAGCCGGTAATTAGTATCGAAATAATCATTTGGAAAAGATAATTTGTAGGGATCTTCTACGGTTCCAATGCGAGTTATGATATCTTCAATCGGGCAATCTGTTGGAATGATGTTCGGGACATTTATCGTGTCACTTATCTCAATTCCCGCGCTGTCTTCGATTGAGAAGCACTCTTTTGGATATGTGAAATGCGCAACAATCCGTCAGTTTCCATATGAGTATAGTCGGCGTTCGGCGGCTCTTCTACTCGAGTAGATTTACGACCATGCGAAAATTTAAATTTTGGCAAAACGAGACCATAATTTTTTTTAGAAGTTAGCCATTTGTCATTTTATTCCTTTTTGGAACTATGTCCCTTCACCCCGACTTTTAGACTTCACATTTTGAAAGCGTCAAACTAGGGGTCAATGAACATGAACCTTTTTTGTATCTGAAAATATTTCAGTTGACACCCATAGAATCTGAGCAAACTTTTACATTTGCTTTTTCAATTACATATATTTCAAAAGACCACCTAAATCCGTAAATCCACCTAAATCCGTAAATCAATCCGTGTACACCAGCCGCCAGACGCCGACTATAAATCGAAATTGAATCGAATGCTTTCAGAAGTTGGAATATCGTTAATTGCATTGATTTACACCGTATTTTTCGTTCGAGAAACGCATTTTCCCAAACACGAAGATTTCCAATACAATGTCTTTAATGGTATGTTGTCGAATAATCACACACGAAATTGTAATATTGCGGAATGAGGGAAAAATTCCCTATGTATGCCTTGGTTTCGGCTGAAAAACGAGGAAACATCAAACAGGTCAAATGAACAAAACTGAAAAAAACATATGTTTGAAGCCGATTACATTGTATTCTCTTTTGAGGAAATTTCTGCCCAAATGACCCATGTAATTTTTGGTAATGTCATAATTTTAAAGGAATTCAGAGAATTTCACCTTGAGATCTACATTTGACCATGATCAAATCTTAGAGTTCACCCCGGGTCCTCCCTTTAGAAATATCGGATAGCTACAAAAAATTACGTGCATCATAAAAACGAGTGCTCTGAATAATTCTGGATCATCGCACATTTTCGAGGGGGTAATTCAAACAGTATTAATTCGATACCGTACTCTGGAGAGTGCTCATTTTTTGTTGCGAATCTAATATTATTTTTTAAAATTAACTGACAAGTGAAGTTCGAATTTAAAGATGGTGAAGAAGAAGACGAAGAAGTTGACGAGCAAAATGAAATAGCACTGAAACATTCGAGATGTCGACGTTTGTTCCAGTACGTTTCTGCTGTGCTGACAGTGCTTACAGTACGCCGACCAGGCTGGACAAGACTCTGTCTTTGCGTATCGTTGATACTAATATTCGTCGAGTTTCTCTCGAATGGTTCGACAATATCGAGTAGTTGAGCAAATAATATAATTTCAGACCCTGCACTTTTACTTCTGTTGGTTAAGAGGATGCCATTTTCGTGGAACGATTCGATGTTCAGCTACTTCTCGCTAATTCGCAGTTTTATCTCAACAGCTGGAATGATTTTTTGTAAGTTGAGAACAATTCATTCAATTTTACATTAATTTCGATTGGCTCCTTCTAGGTCCACTTCTACTCACATTGTGTCATTGGCTCGGTAAAGATTCTTTGCTTATCATCGCCGGATTGTTGGCATCTTCTTTCATCTCATTCATAACTGCATTCGCCACTTCAACTGAGCATATTTTCATTAGTAATCATACTAATATTAAATTGCAATCAAGAAACATCAAAAGATTTTAGCTGCTGGATTGACTCTTCTAACCGGTGCAATGCAACCAGCATATCGTTCTTTCCTTCCACGAATGGTGGCTAAAGAAGAAACCGCCCGTCTTTTAACATGTTGGTATTCATTTTATTATGAAAATTAATCGATTTTATAGGTGCAACGATTCTTCTTTCGTTTTCTCCAATTATTTCATCGTTGGTTTTTAATTCAATTTTCGAAGCCTCGATGACATGGTGGCCAGGATTCGCATTCTTCGTTGCTGGAATATTTCAAGCCACTGTTTTCATTGGTCAAACGTAAGAAAATTGTTTCTAGATTATAACGATACATTTCTGAAAATACAGAATTGTACATATTTTGATGCGACCCCAGTGGAAATTGGATAAACAATTGAGAAATCGTAGATTAGTTGAGAACGAGTCTCAAGAAGAGATCGACGATCATCCACCTGGTCAGTTTTCTTTCGTCAATTCAATATCGTCACCGTTTTCGCATTTTTAGTATCATTTTTCGTAGATTCTGAACAACGGAGTATTTCAAACACAGCTGTGGATTCGGACGGTGGTTCTCGGCGAGAAATAATTTGATAAGCTTGCAACAAATTTGAATTTTCTGTAATTAATGATGTATTAATTTGCTACGGGTGCAGATAAACATTGTGATATTTTACATCTCGTTTTAAACTATTTATGGCATCATACACATTTTGATCCTTTAAAAATCATATGAAAATTGCAAAATAAGCTATCATTCTGTTGTTTTTTTCCTAGGTTGTTTCCAATGTTTTTTTGTTATTCAATTTGTTCACTGAAATGTGTTAAATCGAAAAAGAACACATATTTCATTAGAAACGTTTATCTATTTTTTTTTCATATAAAAATGTAAGATTGTGGCGGCCAGTCGAAGCGACTGGTCATTGTCAGAATGAGCGAGCGACAAACACTTTTGAGTTGTGTGTGTGTGTGTTATTTCGCTGCCAGTGGATATCTGTGTGTGTGCTCAAATCCTCCGAAATACTCTTGACTTCACTCTGCCAACAAATCGTTGCACGAATCCGATCGGTGTAGTGGCGATTTTTTTCTCATTCACAGCATTTTTTTAGATTCAACGATTTATGTTTCAATTTTCAGTTGATAACGCCATGGCAGCGCCAAGAAAGAGTAGTGATGCCATTTTGGCAAAAGCCTCCAATTTTGGGCAAATGTTGGAAGATGTGAGCATTCGTAGAATTTATTAAATATTAAAAAAAAATATATATATATATATACAAAAGTTTTGATTTTAATGCGTAGACATTCAGCTAATTTATTAGCTATCCTTCAAACAGCCGCCTGCCGCTCATAAATTTCTTTTTTTAATCACTCTTCGAGTTATGCTCATGTTTTTAAAACTTTCAACAAAGCTCAAAAAATTAGAAATCTATTAAAGCACTTTTTATCATAATAAACAATTTGAAATGGTTTTAAGGTACGAAAATTGGCAATCTCGAAATCGCTTTGGGACGATGAAATGCAGCGCGATTTGCCGAAGAAGTGGGAGAAACACGGCGATTTGATCGTATTTCCGCAAAATAGTTTTACTCATAAAAACTGGAGATATATCGGCGAGTTTTTGTGAACATCTGCTCGTTTGTTTGAAAAATGTGCAAACAAGCAACTTGAACGTGTCAAGAGTCTAATAATAGATCGCATCCCTTTCTTTATGCTTGAGAAAAAAACCCAAACAAATAATATATTGAATTTCATTTATTTCCGTTCAAACATCTATGTTTTTTTTTTTTTTAAATTAACTCCTCAATTCATTTTTATTATTTCATTTCTGCTGTTCAGGTCGAGAAGTGTGGCCAGTAGTTGCAAAAGCTTTAAATGTGGCCCGAGTAGGACGAAAAAGACAAATCGATGAGCTCCGAACACCTCATGTCGATTTGCTTTATGGCTCCGATGGATGGGTTGAACACATCGATGAGCGTGGAGTTCGGTAGACAAAATAGTTTAAATCAATGGTAATTTGCTTTCCAGATTTCTCTATGATGCCACAAAAAGAGTTTTCGATAATTACAAGAAGACCGAAATGAAAAGAATCGCAAAGTGGGCGTGTCAGGGACAAACAATTATTGATTTATATGCGAGTCAGCGAAATTTGATCGATTATTATTCAGTTTCAATATAAAAATTCAGGTTTGGGATACTTTTCTTTAACATTTTTGGTGGCTTGTGAAGCAAAAAATGTGGTTTCAATTGACTGGAATGAAGATATTCTCGAGAGTCTGATCAGAAGCGCACAAGTGAATCACGTCGACGACAAACTCCTCGTGATTCACGGCGACTGTCGTCGAGTATGTCCGTCGCAATCAGCTGACAGAATCTATCTCGGGCTTCTTCCCTCGTGTAAAGCTCATTGGCTGGTTGCTTGTAAAGCATTGAAACCCGAAGGAGGAATGATTCACATCAATGAAATTATTGATGTGAATGCGAAAAAGGAAGCCGAGGTTAAGAAGGAACCAAGAAAACTATTAAGACAAGCGTAAGGCAATTGAATTCATTTTCGAAATGCATTTGTTGGTCTTTTTCAGCACATTGCCGGCCACAATGCCAGCTGAAGAAGACGAGCTCGAGAAACGATTGAACGCCGTTGCTGAGAGGCTGAAAAAGGAAAAACAAGAATCAGATGAAAATCAAATTCCATCCGAAACGGAGGAGAAGAAGGAAAAGAAGAAGTTCACAAGATCGGCGACGATTGTTGAAGAAATGGAAAATCGTGTTCTTCCGGACGTCAAGGTATCACTGTGTGCTGCTAGTATCAAAATGGTCCTTATAACACATGGTTGATTGAAAAAAATAGCCAAAATCAATCGACGAATAGAAATTTTAACAACGAGCTGAAAAACGATTCAATCTTTTTTTTAAATCATGATTTTTTGAAGATATGGAAAGAATTCGAACAATTGGGTTGGGCGAAAATCAGCGAAAAACATAAGGAATTTGCGATGGAATGTGCACAAAGGTTTGCTTTTTCAGAAAATTAATTTAATTTTGATGATGAAATCATGAAGTAACTATTTTTGAGAATTTCCACATTCTCATTTTCAGTTGCACCCGATTTTTGAACAATATTCATTTGTCCGATGCGATGTATTGCACAACGATTGTCAACGTGACCAGGTAATCCAACACCCTCGTGAATTCATTATATAATCGTCATTCGTTAGATATGGAGAGGTCTCGAAAGGAAAAGAACACATTGTGCTAGACATTTTGTGTTGTCAACAAACTGCACCAATCGAGCACTTGATAGCAAAGTTTACAGCTGAAAATTTAAAACCATTAAATTAATATAATTGTTGCTTATTTAACTATATATGTTGTATGTATATAAATGATGCGATTGTTGTGAGGATTGAATGGATCCGCTGATTTTTCTTCTTATTTTTTTTGTTTTGTAATTATTCCACTATCAATTATCACCACAAAATACAATATTTCATAATAATAAATGATAATGACTCAACTCGTTATCTAATCAAACTATTGCAGCTATGCAGCTTAAAATTTTGTAATTATGATTATTTAACGATGAAGATAGGATTTATAATATATTTGCTCAATTTTTGTTTGTTTTTTGGTGAACTATTTGAATCGATTCGACCGAATACTAGTCAATTTTGCCCGTTTTTTTTCTCTCATATCAAAACTAAACGAAATTTGAAGCACTTTGTTTATTAGAAATTATGAGTTGAAATTTGATTAGCAATTCTCATTTTTCATATTCTCGTGTTTCTCATGACATCAGAAATCAATTTGCAAATATCCACATGTGATTCAGAAGCGATTCTCGAATATTCTGGTAAACACTCCATTTGTGTGCATGCGCCGCTCGCTGTCTACGCCTCTCGGCTCTCTCGCTTGCGAGGGGAGGCGCAAGTCGGATCGCAAACATTACTGGCCGCTATTATCATTTTTCACATATCAAATGACTCACTTTTTTTTTCCTATTTTTGTTTTGAAATTCCGTCATTTTCATTGTGTTCCGGTTTCGGAAAATGCATACAACATTATCACATCATTTTCCATTTGCAAGAAAAAATGTTGAAAAATTCGAGCACGTAACTCAATACATTTCAACGTTTTCCGTATTCACTGTTTTTCGATTTTGTCTGCATGGAAATTTGGGGAAAATTCCTAGCAACATTTTTTGTTTCAAGTTTCTTTATGACAATCATATTCTAATCCTCATTATTCAGATATTTCCTACTATGTATTCGGAATTTTTAATTCTAAAAAAGTGCGTTCAGATAAATACTTGAATTTGTTTTTTTTTTCAGAAATGGAGTCCGGTTACGGAACAACGAATTACAACAATGCAGATGGAAAATACAGCTTCAATTTCAGCGAGCAATCGATTCGCGCGGCTTTCGTTCGTAAAGTGTTCATGTTAGTCACAATAATGGTAAGCAAAATATTTATAGCATATTTAGTTCGTCTGTTTTCAGTTCGCCGTGACAGCAGGATTATGTGTCATTCCGATGGTTTCCTACGACTTTCGAATCTGGGTCTACAACCATTTTTGGGTCTATTTGATTTCGATGTAAGTTTTCTTTCAAATACAAATTTCGTTTGACATCCGATTCGTTCAGATTTGTCTTCCTTGGAGTTTCCATCGCGCTCGCATGTTGTTCGAATCTTCGTCGACAATTTCCGACCAACATTATCCTGCTTGTCATTTTTGTGAGTTTTTTCAACCATCTACCGCAATCAGTTCTTCATTTTCAGACCATTTCGGCTGCTGTAATGACAATGTTCATCACTGCATGCTATAATGTGCAATCGGTGCTCATCACCTTGTGCATCACCACTGTGTGCAGTGCCAGTATTATTATTTTCTCGTTAAAAACGAAACATGATTTGACAAGGTAACGTCGATTTTCTCCAAAATCTCTCAACCCAATTTCTTAATATTTTCAGCAAAATGGGAATTGCCTTTATTTTGAGCATGGTTTTGATGACGTTTGGATTGTTTGCAATCCTTTTCACATTGGCGTTCCGCTGGGAATTCCTTTATTCGATCTACGCTGGTCTCGCCGCGCTTCTCATGATGTTCTACTTGGCAATCGATATTCAATTGTTGATGGGAGGTCGAAAATACGAATTATCACCGGAGGACTACATTTTCGCTGCGATGGAAATATTCTTGGACATTTTGAATATTTTCCTCATGCTTCTCAATATTTTCGGAAAATCCCGCTAAATTGTCTATGATCTTTTCTCTAATCAACACGTGTAAATTTGTACATTTGCATATTTTCTAAAATATATTTGTATTTGCTTTAATTGAATAAACTACGAAGTTGTTAAAAATCAATTGAAATAAGACATTTTCTTACAATTGAGGTCTTTTTGCTGTCCGTCTTAAAATTTTTTTTTTGCATACAGATTCTTTAGAAAATTTCGAATCGAATGAACTAGGTCCCTACCTGCGCAAACTTCTAGTTATCGAGATGCTGATATAAGCGCGAGATAAGACATCACGTTATTTCATTTCGAGTTTCCGCACATTTGTATGCAAAATTCACGTGGGGAGGTGCTAAAACTTTGAAGGTCCATGTCTCGATAATTAGAGGTAGGGACCTAGTTCATTCGATTGGAAATTTTCTAAAGAATCTGCATGCAAAAAATAAAAAATTTTACGACGGACAGCAAAATGACCTCCCTTGTTAGCTAATATGTTTTTTTGAACTATAAATCAAAAGTATCAATTTTATAAATTATTTCCTAAATCAATTTTTGAGCTACATATCTATTTAAAATTGTAACATTTTAAAAAGAAACCGGTTTTCTTTAATTGAATTTAAAGTGTGAAAAATCCTCAAAATACGAAAAAAAAACACTCCCACGTAGAAAGCCGAGTTCGCAATCTGGCTTGAGTTATCTGATATAATTTGTCACGGATAAGCAAATCTTATTTTTTAAAACACAATAAATGATTTTCACCCCACATTAATTCATCTCTATTTATTATGTCAATGTGTCCACAGGTGTACGTTGCCGATCCAATATGTCTCCTATGTATGTACAGTACTGGCCATAATGATGTTCGCCTAGTGTTTTTTGAGCATAACATGGCTCAAACGCGGCCGATCGGGCTGAAATTTTGACCATATATTTAAAACGCGTTGAAAATGCGTTTGAATGATATCGCATACTGCAGGAAAGTTTTTTTTTTCGAAAAATCACAAATTTCATAAAAATGCAGAAAATGGAAAAAATGACACAATGTGATTTGAAAGTCTCAGAAACCCGAAAAATTTACAAATGTGTAGAAAACCGGTTTTTAATTTATCAATACTTGTTTGCGTATCCCTTGGCATCAAAAACCGCTTGGCATCTGCGAGGCATCGAGTCCAAGAGGGTGCGGATCACTGCATCGGAATGGCACCCCATGCGGCTTCGAGTTGAGCGAACTTCTCGTCGGTGATTGATGCTCGGAGCCCTCTAACCATGCGTACCAGTTCTTCCCAGAGATGTTCGATCGGATTATGGTCCGGAATCTGCGATGGCCATGCAACAATATCAAGTCGGCGTCGCTGGAACCAATTCTTTATATGTACAGACGTGTGCTTAGAGTCGTTGTCTTGCTGGAAAACGAATGCACGTCCGACGTTTGCCAATGCCCAAGGTCTCATTGTGGTTTCCAGGATATCCTTGTACTGGTACCGATCCATGATTCCATTTACACGTCGGAGCGGTCTCATGGCGGTGTCGGAGAAGCAGTCCCAGACCCTGCAAGATGCTTCACCGTTCGGAGGTGGTACTTTGGCATGAATCTGGCTCCGATAGGCCGACGAATCCACTTTATTACATCAGTTCCGAACAAGTTGAACTTCGATTCATTGCTCCAGATGTGTTTGGCCCATTCACATCGTCCCCAGTTCAGATGATCCTTGCACCATGCCACCTCGTCTTTTGGTTCTTCTCACTGACCAATGGTTTCTTCACCGGGCGTCTTCCATGAAGTTCATTCTCCCCCAAACGACGTCTAATTGTTCTTCTGGATGACATTGAAGCATTTGGCGTTGCCACAAGCATCTGGATATCTTCTGCAGTCCGTCTAGGATCTTCTCTCGAAGCACGGCAGATGTTCCGATCATGGAGCCTAGCGGTTTTGCGAGGTTCGCTGTGTGATTTGTTGACAAAAATGCAGCCCTATAGATTAGAAATAGTCCGGAATGATTAAAAAATCGAAAATTTTGTCTTAATCATTGCAAAACTTTTGGATTCCTCTTCGGGAGCACAGGAACTGCTGAGCCAGAAGGCTTCTGGACGACCCAGTCTTATGACCGTTGACGATCGCTTTTTGAACGTCCGCCGTGAAATTTTTCTTTCCAGAAGGTTGAAAAATTACTAAAAACATGTTTCAGGTTCAAATTTCAAATAAAAACATTGTTATGGACAAAGTTTGAAAAAAATGAAAAATTGGTAAAATCGAAAAAAACAAAAAAAATTAAAAAAAAATAATTTTCAACATGAGGCAATTTTTGTTTTTCCCAAGGTTGCGCAACTGTGTTTAGCTTTTTCAGTAAAAATTTCAGCCCGATCGGCCGCGTTTGAGCCAAGTTATGCTCAAAAAACACTTGGCGAACATCATTATGGCCAGTACTGTATATGTGTAATTTTGGTGGGTGGCGAACTGTCCCGATCCTCCGGGCGAAAATACGCTGATAGAAACATGTAGAATGTGCTGAGGATTCATCTCAGAAGGACAAGAGATCCACGTTGGACCAAATGTGCTTCCGAAATAGTCATTGTGGGTAACTCAGGAGAACCATTCGGTTTTGAGTAAATTTGCCTGGTTGACATTTGACAAAATGGGACTAGAAATTTTTTAAGCAACGGATCTGACTTGTCGTTGCGTCTTCCTCCACTATTTTGCCGCAATTCAGAATAGTTTCAGATTTGATATTGGACCCATTTAAATTGGATATACAGGGTGCGGCAAAATTACGGGTGCATCGATAAAACGAAATAACTTTTTTAAAAATCAACAAAACTCTTTCAAATTTATACCAAAATTTATTCAACACATAGCAATCACAAATTAATTATCGTTGTTCGATTCTTCCTTCTCGATTCTTGATAACTTCCTTCAGACGCTTCGGATAGGCGTTGACGGTGGCACGCAGGTATTTAGCGTCCAATTTGTCCCATTCCTTCAGAAGGGCAGCTTTCAATGAATTCATATTTGGGTGTGGGAAAACTGACACCTTCTCTTGCAAGACCCCCCCAGACAGAATAGCCCATGGGGTTCAGGTCGGTCGACGAAGCGGTCCAATCCGTTGACCCGATGAATGGTGGAAAATGGCTGCCGCACCCTTTTTTTTCCTTCCTTGGGACCAAGGAAGGAAATTCTTCTTCAGGATCTCATTAAGATAGTAATTTTGATCAATCTTCACTCCGGGATCAACGAAATCAGTGGTGTCCTGCCGTCAGCACAGATCCCACCGAATACCATGATCTGCTGAGTATGGGAAACACGATGAATGGCCTGAATGGTTCTTTCCAACCATCACTTTCATTTTGATTTGGTTTTCATTTTGAAAGTCAGCAAAGTTCGAAGAACGTTTTCTCTATCTCGCCTTCGTCTCGGTGAGAAGAATCGATTTCACTCAAGGTTTAACAAAAAATTCGTTTACTTGATAATGCAATATGAATAAATATGGGCTCATTGAGTTGAAGATCGATAATGTCGAAAGTTTGTCGTTTCGGCTCATTGATGCTCATTCCGAATGAGAGGTCGAACGGAGAGCTCGAGGTGCAAGTGTTTTAAATTACTAAATTCTTAAGCAGCACCGTCCCATTTCTTTTTAGAGCCTCGGCGAATTTGTACTGACGTATTGGATCGTTCGGAATGCGTGCTATTAGTCGTGCAAAATTTTCTGGGATGTCGTGATCTGCATTTGTTTCCAATACAAACGAATTGTCACGAACACGCTATTCAAATCAATTTATCAGATCAAAAACATTCGAAGGTTGATTCTATTTAGAAACTGAAAAAGAACGATTTTCGAAGGGTACGAAAAAGGTATGTAGCGGGGCTATAAAAAGGGTGAAATCAGTAGTACCAGTGGGGCAAAGTTTTTTGATATTTTTTTGTAGAAACACAAGAAGTCATATGAATTGGAACGATGTGCGCATTATCACAAAGTTTGATTTGAAACATAAAAAAAAGAACAATGGGAAAATTAGGGAAGGGAATTGAAAGTTGTTTGACGGATATGATTGATATTGACTGGCTTCAAATAAATACTATCGAATCAGCTAAGCGTACGAGTCCCATGGACTCATAGCTGGTGGAGATCGGAGCCCGAAGTATGGTGAGGCATCGGTACGGCCGTTGGCACAAAATTCATTGTCGGCTGGCCTGAAGGAGTGAGGCCAGTGTTGCTCGAAAGCAAATCTCCTGCAAAGAAATCTACGTTAGAAAATATGCCTATTAGTTAGATCGATGGAAGTCATCTGATCTATCATTTGACAATTATTAATCAACTGTTGCTAATTAGCAGAAAATAAACAACGATATCGTCATAATGATGATGTTAATTAAAATTAAAAACTCCCAAAATAGAGTGGAAATGAATTGAAAGACACCATCACACACAGACGTACACACACACCACAGTATTGTTAGGGAGAATGTTTAAAATGTAAAAACAACACGACAAAAACGTACCACTCACCTAACGAGGGCGAGAATAGGCTGTGCTCTTTTGCAGTTGTCGTTGTCGCCGTTGACGGAAGAGCCGGCATTTGGAATGGTCTGGAAAACATTCAAACATTTATGGGGATGCGAGAACACAACTCGAAACCTGCTTGGAGTTGTGATTGCTGTCGATGTGGGCGCGCTTGGCAGCATTGGAAGTGTAGATGGACGTTCGACGTCATCCGCTGTGTTTGACGCCAGCGAAGCCAGAACCCGATCATGCTCGATTTTCGGGATCTTCGGCTCCGGCTCTACAAATCGATCCTCATTGCGCGGAGCTACTGGTGGAGCCGGACGCTTGATTGACGCGATTGGTGGAAGCTGTTTGAGCTGATCGATCGTCGGCTTATAATCCTCAGTTGGCGACGATTGACCGCTTGATCCGGTGGATCCGGAAACGATCGACATCATCGCCGAATCACTCCGTCTCGGCATTGGCGGCTGCGGCATGACGAGGTGGGTTGGCGGCGGAATCATGGCGATGTTGCTGAGCAAGGCTTTCTTCTGCTCAGGACTCATCTTGCAATCATGAGTGCTGATGAAATTCTGAAGAGCATTGATCTGCTTGCGAACATTCTCGAGTTCGGTTTCGCGTTGTCTATTCCGCGCACGATAATTGTCGACCTGCTTCTGCAGATCGGCCATCAAATCCAATCGTCGCTGTCGACATCTCGCCGCCGCCTCCTTATTCCGCTGACGTCGTTTCATGCGCTTCTCATCGTCCTCATCGTCGACGTCAATCTGGAAACCATCAAATTGATTACTGATTGCCGCCCTCATTCTTTAACAGCTCCATAAATGCGCCGTTAACACGCGCCGTACGGGACCGCGACGACGAAAGAAATGTGTGCTGTGATGACTAATTGTTTGCATTTACAGACACAAATGGCCCTATTTTGTATATATTTGACACGTTCACAGCATAAATCGTACTATGGATTAGCAAGAAATTGAAGTACTGTAGAAATTGACCACAATAATCGTTTATTTTTCGTTTAGAATATATTTCACAACAAAAACGAGCCCTCAATATTTAAAATGGAGTTTTTTAACGATTTCGAATCTCGCGTGATTTTATTCTGTCAGGGCATTCCAAAAGTCGCGAGATTAACAGGAAGTCTATCCCATATTACAGTCAGATGCCGTATTTGGATATAGTCGGCGTCCGGCGACGGATGAACGCGGGTAGATTTACGAGAGCGCCTTTCAAAATGGTCTCGCCACACGAGAACTATTTATTTTTTCTCGGTGAGTTTGGTATTTCATTGAATTCTAGCGACATTCGAATTAGCAGTTATTGAACCAAATTTGCAAAACAACCAGTCCGTCTGCGTGAGACCGTATACCCGTAAATCTACCCGCGTACAGCAGTCATCAGAAGCAAGCCGACTACAGAAAACGATGGGCAAAAAATAACTCGATGCTTGGGTAAAAGTGTTAAGAAATTTCGACACAAATCGAACACAAATGAATCACTGAGTAAAGCAAACGGGAGGTGCATTTCGCCTTCGACTAGCCTTTTCATCTCGATCATCATCAGCAACAAAAGAAATGACAAACCTGCGGCGGGAAGCACTCGTACGGCAATGATGGCCAGTGATTCATTGTCGAAAAATGAGTCAAAATTATAGCGAACGAGTGTCGAGTGCGATGGTTGACTGACAAAATCGAGAGCGGTATGACTCAATCCAGCCCCAAAATCTGACTCATTCTCTCAACCCCACCTCCAATACACCTGTTTTCTCAAAAAATCGCACACCGCCATTTACACTCGTTTTTACTGTCACCGCTCGCCGCTTTATCAGATTTTCAATATTTTTTGTTTCCTGTCCCTTCTTTTTTTCATATATCGTTTTGATTTCATTTTTTCATTTATTGCTTTACTATAAGTAGGGTAACAAACGTTTTTCTGTTCAATTTTACGATATTTTTATAGGCGCTAAAATGCGAAGAATTTCAATCTTTTCCGGGCATTATTATGGATCGACTTCGTTGGAAAAAATATTTTTAAAAAATGTTTAATTTCGTTTTAAAATATTTTCTCACAACGAAATCGCTCTATAATAGAAATTCGAGTTAATATTGAGATTATTTCGACTTTGTTGTGGATTTTGAAAAATATATTCGTCAATTCTTTTAAATTTTCAACAAAAATCTCTACACTTCAATATTACTATGAATACAATATACTCATTTCGAACACTAAGAATTTAGATATCTCAAGAGCGAAATATATAGTCGACGTCCGGCGACTGCTGTACGCGGGTAGATTTACGCGCATGCGCCTTGAAACGGTCTCGCCACGTATAAACGCTTATTTTACTGTTTTCACGTGAACTGCTTCATTTTTCTTGATGATCTTCGTATTTTATTGAATTTCCAACGTCACTCGATTAAAAAATTATCTAGCTGACCCATAAAATGCGAAATAACTTGATAGTCCGTGCGATACCAAAAGAAAGAAGCATCCGCGTAAATCTACCCGCGTATAGCAGTCGCCGGACGCCGACTATGACACTATTCGCGTACAAACTGACGAATAATGAAAATTGATTGTCAGTTTTCGAATTATTTCAACAGATCGTTTTGTTTCTATGTTAGTGATAATTGATTGTTTTCATTGCCAATACTTGAAAAGAAACAATTATGTGTTGAAAACTAATTTGGAGCCTTCTTCGAACATTTCGAGATTTTTTTTCCGATTAAGATTTCGTTTATCAACATTTCCAAATATAATTGTTTTTCTTTCAATATTAAGAACCTAGCAAATGCAATCGCAATCGAATGTAAACGTACCATCGCTGACGGTTTGCGTCCGCTAGACGACTTCTTCGTGGTTGTCGGGTTGTATTGTACCATAGGCGAGTTTCCAACGTAAAAATCCGGAAACGGCCAAGCTTGATTTCCCAAAGACGGATTGATTTGAGCTGAAAACATTCATTTATTTGCGATTAACAACAATTATTTCTTTCATTTTTCATAAATCTATTTCCGAAATTGGATTCGTACCCTCATTTGTTTCATTAAACAATACTCTTTTGACTACAGTAACCCGTGTATTGTTTGTACGTCCTTTTGATGGAAGTATTTTTATTCTTTTCGCTCTTCAATATTGCTACAGTAACCTACCGAATTGATTTGCGAGTGGTGACTGAAGACCTTGTGCGCTCGGCGATCCGCTTTCCGATGCAAACTGAAAAAGTAATTTTGCTGATTGTGTCAATCTTAATTGATTTCCGCATTTCTCCAAAAAACTTGATTCTGTTTTGAATTTTCTTTCTTCATTTTGTTTAATCTTACGAAATTCGGATATTGCTCATTAAAACCGCGATTGTCGTTCCAAAATTGTCGATTATAGTTCATCTCGATGTCACCCACCATAGCGGTGAAAAGTGCTGATAATACAACAATATATATGGGTATGAATGAATGTATGTAGTAATCAGAAAATTATCAAGGACGACAACGAAAAAGGTATACTAATGATGAGTCATACTCAGCGAATGGAGTCGAATCAAAACGAGCGAATGATGTAGAGAAGGCTTGGCTGATTGGGTGAACAGCGCCGCCCACCTACGGTATTTATTTGCGAGGTGAGGCCTGCGCTGTATGGTGTGTGTCTGTGGTACTGTAGATTCGGCAGACAGCCATTCTACTAAACCTGTCTTAGGCGCCAGCCGCTAAGCAACCTTCTAACTGAGACTAACGATAAGGAAGCAATTGAATTTAGGAATTTCCAATCATATTTGTCGGTTGAGAATCAGTTCAAAATGTGTGTTTTTTTATGTTTTATTGAATTCGCAAAAAAAGAGCATCCTGTGGTGAGTTTGATTCGCAGATAATCCGTAGTACGTTATCTGATTTCTCGCTGCTTAAGTTTTGAATTACCGCCCCGAAAAAGTGCGATGGTCCACAACAATACAATAATGCGTATTCGAAGAATATTTCGAAGAAATTAAAAAGAATTTCGTGAAGACGTCACTATCATATTTACGTAATACTTTTCACGGTTTTGCTTCGAATGATGAGATGAAAATCAGAATGAACTTTTTAAAGGCGAAAATAACGTGAGCAATTTTGAAATGAACCTATTAATAGCTGATTCGCGTATCAAAAATCAGATTCGTTAAAGTGTAAATGCACTTATAATTAGTGCACTCTGGTCGACATTTACGCTAATTATTTGTAGCGTACAACTCAAAAATGTTTTGTTGCACATGACACACATTTGGCAGACTTTGGCGAGTCGGCATTTATCAAAAGGACGGATTACGGTGCATCTGTGGCCAGCGAGATATTCCCGAAGGTGTTTGTGGATCAAATGCAACCAAAAAGGGGATTACGGTGCAATTGTGAAGGATTGCGACGAGTGCAAATATTGGAATAAAACGGGGATCATATACCCGCTACATGCATTGTATCAAATATTGATATCGACCCAATTTTCTCAATTTATTCAAACTATTAATGGTCCCATGCAGATTGCGCAAAAAATTAGTTTCAACGGTAGGGGTTTTAGTATTTCTTCAAAATCTGCACAATATCAAAATGATTTCAATTTTATTTCGCAAAATTTCAACATAAATTGTCGAATTCAGCGAAACGGTTCATATATAGAATTCGTCGACCGATTCGCCGAATTCAGATGATTGTAAAATTTCGAATGAAAATTGAAAATTTGTGATTTGTTCACAACAATTTCCCAAAAATAGGAATGCATATTATCAATGATATGCCGTCAAAAATTATTAATAATTTTTTGCTTGTCCCAATTTCCTTTGTTTTGGTGGTTTAATTTTGAAACTTTTTCGAAACAATGAATTGATTTTAAAAAAAAGGAAAACAAAATGAAATTACAAGTGAAGTGAGAAATGAAGCACATTGTCGACGACACACATCTACTCAACCAAATAGAAGCAGGTGCTATACATATGGATGGTCCCGCGGCGAAATGACGTCGTAATTGAAAAATCATTAAATGGCAAGAAAAACGAAGCGAAATATAGCATTTCAGCGTTTTTGTTGTCAAATGAATTGAGTGAGAAAAATGATTTTGAGAGTATGTAAAACTCATGGGAAATCTCGTTTCCATTATATACAAATTTCGACATTTTTGATGTACTTTCACGTGTTATTTTCGATTTATTTCTAATTATGAGACATTTCAAACAATTCGCACGAATGACTCGGAGTTTAGTTTTCGATAACAGCGAGCAAATTATTTCCAAATAGGCGAAATTTAAAATTGAGAAGTGAAAAAGAAAGAAGAAGAAAAAGAAAAAGGAAAACTGTGATGTATTGTTCGTGAAAAAATAGCTTCAAATGTGATGTTTATTGCCAGAAAAAAAAACGGAGATAAGAAAATATTATTACATCGATTTTTCATTATTATTATTGCCTTTTTTTCTTTTATTGCATTGTTCTTATTGTTTTACGAAATTCTCGTCGAAAATTCAAGAGAATGTCAAAAAATTAAAGAAACATACGAAAACCCATTATTATCATTATGAAAATTTAGCAAATGAATAAATAAAAAATTGTTGGGTAACTATAGTCTATCTTTACATTAGTGGAAGTAATTAGGTACAATTTAAATAAGAAAAACCATCTACTGATTTTAGCAGTGCTTTTATGTTACACGGAACCCACAAAAAAGAAATATTTCGAATTTCTATAGGACCACAGGACTCATATTAGGACAAATCGAAGATGATTACAAGACCATGACGCCAACATTCCCACTATAATCGAAGACGGACGAATTTAAGGAGTGGGAGGGGGGGGGGGCGTTTTTTTAAATTAAAATTTTGGCTCCGGTGTGATCTGGTTTGAAATCCATTGAAAATTACATTAGATATTGAGTTTGAATGCAAAAATAAATTCGACTGGCGAAAATATCAAAAATGGTAAACGCATTTGACCATTTGTCAAATTGGTCCGTTCTCGGCAATATTATATGACTTTGAAGGGCTATTTAAGGTGTTGCGCCTTTTTTTTTGTATGGTCTCGACGAGCGAATTTCCCGTTTTGTTTTTATATGACGTGATTCGACATTTACGCGTGTTTCGATCGTCTAGAATTTTCAAAATGAAGCTGAGGAACGATAAAAGTTCAAACAATCATCACGAAACCACATTTAAATTATATTGTTATTTCCAATTATAGTAAAAGTGAAAATTTATGGAATGAATGAAATAATCAAGTGAATTAGATGATTGAATGACTACAAATAGGCGAACTCGTTTAGATATTCGGCATTAGTTAAATTGCTCATAGTTGAAGTACGATACCTTAAGAACTAATATGAAATTGTCGAATTGCCATTTTTTACCCAGTGCGATCTCGTCAAATTTGTGACAAAAAATGACTATTTTGCATTGCATAGGTCCATGAGAAGTTAATCCACACGAGACCATAACGAAAGACGCATACTCGTAAATCTAACCCCACACGCCGAAAAAAAATAAAGTTCAATGAGAATTCTCACTAAACAATGCGAGAAACGATATTTTTAAAAACGGATGAAGAATATAAAAAATTGTCTAGAAATTCTAGGCAACACTAGAATTTAAAAAACTGCGAGATGCGAGCAAATTAGCGGTTTTAACTATGAAATCAAATGACTAAAATACAATCCCAAAAATGGCGTTGAAAAGGAACTGAAGCGAACGAAGATTAGGAAAATAGTTGATGATATGAATTTTGAAAACTTAGATTTGAAAAAGAACCACTTGGAAAATATAAAAAAATTAATCCCATTTGAAACTTATTCGAGACCCAAACAGAATATTAGAGTAGAAAATAATAGAAAATCTTACCGGGAATGGCCATTCTCCTCCGAAAAAGAATGGAAAATTGTAGGGATATGGAGCGGCAGCAGCATTCGAATAATAGTTCGAGTTACTATTATTATTATTATTAATATTATTATTATTATTACTAGCATAGACGAGCTGCTCGTCAGAAGAATTCGACTGTAGTCCAATCACAGAAGTCGGATGAGCAATCGGTGGTGACGACGACGCGGTCTCAGTCGATGATGACGAAGCCGATGACGATGGATCGAAAAACATTTTCTTCTTCTTCTTCTGCTTTCCTTTTGTGCCAAATAATAATAATATTATTATTATTAATAATAATAATAATAGTGGAATGAATGTGTATATGTGTGTAACACGACTGAATCACTGACGAACGAATGAGTCGGCCTCGTTTTGGTTCGGGAACGGGCGGGAACAACGTCGTCGGTGTTACCGTATGCCAAGAGCCCGCCCATTTTTTCAATCAGCGCCGACCCTTTTTGTCGCGCTCGCCATTTTTGGGGCCGCCGACGTCGGGCGACATTTGTGAGGTGCAAACGACATTTGAATATTGTATTATGGCAAACACTTATTACAACATGCAATGATTGGGTCTCGACGAGAGTTTTAATATAAAAAAAAACGAAGTACAGATTCCTATGAGGAGGAGCTCAAAAGATTAGATAACATTAATAATAGCGAAAGAATGAAATCCAATTAAACAAAAATTCTAAAAATGAAATGAAAATCGAAGGGAAAGTGTCTAGCTGCGGTCCCAAAAAGAAACGGCATGTTTTGAACAATTTACAAAACCGAAATTCAATCAATCCGCAACGTAAATATTTTGAACGAAAACAGTTGAAATAAAACGGAAAACATAAAATCATTTTGTAAACATCTTTATGAAATCCGTCGCAAACCAAAATGAGGTAGTAATAATAGAAATCGGAATTAAATGCCCATCTCAACTCCAATCTCTATAATTGAGCAAATTCTTTGTGAAATATGATTTTTGTAATTTATTTTTGAAACACGTGTAATTGATGAATTTGGCACCAGTAAATCTAATTTCGGGTTTTCATTTTTTTTTTTGAAATGGGGTTCGTTTTTTTAGATGTTTCCTAATGTCTGTACAGTACCATCAAATGAGGTGTAGCATTTTTTGCAATTTCGCTATTTTTACAGTATTCCCAACATTCCCAACATGTTTTCTATTCATTTTAGGCCGTTGTATTGTTGAGGAGAAGGCGACGACGAACCGTTTTCCACAATATACCACATTTGTTTTTGTTTCTGCTCGATTCGTCATAGGACCACGCGTTACGGTAGCTCTCAAAATTTGAAAGCGACGTTTTTTTATTTTGGCTCGCTTGGAAGGTGCCGCCCGCGACATTTTGTGCTAACCTTTTTCGGGGCGGTACGTACAACAGCGGCGCGCCGGCGCGATGCAAAGTGCAAGACGGCAAGTCGAGACAGCGTGTGAGTCGAAGAAACGCATATCGGCGGGTTTTTGAATGTTTCTCGGCAACAGACTTTTTTTTGCTACGATTTTGGCCAAAAAATGACGTGTTCCGATGGCCC